CTCGCTTTCATTCAACAAAACATACATATAATGTGATCTTAAGGACCCATAATAACAATAGCAACCAATAATCATCTTGAGATCCCACACACACATACACAAAACGTTCGTGTGTATATTTATTGAATAGACCGGATGAGTTTGTTTGACGGGACCATACGGTCCCGTTAGTTCTCAGCTTTTTATTTCTTTGGGTTTTTGTTTTGTTTCTGATGCGAAGAAAGATTTTTTTTCTAATATTTGATCTTTTTCTTGAAAACCGTTCAGTTATATATTGGACCAAAAAGAGAACCCAACCAAATAATCATCAATACACACTGTTAGTTCATCGTATTCACACACACACACACCAAATGTGTATTGAAAGTTCGTTGACTTTCGTTTCATTTAGGATCTTCAAAGATTGGGCGCGTGCGCTTGCTGTATAATATTCATCTCAATCCATCCAAACACCATCGGGCCGTCTTGTCTTTGACGACTACGACGACAACAACAACAACAACGATGGATGTTTCGATCACACACACAAACACAAGTTCACTCACCTCACTCTCTCTTCTCTTTTTTTTCGAATGAAAAAAAAAATAATTTTGCTACATTTAAAGAAAAAAAAATCATCAAAATCAACCACAATGTTGATAGTAGTATTATATAACAACAACCAAAATTCTATGGTAGTAGAATATGGATATACGTAATATTTATTATCCTCAAAAGAACTAACTAACTAACTAACAACAACACAATTGACGCCACGCGTGTGTTGTTGTTGTTATTTTATTTGAATCGCAGTTAGGTTGGTTGGACGATCTGTTGGTTGGTTGGTTGGTTGGTTGGTCGATCGGTCGTTGTATTATTTGTTGATGTCCACTCAAAGTTCATCGACTGTGCATTTCATTTCATTACAATATCTTTTTTCTCTATCTCTTTTTTTATTCACTGTATTTCTCATAGGATATATACACACAAACACACGAGAAACGAACCACAAAAAACATCCATGATGTATATTTTTTTTCTTTAAAACAAAAAGAGGTGGTCATTATGATGATTACTATAGTAAAAAACAATCATCATCATCATCTTTTGAGGATTTTTAACCATTGAATTCACTGTCTTTACATAAGTATTTTACTTAAGTAAAAAACAAAACAACAATACAAACCTTGTAAATTAAATAAAGAAGAATTTTCAAATATTGATATTGATGTTGTTTTTGGTTCGATTGGGAAAAAAACTTGAAATTTGTTGAAGTTATGTAAAGATAAACACAAAATTGATGATGTTATTCAAAAAAATTTCTTCATGACATCACACACAAATTTGATGATGAATAAGAAAACACATACATTACTCAGATATCACTGATGATTTGTTAATTTTTTTTTTCAATGAATTCTTTTAGCTGGAATATTTATTCTTACAAAAAAAACTGAAGAATTCGATCATGATTGAATTGAATAACTATAAGGCACCAAAGGGTTAGAATTTTTAATTTTGCATAATTTTATCCAAAAACAAAAATTAAAAACAAAAAAGATTTTTTGATCAATAAAAATCACATTGAATTTTCAATAAATTCATCAATAAAAACACCTACAGGTGTCGTATTTTTTTCAACAAAAAAACAAACATTCGATAAGAATTTTATCATTTTCTTTTTCATTTAAATTTTTTTTCCAAAAACAAAAATTTTCATTACACACAAATGGAATTTTATCACCAGAAAATAAAACGATTCACACAAAAAAACAAACATTGGATGGAATTTGAAAAACAACAACGACGAAAAAAAAATTAAAATTTTTTTAAAATTTTCAAAAAATTAACGAAGAAAAAAATTCGCCAATCAAAAATGATGATCCAGAAGAACATTTAAAAACAGAACAAACAAACAAAAAATTACCAGAAAAAAACCGAAATAAAATAAATGGAAATAAAAAAGTTTAAAAGGTTGTATGCCACCATACACACCATACACATGAATGCTCCAAACGAAATGAAGTGTTTTCTAATAATTTTTTTTTTTTTGATTTTCTCGTAGATCCACAATGTGTATGGATCACACACACAGGCAGGCAAGCAAACATTGACATCCATCTAGAAAAAGAGAGAGAGAGAGGATACTCTCTTAATATTTTTTTTTTATTTTAGTGAATGGAGTTTGCGCATAACGGTTTTTCGTAACATTTAAACCATGGTTAATATATAAACACACTTGTGTGTATATGATAAACAAGTCAACAAAAAAATAAAAAGAACAACGACATTTTCATCGTGGTGTTGTTGTTTTTGTTACGATCATAGTGATGATGATGATGATGGTGGTGAAACGAAAAACATCGACCGCCGATTAACCGGCCTCTTGATTTTTTTTTTCGTTGTTGTTGCTGTAAATCTTGTCTTATTATCAATGTTGAATATCTATAGATGATATTTTTCATCAATTTCATGATAATATCAATGATTTCATCGTTTCAACAAAAAAAAAATTCAATCGATATTCGTAAATTAAAACCAAAATCGATGAAAAATCTAAAAATTCTCTATAAATATAATCGATATACTTGTTGCTTTTTGTTAAACAATGTTGAAAATTGAAATGGAATCTTATATACGAGATGATGATGACCTTCGTCAATCAGTTTATTATTCATTAAACTTTCATTTTGATTCATGAAAACAAGATCGACCACAATCGATATTAGGATACCTACCCAACCAAGCAACTCTTCTATATAACCTCGAACAAACAAAAGACATCGACCGTTCACTGGTCGGTCAATATCATCGAGAGAAAAAAAAACTTGGGGCGCCATATTTTTCTGTTTTCTGTGCTACAATAAGCGATAGCGAACAAGAAAGATTCGGGGGGTGCATGAACTTTGAGTGAAAACATTTTTTTTGACGAACGGATTGAACAACGACAACAACAACGTCATTTATATCATCATACGATCCATAATATCGAACCAACAAGCAATGAAACAAAACAACAACAAAAAAATAAGTTTCATTGAGTTTTCATTTTAAACAAGTACATTCAACTCGATTCATATTTCATCGTAATTTTAATTCGTAATAATATCTGCTGAACATGCGTTATTGAATTAATCAACAAACAATTTCATTGATAATTGATTGATGATTTTTTTTTGTAATTTGACATTAGATCCTAATCAAATCAAATTAATGATAATTGTTTAGCACTTGAATTTCATACAAAAAAAAAAAATTTCATCAAATTCTCTGATGAAAAATTTTTTTTTATAAATATCCAAAAAAAAGGTTCATTGATTCATGCATTTGCAAATGCAAAAACAACCAACCAGTCATTGAACAGTGAGTGAAATTACATTCTATGTATTATTTGGGATTGACATTTTTTACATGTACACATTTGATGGCGCCCAACATTTTATACAGACACACACACATGGAGAATACATATGCATGAATAACACATGTTTCATTTCGTAGCATTTGGGGTTTTTTTTGTTGTTGTTTGTTTGTTTTAACATTACAATTCTCATTCTTTGTTTGATTTTTCATTATTGGCTGTTGTTTTTTTTTTGGTTAGATCAAAGGTGGGTCGTTTTTCCATTCATTCATTTTTCGATGTCATTGTCTTTTTTTTGTAATAAAGTTGGTCGATCGATTGAATTTTTTTTTCTTTTGCTTTGCTTTCGGTCAGTGACGGTATAAAAATCCAAACAGCTACCCCTTGTATCATCATCAAAACTACTTGATACAGTTTAAAACAAAAATCATAACTCCAATTCTCAGCGCACACAAAATTGGATATAATCTGTTTGCACGAAGATCCACGAATATCCACACTATCAACCCACTCTCTCTTCTCATACACACACTCTCTTTCTTTCTCGAAATTTTGTTTATGACGCCGACGTTAAAAATTTTCTTTGTTTCGAAGAAATTCCATGAAAAAATATAATAAAAAAATTTTTATACAATGAAACAAAAACAGATATTTAAAAAAATACGCGCATGATTATATGAATGTATAGCAAATAAAGAAGAATATACATTTACATTTGATGGGTGGTAATAATCAAAAGAATCTTGCCAAGTTTTCTAGGCCTGATCATTTCGATCAATCTTCATCATTGATGATGATTCTTTTGAGAATTTATCTTTTCTGCTTAAGCAATTTAATTAGTGAAAATTTAGTAAATCAAAAAAAAATATTCTAGATGAAATTTCTATGCAATCAATGGAAATATTTTATTGAATTTTTTTATATATAGTGATGGCTAACTAAACCAACTATCAACCATCATCAGTATCATCGGACGATAACCTTGACTTTTCTCGCTCATTCGCTTCATGTCTTCTTGTACACATATACTCGTTGGTGTTCATCGTTTCGTCAAAGTTGAATGATCGCATGTCGTTCAGTCAACGATCATTCAACTTTGTTTGTGTGTAGAAGAAAACTTGCTGGATTCGTATTCGAATAACAGAAAAAAAAACAAGAAAAAGACGACCCTTCGACGTTATCAAGGTTACTGAATGGAAATTTATCTATAGAAACATTAATGTCTTTCGAATGAAATTGTCTTGTTATATTTTCATCAACATTTAAATCATCTTGTTGATCTCACACCTTCGATGATGATTTTCGTTAGGCTTGTTCGTTTGCCGAAAGTGAATACAGATTGTATTCTATACAGTTTGTATGATGAACTCTCTCGATCATTTAGGATCAATGTAGCTAATGTATTATTAGTTGGTTATATAATTTTTTTTTGTTTGGTTGCTCATGATACAACATCGTCAGTCAAGATTCATTGACATCATCGAATTCGGTGCAATAAACGCAATGGAAAAAAGCCAATGAACCTGTGCTGCCTCTGTCTGCTTCTGCGCTATTTTGACTATTGTGTCGAATTGTTGTTTTCAGATAAATAAAATTGTAACTGTTTTATCAATTTTCATTGATAATCTTATGAAATTTTTATTTTTTTTTTCATACAAAATAAATGATAATAAATAGGCAAAGTGTTAATAAGGATAAAATGAAGAAAACAAACATTCAATAATTCACATTATGCCCAAAATGGCTGATAAAATGGTCGTGATTCAGCACATAAACGACTACCAATATCTTCTTGCCAAATTAGATTCAAATATTGTCCACGTACATTACCAGGTAGATTATGTAACAATCGTTTACGTTGTCGACATGATAAACAATTAAAATCTTTTACTAATGGTAAATTATGGCCATTTATATTGATCATCATTTTTGGATTTGAATCAGTTTTAGATTTCATTGCTAATTGTCGAAAATCTTTTTCCAAACGTAATTCATCTATAATTAAATTAGCAGCAGTTTGAAGTTTAGCATCTTTTTGACACATTGTCATATAAATTTCGTGTATTGATTCGGGTAGATTTTTTAATGCTTCAATCTGTTGATCAAAATTCATTTCATTAAATTGACTTGGTAATGGCAATTTATAACCATCGATTTCCATCGATGGACCTTCAATACAAACACAATTTGGATTTGACATTTCGAATCAATCAATCAATCAAAAATTACTAATCAATGACTAATTTACAGAACCGATATTTATTTCATTTTATATTGTAATTGTAAAATTTAATAACTCGGGAAATTTTTTTTATAATGTTCGATTAATCGAACAGAATAAATGAATGAATTTGTTAAACTAATTTTGCTAATGAAAAATATTCGCGATAACAATTTTACACAATTTTTTTTTTAATTTTAAAATTTCAATAACAATTTAATTTAAAAGAATGTTTTACACCATAGATTACAAATTTCTTCATTTTTCGAACACATAATGGAAATCAATTCTTTTTGATAGCCATTTTCCCATAACATATTCAAATATATTGAACGAATTGTTTCGGGTAGTTCGGCAATAATACGATTCTGTATATCGGATGAAAAATAAACAATAAAATCTTCGGGTATTGGTACATAATATTCATTCAATTCTAGCATAAATGTTGGTCGATTAAATGTTGATTGTTGAGATATAGGTTGTTGTGATGATATATGAAGCAATGATCGTGGCAACAATGTCTGTTGCTTTTGTCGATAATCAATGTAATCGGACCAACATTCAAAATAATCAAATGTACGTGGTAGTTGTCGTACAAAATGACGAATTTCGATGACAATTTGTTTCATTTCTTCCAATACATTTGATGGTAGTTCTTCGTTGTCATCATTGTCTTGATTATCATCAAAATTTTTCAAATATGTTTGTAACATTTTTTTCAATGTTATTTTTCGTGATTCACATTCACAAAAATCTAAATATTTTTTCCGAGTAATGGTAGGCACTTCACAAACACATAGATTCTGTTTCATTTCATCCATTTGTTTGAAATCGATAGGCATAGGTAAACGATATCCTTCAATTAAAATACGGGCGTTAGTACATTGACAACTCGGATTGGTCATCATTGTTGTTGTTGTTTCTGTTGACCTCGAACAAAATAATTCAAAACAATAAAATATTGGCAATCAAATATTTACCCTAAAAATTACATCAACCATGGCCATGGTTTTATATATGAAAAAATTTCGAACAACAACAAAAAAAAAATTCGAATAATTTGATAAAGATCAGATTGAATAAAAATGTCACAATGTAACCATCATTGATTAAAGTGGTTATTGTTTGTTTTTTTTTTTGGATGATGGAATTTTTCCATCAACCATGAATTTACAGTTTCATATGATAAAAATAAACAAAAGTTTCAAACGTGAAATGCATCTCAAATCTGTTTGTTCATTATGATTTTTTTAATAAAAAAAACTTGGATTGTTCAATGCAAATTATCTCTTTATTGTTAAAATACTAAACAATTATTATTCGTATAAAGTCCATAGAAAAAATGAATTGCCTGACTGATTATTCATGTTGTTGATAATATTTTTACGAATTATAATAATGAATAAATAAACACAATAATAATTAAAATAAACAAATCTAAAAAAAGGAAAAATTAAAAAATTCATAATTATTCAGTTTATATATGAAAAGTACATCGAACAATGTACAAACTCGGCCAACCGAATTTTTATTTCGAGCTTTCGCTTGTTGAGTTAATAACACATGTATTTGATGAACAAATTATAATTTGTTATTGGCGCCATTCTTCATTTGTCATAACGGTCAATTCTCATCATAATCATTTAAAATTTAATCAAGTAATTTTCTTGAAATGAATCCATTTTATTATCATTTAATAAATCTAAATTTTGTTTTTTCATTAGATTATAATACTGATTGAATGAGGTGCTGATTTCGATGATGCAAGTGTATCCACAACACAAGTCACATTCATTGTTTATGATAAATGGCAGGAAAAGTTCTCAATAATCTTCTGGAATGTTGTGATAATTTGAAAAAAAATTTAATCGAATCCAATTATCAATTCGATGCGGTATTCCGTGCCGTTTATGATTCTGATTGTATAAATAATAATTTATTGAACAACCAAGGTGATAAAGATGATGAAAATCTGCAGAAGAATAAAGCATCTGAAATAGCGAGCATAACAACAGAACCGTCTAAAATTTATAAATCTGAAACAAAGTTGGCGATTCAACAGTTTGATGATGATGATGATCTTTTACAACAGATAACATTCGAACCAAAACAAAAGTCGTCAACTATTATACCAAATAAAGTCAATAATGATTCAACCAAAAAATCATTGGTATTCAATGAAACCTCGAAAAAAAATAATTCATCTACATTCCAGGATAGTGACCTAGCTGATAATTTTATGGCTATACTGAATACGCCAATTAATTCCAAATTAATAAAACTTAATGAAAATAAAAAGCGACCCGGTCAGACTATCGAAACAATCGATTTGTTTTCGACAAACAATTCAAATTTATCTTTGATTTCGAATGAAGCTGAAATGCCTTTGACATCTACAGCAATACGAAATAAAAAACGACGAAGATTCGTAATCGATGATGAAGATGACGATCAAATAGTTGAAAAACTGCAGGAAAAAGAAAAAAATCAAAATCCTTCATCTCATAGCAACTCAGAACATCATGGAATAATAAATGATCACAAAATTTTTTGTTCTGATCCGGAATTCGTTGCAATCATGTTTGATATTTGTCAGGAATTAATGGAATGTGAAAGTTCAATTCAAAATATGTCTCCAAAGTTGAAACTATTATTGCATAAGCATCGAGATTTTCTGAAGAATGGTACAAAAACATCAAAAGCACAACAAGAACCATTTATCAAACATCAAGACTTTACCGTTTACAATCAATCAAACAATGTTTGTTTAGGCAATAAAGAGAATTTCAATAATTATTCAAAATCTATGCCAATAACAAATGATAATGATGATGATGATGATTGTTGGCCACCTTCATCCAAAAAATTGGACACTAAATGTACTCCTGCCAAATTTAGTTCGAATATAGTATCTTCATTACCAAAAACTCAATCAATACCAGTAATAGATATATCAAACTCTCAAAATAGCCGGTTTATTTCATTTGATACTCAAGATTCTTGTGAAATAATCCCAATACCAGAGCCATTACCAATTAGAAGAGCGAATCGAATTCCAGAACCTGGTTTTGTTACAACAACAACTCTAAACGACGAAAATGATATAGCTTTAAGCGATCTGAGTGACTGGGAAGATTGTTATGAAAATTTACCAGATTCGAATACACAATCCGTAGTTACGATTTCCCCATCACTGCCAAGCACTCAAAATATCTCGGGATCAGGTGGAACCGTTTTGAATGCTGCATTACGTGCCGAAACAAGCTTTGTCCAGATTGATTTAAATCGTTCGGTTGACAATCACGAAGAAATGGATGGCGAAATTCCTTTGGAATCGAGTCATGGTCGATTTTTTGGACTTTATCAAAATGATGGAACTGAACAATTGTTGAAATCTAAAAATTTACCACATTCAAAACAAATGCTGCAAATTTTTCATCAAGTTTTTGGTCTTCGTGAGTTTCGAACTAATCAGTTAGAAGCAATCAACGCTGCCTTATTAAAACATGATGTTTTCATATTGATGCCAACTGGTGGTGGTAAATCACTTTGTTACCAGTTACCGGCTTTGGTTTCGGATGGTATTACAATTGTCGTGTCACCGTTGAAAAGTTTGATTTTGGATCAAATATCCAAAATGAATGAAAGATTACGTGGATCGGCTGCTTCATTGACTGGTGATGTTGATACAGGTACAGTGTCAGAAATATATTCTGATCTTCGATCGACGAAACCACGACACAAGCTATTGTATGTAACACCGGAAAAATTAACAGCATCAGATCGTCTAATGTCTATGCTAAAAAATCTTTACGAACGAAACAAATTGGCACGATTCGTCATCGATGAAGCACATTGTGTTTCACAATGGGGTCATGATTTTCGTCCCGATTATAAACGCCTATCGGAACTTCGAAAGCCTTTTCCGAATGTACCATTTATGGCATTGACTGCGACAGCAACACAAAAAGTGCGATTAGATATAGCACAACAACTTCATTTACGGGAAGCTAAATGGTTTATGCAATCGTTTAATCGTGGTAATCTTAAATTCGAAGTGCGCGCAAAAACTAAGAAATGTCTCGAAGAAATAACCTTATTATTGAATACAGATTTTCGTAATCAAACCGGAATCATTTATTGCCTATCACGCAATGATTGTGATAATTTGGCTGAAAAACTCAGTCAACATCAATTCAAATGTGTTTCTTATCATGCTGGTCTTTCTGATGAATCTCGTAAGAAGGTTCAGAATGATTGGATTTCAGGAAAATTTAACGTCGTTGTCGCCACTATTGCTTTCGGAATGGGGATCGATAAATCTGATTGTCGTTTTGTTATCCATCATTCATTACCTAAATCAATCGAAGGTTATTATCAAGAAGTTGGTCGTGCTGGACGTGATGGCCAACTTGCTCATTGTATTCTCTACTATACACCATTAGATTTTAATCGATGGAAAAAATTACTCACGAAATCGACAAATAAAAAATCCATGTTACAAATGGCTATGTCTTATCTATATGATGTACAAATGTTTTGTCTTAATAAGGCCGAATGTCGTCGTAAACAATTGCTCAAATATTTTGGCCAACAATATGATGATCGATATTGTGTGGCAAATATTGAATCTGTCTGTGATAATTGTTTGGTAAAAGATAATTTTCAATCGGAAGATTTTACACGAAATGTTCGTACCATACTTGAATCAATTCGATTATTAGTCGGACCATATAATCAACAACGAAAAGACAATATTTCACCTACGCAATTGACAAATATTTTATGTGGTAAGTGTTTAGTTTCCGTCTTTGTTTGTTTATTTTTCATCATATGATTGTCTAATACCAAAAAAAATGATTCAATTTTTTTTGTTTCTTTACACGTGCACAGGAAGTTCAGCCAATGATCGATATGCTCAAGATAAACATCGACGTTCGGCTATGTATTCATTGCTCAAAGATCTAACTCGAACCGATGTACAACGATTGGTACAAAATTTGATTGCACGAAAATTTCTTGCCGAAGATACTGTTGTAAACAGAAAAAATGTTTTCGCTAGTTCTAGCTATGTCCGACTTGGTGAACGAGCATCCGATATATTACAATGTAATGAACAATTTATATTCGATGTTACAAAACGTCGTACGAATACTAGTGCCAAAACACCGACTACGAAAAAAACTACAAATGCTCTTAAACGTTGTATAGTTGATTTCAGTGCTGAAAATGATCTCGATAATTTAAATGATGATGATTTTGGCGATCTGGACTGTATCGCATCGAATCCTTCTTCTCGTATCGATGTGGATAATTCTATAAATGATTTTATTGTTCCTGATGATTATCCTATTGATGATGAATGCATACAATCAACCACTAGAACAACTTCAAATAATGGTCGGCGTCGTGGTGGTATTACAAACAAAATGAAACAAAATCCCGCTGAAAAATCAAAACCAGCTCGAAAACCTAGAAAAAATCAACAAACAACAATGTCAAAATATTTTGGAAATTCAACAAAAACAAAAAATACGAATAAAACAACAAGAAATTATTCAACGCCACCGGATATTGATGGTTATATTACAATTCCAGATTAAAAATTTTTTGTGGCAAATTATTATTATCATTGTAGATTTTTTGACTGATGTGTAAAAAATTTTTTCTCTTTGATTTTTTCAAATTTATAGAAATAAATAATTTTCATTATTATTGTTTTTGTTTTGTGTCTGATCGGATTTTTCAATTTATTCTTTCGCCTATCACATGCCTTTTGGTATTGTTAACAAATCGATTAAGGTCAATGTCAATTTAAACAATAATTTTAATTTGATTTCAATTTTTTTTTCTATACTTGCAAATAATAATAATCGAATAATTGTATACAACCATAGGTCCGGGTTTCCCCTATAAATATATAGTTTTTTGTTATACATTGTAATAAATACCTGGAAAAATAAAAACATTTGTAACCAAGGATTTCCTTATTCCTACTTGAAATTCGTTGATTTAGTATCCATGTTTGGTAAACATTTGTTTCTGTTGAAATAAATCAATGAAAAATTATTGAAAATTTAACACCTTTAAAAAAAATCCAGAAATAATTTTTTTTCAAAATGCTGATTGAGGTCAGGGCATTTATTCAGTTAGTTAGTTCCAGAAAAAAAGAATCATTTGAAACATCTATTCCTATGTTTGGGTTTTTTTCTCTTCAATTTTTTTCCTATATTCAATCGGTTGAATATTTGATTGGACATAATTTTTCATTCTTTTTTTCGTTTTTTTTTTGAATTTGTTTGTTCAGGCGCGACCAAAATATAATGAAATTGATGTAAAAAAAAGCTGGACAAAAATCAATTTTTTCTGTTGTTACATTCTTTTCGTTGTAATACAATAATGTATGTTTAAATGAATAAAGTTGACAACTTTCTCTTTCAATTATTTTGATTCATTATTTCTGTTCCGTTGTGTAACTATTTCATAGAATCAGAAACATATTTGAAACATTCAACATTCGAACGTCGATGCATACATAACTACCTTGATTTTTACATTGATAAATCTTTATGTTGATGTTTTTTTTCAATTTGATCGATAGTTTTTAGACAATCATCATGTCATCATCATCATCATCATATACAACAAAACCGAAGATTACATCGATTCGCAATAAAAATGCTATTATCATAATTGTTGTTATAATTTTTGTTTCATCACAAAATTTGGCTCAATGTTGGCTATTTTCGCCAAGAATACAACCTTATTATTATCCATTCCCATATCCAGTTCCAGCATCTATTTTAAGTGGAACGGGATCTAGTGTTGGCTTGACTGGTGGATCTCCATCATTATCTGCAGGTTATGTTGGACAATCACCAATTGGATCTAATCCTTCTGGTTATAATTATAATTGGTATAGTTATCAAAATTATCCAAATTCTGGTGTTCTATATCCATCGAGTGGTAGTACCGGCAATACTGGTGGTACTGGTGGCTATGTTCCAGTTGAACCTTTTAACCATCCTTTATCTCCGCCTAGTTCAGGAGTGACTAGTTTGCCAACAACAGCATCATTATTTCCTAGAACTGGATCGTTGCTTCGTTCATGGTGGACAAGAAAATTCACTAAATTTGGTATGTAACTTTTAAGCAAAAAAATTTCATCATAAAATTTGGATGTTTATTACGTTTATCAGGATCTTTAGGTAGCAGTTTTCCTGGAAATCAATACAGTGGATATGGATTAACCAGCAACAGTCCTTGTAATGGATATTGGGCAAGCGGTAGTAATGGATCACCTTGTTTATCATCAAATCTGTGCTGTTATCCATTAGTAATACAGACTAATGTTGATTCCACATCTAGACCATCTTATGCAGATTCCTCACCATCTACTGCAGTAACCTATCCATCCAGTGGATATGTTTATCATCCATCACATCATGGCTACAAATCATCATCGCATTTATCATCACAAGCATCCGAAAATCTCGATGATGTTGTCGATTCGAATCAAAGTTCTTAAAAGTTTCATTTGAACAAAATTTAAAAATCCCCATATGATACGATGTGTAATACCTCGTCAGAATAAAAATCTTTTTAATTTTTGTTAAGAATTATTACATGGAATTTTAAAATCTGTTAATTTTTACACGATTTCTAGGTCATTTGCACTAGTTTTTTTTTCAATCAAATGGTCATGATATTTGGCACACTTGAATGAATACAATGAATACATCAAATATGTGTCGTCTGGTCGACGTCCATTTCGATCGATGTCTATTTGCTAGCTGTAATTCATTCATTCAATCATTTGAATTTCCTCCCATTTTAATCATTTTTCTTTGGTAAATTCTATTGATTGTTCATTCCTACGAATCCTCAATATAAATTTATGACGTTCATAGAGATGGGAATGACAAATTTTTTTTGTTTGTTGTTTTTCATTTGATCATTATCATAGTATGAATGTTTGATTGACCGTAAAAATTTAGTCAAGATCATCATCAACACATTATTTGTAACGAGACATAAAAGTCATTACAAGTCATATATACTATAGTTACAATTCACCTGATTAGATGATCGGGTTATATAGATAGATGTATGGATGTATATTAATATCCGGTTCGTTGACCTATATTTATCAACAATCGATACAATCTTATAAATCAATCGTTCAATCAAAAGAATATATACGATGAACTTCTTACCATAATGTTAAAGTTATTTTCTTATAAAGCAAACAAATAAAATGATTAGAAAAAAAAGACTATGTCAAGTAATGGAAACTAATGAACAAAATCTATGACAATACCTATAGATTCCGATTTGAACTTAATAATATGCATTTGGTTTATTGTTTACCGTTGGGCATCAAAAAGCGATGATTCGACAAGATTCTCTTTCATCGCATTAAATGATTGAAATGATTGTGTATAAAAAATGCAGCAAACCGCGTTTAATTCAATGTGATTACGACTTGAACGATACTGGTGATTGTTTGTTTTGTTTATTATTTTTCTAATAAAACTTTGTTTTAGTTTGAAACGATTTTGTATCATTTCAATAAAAGATTCTTCAGCTCAACAATTGTTTGTTTCCAAACCAAAGAAGTTTTTGTATTTGATTTTAACAATTAAAATAATGGCATCGTTGATTAATTTGAAATCCGTAAGAATGACCTGAAAAAGATGGACTAAAAATTAATCACCATTTTGTAATTTAGATTTTGATTATTGCAACTATACTGGTCGCCACTATGAAAACAATAATGGCTCATGGTTCTTCAATAAGTCCATATGTTGGTTTTGGTTACAATCCTATAGTCAGGTAAATTATTAATGTTTTGTTTTCTTATATGGGTAATTTTATTCATCATTACATTGATTGAACAGTCCGTTTTATGGTTATGGATTGGCCAATGCACTTGGCTTTGGTTTCGGTATGTTTTTAATATCTGTAATTTATGAATTTGTTTTTTTAATATGGATTAAATCCGAAAAGATCATGCAAGTTATTATGGGAAACCATGGTATGGTGGTTATGGAATTGGTTATCCATTTGGCAATGGTTATGGTCTTGGATATGGAATGGGTATGGGATATGGATTTGGATTTCCGGCAATGAATCTTGGTATGGGTCATGGTGGCCTCGGATATGGTGTTGGAATGGGCGTTGGTTATGGTGCTGGATATGCGGCTGGAATTGGTCCAGGTGTTGGTGGTTATAATTGGATCAATAAAAAACAAGGATTTGATAGCGGATACGACCCTATGATGAATGGTATTGGTAATGATTTTCATAAAACTGCTCGTAATGCTCGAGAATTAAATCTTTTATCTTCAAATGAATTGGTTACAACACCGCCATCATCATTGGCATCATTAATTATGAACAGAAGTTTGAAAACACTATCTACATCAGCAAATAAACAATCATTATCATCATTATCATCACCAACATCTCAATCACAACATTATTCGAATATTGTCGATAATTCATCATAATTATTTTATTTTAATTTATATTAACTTTAATGAATTGTATAATTATATTTCATATCAATGATTCACAATAAAAATTTCTCATACAAATCTTCTTTAATCATAATAATCATTGTAATCTTGATCATACATCGATCCACCAAATTCACCACCACGGTCATATCCATCATGAACGCCTCCTCCCAAACCTCCAACACCAACACCACCAAATCCTCCCGCACCGAATTTATTCATCGCTGATCCATGATGTTGGTCCAAATCAATTTCATGATGGAATAATTTTCGTCTTCTGAAATTGTTCGTATTAAATTGATTTTGTCGATATCCAGCGGCCAGGCCACCAGCAAAACCACCACCGCCACCTCTAATGATTCCTCTATGAGGATAAGGTGCACATGATCTGCCATAAAGCAATGGTTTCTAAAAGTTAAAAATTTAAAATCATTAAAAGTGAAAATTTGGTTTTGAAAAAAAATCACCAGCAACGGTAATAAAATAGACAAATGTACTGAATGAAATTGTTGAATGGTGAGAAAAATGGTCAAGATTAATGTCACTATTGATATATGCATTTTTTTCTGGTTCGAGGTAGTTTTGGTCATTTGAATCAAATATCAATTTCAGTTGTTCAGTCAATGTTTTTATATGCTAAAGTTTGTCACATTTTTGGCACCAATTATATTCACCTTGGAACAATCATTTCATTTCAACCAGCTAATGATTGCAATCAAATTGATGAAATAAATTAAAATGACCAGCATTAAAGTAAACTTGAAATTTAATGAAATCTTTTCTTTGATCCATTTTTTCATAAAAGTTGATAAAAATATATTCGATGATTTTATTTGGTAATTTCATCATTTTTGAATTTGAAAAAAATTATTTTTAAAAATTATTCTAGAAAATAGATGGCAGTGTAATTACACGAATTTCGATTTTCATAAGTTACAGTCACAATAGAATGTAACAAATAAAATGTTCCAAAAATAACACGTTTATGTGTGGTCAGAATGATAATTGGGACTAATGCTGATGATTGTAGTTTTTTTTTGTTGCCAAAAGCAGGCCGACTCGATTATTTTGATACAGTTCAGGAATAGAATCGAAAACTAATTAAGGTGATTGTTCATTTAATTTCGAATCATCAATAATTTGTTCAAACTATCTATGATTGCAATTGAATAGAATTCTTTAATGTTCATGAAATTCTTTAACAATAAAACGTTTGTTATCAAATACAATGGATAAAACGACCGAAGTTAACGAAGCTGATGAAGAATCATTGTCTCAAATAAAACGAAAGCCAATCAAATTGGCTAGTCAGGTCGTTGTCAGCAAGCCTGTATCATCATCGAATCGAAATTCATTTTCCCGACATAATTATGATGGACATAGCCGGTATTCTGAACCTGATGATGACGATGAAGTAGATTCAGATGATCGTGAATTGGATGCCATTCTCAATGATCACGATGATGATTCTCTTGATGATGATATCGATATCAGACGCCAACAGCGACGCCGGCGTCCTTCGATTGAAAATGATCATTACCGATCTGATGAAGAAGATTTAGAACCAAAACGTAGACGGACAACTAGCTTATCAAACAATACTGATACTTATAATAATCATCAACATCATGGAATATCTGAAAAGTATAATAGTCGTTTTCATCACGATCGCTCTAATCGAACACCATCAGTCGATCATAATATTAGACATCGTTCAGCTTCGATCGATAAATATGATCGTTATGACGATGATCAAAATTATTCTTATCATCATCGAAGAAAAAAAGACCGTAGCAGATCCAAATCAAATGATCGAAATTATCGTTCTAAAAGTATGGATCAAAATGATCGATATAAAGACATTGATTCTAAGTCCAGATTGCCAACAGATTCGAAACAATCAACATCAGCAATTGTTTCAAAAAAAGAATATGAAACAAAGTTATTGAGTGGTGATAAAGAATATCATAATAAAATTGCCGATCTTCGCAATGCTTTGAAAGAAATAAGCCGCCCGGACCAACGTAAATGGGTTTATGCCATTGACGATGCAAATCCTGTACCATTAAAAATAGAAAATGATCCTCGATGGATTTATTCAGAAAAAATTTCCGAAGCTGATGTGAAAAAATTAATAAGTCAAAGATCACTTGAATTAACTGGAGAAAATAAAGTGATTGCGAAAAAATTTTCAGCTTATAAAATAGTCGATGCCGAAGTTGATAAAGTTGATATTAATGATACTGATGTAGAGAAGCCGGTCCTTGCCATCGGTCCAAAACAAAATGAACCTAAATTGAAGTTATCAAAATCGACAAACGGAAAAAATCAGAAATTAAAAGCCAAAAAACAAAATCAAGATCCCGAATCTCAATTCTTCACTTTGAATTTGAGAGACGAAAAAGAAGAGGAAGAAGAATTTGATGGTATTGATTATGAATCTTTGTCGAAAAAATTGGCACAAAAAGATGCCGCGGCTCTTCGTCGAGCAATGGCTGAAAAATGGAAAAAGATTGTAGACGATGAAGAACGAGCAGTCGCTTTGGCTGCTCAAAAAGAACGTGAAAAATTGAATCAAAAAACTGCGACAGTACCAAAATCAAAGGATATTAAACCAGTAAACAGTGTTAAAGACAAAGAAAAAGAAGTTCAGGAAAAAGAAAAAGAAAAGCTTACTGAATTGGAAGTGAAAACTTTTGCTGGCGAAAGCCTTGTTGATAAAGTGACATCGATTCGAGAACAAGCAAAACGTGAATTGGAAGAACTTGAACAGCTGATGCGTCAAAGAGCAATTTTGATGGCTAAATTAAATTCCGAAAAATTCGAAGAAGGTGATGATGCCGAAATGATAAATATTGATCTCAAGATAAAATCTCATTCTAAAGATAAAAAATATGTTGGTGAGGATTCTTTACTTATTGAAAGTTCAAATCCTATATCTAATATAAGTAATAACAAAGATAGCCATACTGATAAAGATGAAAAATCCATTGATAACAATCATAAGGAAAATAAATCCGGTGGAGACAGTGATGAAAATGATGGACACCGCAAATCCAAACATAAAAAACATAAGAAGCATAAGAAAAAATCAACTTCGCATTCACGACGCAAACATCATCATCGTAGTCGTTCAAAAGAATCGTATGACGAAAAAGATGGTCCCAAAATTTCACATGATCGTTATGAACGCGACCATCGACGAAGGGATCCTGATTATCGGTATGATTATGATGACAAAAATGACAATAGATATCGTTATGAAGATCCTCGTTATGTTCGTACCGAGCATCAACATAATCGTAATAGACGAGATTATTATGAAGAACGTTCATCATCATACCGTGATCGTTATCGTGATGATCAACGTCATCATCGTGATGATATCGACTCTTTTCACCATCGTTCTACAAGAGAAGGTCATGGTGAAACTCACCGCGATTATTATCGGGATGATCATTATCGAGATGATAGGGATGGTAACGTCGAGGATTACAAATATCGATCAACCAGAGATTATCGAGAAAAAGAAGAGTCTAGTCGCAACAATTTAAGGGATTCATATCGGCATCGTTCAATTGATCGAAATCGATCATCAGACTATTACGGTTCCAAATCTAATCGCGATCCCCATTTGCCGACATCATCTCGATCTAATCGCGATCATTTTCCTCAAAATAGCAATGGTCGAAAACGTTCTTCGATATCAAGATTCGATCGAGCCAAAGATCGAAGTTCGTCATCATCAGAGGACGGAGCTGATGATATCGATATCAAAGATTTAGACGATGAAGACAACGAAGAGAAAGAAATTGAACGTCGTAGAAGGCAGCGACAAGAACTCTTAAAAAAATTACAATCGACCAAAACAAGTTCTTTAGATGAAACATCAAATGAACGGACCAATTTTTCGAATACAGTTGTTGGCGGTGATGATTCCACGTCCATGACTTGTAAATCTGACGTGAAGATTCAAGGCCCAACTACATTCGAATCTATATTAAAAAATAATACACAACATCAGAATGAAGATAAAAAAGAATTACCACCAAAAGCAAAGCGTAAGCAATTTGACATGTTTGCCGATGAAAAAGATGAATTCGAAGATCCTGTTGCACGATTACATCAATTCGGACACATAGATGACAATACATCTGCAAATCAACATTCTCGAAATCATCAAAACAGCCAATCACATTTGATTGACAATTGGGATGATTCAGAAGGATATTATCGTAAGTCATTAAATTTCTTCTTGCCAAACCTTCTATAATGTTTTGATCATAGGTATAAGAATTGGTGAAATGTTGGAAAATCGTTATTCCGTTTATGGGTTCACTGGGCAAGGTGTCTTTTCTAACGTTGTTCGTGCACGTGATAAAAACAAAGATCAACAGGATGTTGCTATTAAAATTATTCGAAACAACGAAGTAATGTGAGTATTTCATATCTTTCCATTTTAAATTTCTTTCGGCTAATTTTTCGATTTATTTCTCTTAGGCATAAAACTGGTTTGAAGGAATTGGAAATGTTGAAATGTTTGAATGCAGCTGATCCAGATGATAAATATCATTGTCTTAGGTTATATTCATCATTTTATCACCGACAGCATTTATGTCTTGTGTTTGAACCATTAGCCATGAATTTACGAGAAGTACTGAAAAAATATGGCAAAGATGTTGGTCTTCATATCGATGCCGTACGGTCTTATGCTCACCAATTATTTCTGGCTTTGCGGTTATTGAAGAAGACATCTATCTTGCATGCCGATATAAAACCAGACAATATCTTGGTCAATAATAAAAAAACTGTTCTAAAACTTTGTGATTTCGGTTCAGCATCATATCTCCGAGACAGTGAAATAGCACCATATTTGGTTAGCAGATTTTATCGAGCACCAGAAATCAGTAAGTATCTTCCTTTTTAAATTTCGGTTATCATCGAAAAGATTTTCCAACTTTTGTCGTGATGGTTGGAAAATCCTTTCGATTATTCGAAGCCAATCTTATATATAGGCCATCATCTTTTCAAATTTGAAAACGGTGGAACTCTAACATCGATCCATGCAATTTGCACATACATATTTTGTTTACACTGAAAAACGGTAAAAGTTCGGGTTTGAATTTACAATTTTAAAATTTGATCCATTAGATTTATTTTTATTCCATTTGAGATTGATTCTTTTCCCATATGCAGATTAATATTGGAATTGCGATTGGAGTGTTCGAAATCATATCTTATAGGAAATGTCATCATCATTTGATGTAGTGTAATAGCCGATTGAAATTAATTATTTAAATTTGTTTTTCATTTCTATTGCCCGTAGAATAAATCTCATCGGAATCTCTAATTCAGACAACGATTCAAAATAACCTAACTTTTATATCGTTTTTTCACATGCCTCAAATTTGATCGATCGATTTTCCAGCCTGTTTTCATTTTTAAAGATAATAATTTAATTTTACTTCTAAAACATCACTTATTAACTGAATGATTTTTTGTTCTATTCCTTTTTTTAGTTCTTGGCTTACAATATGATCATGCTATCGATATGTGGTCGGTCGGATGTACTTTATTTGAATTATACACTGGTAAAATTATGTTTTCTGGCAAAAGTAATAACCAAATGCTGAAGTATTTTATGGATTTACGAGGAAAATTTTCGCATCGTATGATTCGAAAAGCATCGTTCCGTGATCAACATTTTGATTCTGATTACAATTTTCTCTATCAAGATATTGATCGAGTTACTGAAAAGGTGAAAATAGTTACCATAACGAATATACAAGCTAGCCGTGATCTTCAATCCGAATTAATGGCTGGTCAACAATTAAGCGAACCATTGTTCCGCAAAGTTGGCCAACTAAAAGATCTGTTGGACAAGATTTGTGTCCTTGATCCTACACGTCGTTTGACTCCATCACAGGCTTTAATGCATCCTTTCATATCGGAAAAATTGTAATTGTTTCAATACCATATTATGCTAGGCGTTTCATTATATCTTTTTTAATTTATATTTCTTTACTTCGCGTTCTATGTACAAAATGAAAAGGGTTTTGAATTAGTTCACTCACATCGACCTCATCATTTGTTTAATTTTATTTAAAATATTTTTCAGAGTTTCTTGATAAATCTTTTGGAAATAAAACAATGAATTTTCTTTTTTATATTGCTTAATTATTTTTCTATTAAAGTTTGGTAATATGTTGGTTATTTTGAATGTCTTCGGTTGTCTTGTTTTGATGATGATGATTCTGATGATGATAATCGACGTCTTCGAAGTGGGGATTTTTGATGACCATCATCGTTTATTGTTGTTTTGGATGTCGGTTCTGCTGATTCTGTCCATCCATCCATAAATGGTATGGTTGAATCACGATCCGTTGATGAAGCTGGATTAACCAACGATCGGGTTCGTATCGATCCGCTGTCCATCTCCATTCTCTTGTCCTGTCGTTGTGGGTTTTTTCTGGGCAAGAAAATCAAATCCGTGTATTGTGATTTTGTTGAATCGAATTGTAAATTTTGATTGAAACATCCGCTAACCGTATTGATCAAATAGGATCCATCATTAGTTTGTATGAATGTATCGCTCGATGCTGATGGTGTTGCTCCGTCCGGCAGCTGTAAATGATTGGTTAAACGTTTGATCGCTTCGAATCGTTCAGTTTCTGCTTTCGCCACACGGTTCATTATTTTGTCCAAATTATCATCCAAATGCTTAAGTCGAGCGAAAATATCCATTTGACCATATTTATAAGATTCGATCACATTACGTAGATTGGGTGTACGAGCCAGCTGTTTGAATTGACTTTTTGCCACCTGAAATCGAACCAACGAAATGAATGCATGACTTATGTTTTCAAGAACACGAGATTTATAATGATCACCCGTTTGTTGAGTGAAGAAGGAAGTCAATTTCTGATACGAATCAATATCGTGATGACAATTCCATGCACGCTGTATAACACGAGCAGCAGCATCTACTTTACGTCGACGTTGTCGGCTTTGTTCAACTTGTTCCAATTTCAATGCCAAACCCGCACCGATTATGCCAGCCGGTAAAGCAAACATACAAAATCCGAAAAGAATGAATATCGCCGAGATAGTTTTTCCGCGCCATGATATCGGAACTTTATCACCATATCCGACGGTAGTCATCGTTACAATCTAAATCGTAGGCAGATATTATTCATATACTTAACCTGGAACCTAAAATCAATTACTTACACTCCACCAGACAGCTTCAGCCATTGAATCTAACATATCATTACTTTGATGTTCAACCAAAAAACCCAAATAGGCTAACAATGAAAAAATGATGATTTCCATGTAAAAAATGATCATCAATTGTTCACGTTGATCATAAAGAACAGATAAAAATATTTTCCATGGCCGTAATTGACGTTCAGTAATCATAATCTGTACCACCTGAAAGAAACGATGAAATCCTCGAAAAGCACGAAACGCAAATACTTCGTGACCTTCATGTGGATAAACCATAACCCATGCAGACAGGATGATTACAGTCAAATCTAAAAGATGTGCCGGCGATTTGACAAAATTCCATTTTCCACGCAAGCCACAATATTTAGGCCTACATTCAGAAGACCACAGTCGAAGCATATATTCAATAGAAAACCAAATGACCACAATTTTTTCCAGGTGATCCAACACTTTCCACTTGCCTCCCATTTCATCAAGATATGGTGAATCGACTTGTGGAAATATTGAAACGATTAAGCATGACATAACCAAAATGAATGCAAGTACATGGTAGATGGTGGCCCACAATGTTGATGGTTTTTTAAAAAATTCATACACCTGATATTTGAACAAAAGTCGTTTTGATCGTTCCATCTTATCAAATCGCTGTGATATATCTTTTGTTCGTTCCATTTGATCATCAAACGAACCTTCGGTTGCAAATGAATCCTTTCGACGGCGTAATTTACGCATCATTTGCACATCGTGCAATATCTGAGATAAATGTTTCTTTTCTTGTACTGTGCTTCCTCGTGGACTGATATTTACCACTACAGATTGCCCGTTATCTTCCGTAGTACCTGATTGTTGATTTGAAAGCAATGATGGTGGTATTGACAATTGAGCTGTACGTGGAAAGGATTCCTCTCCATCGACACATTTTGTATCAGGAGTATCAACTTTATGGGCAGTGTTTTCTTGTTTCGGTTCGGTTGCTGAATCTTCTGCGTTGGCTTCGACATTTGGCGATTCAGAATTACCTGGAGGAGCGTTAGTCTGATCCGGAGATTGATTAGTTGTAAGTGGTGAATCGATCAATTCTGTAGTCCGTACAGCGTTCAATAAAACCGGCTCTGATGTGATGTTTTGCTTAGGTTGATATAACATTCTTGAATCAATAGATTTCAACTCACGCTCAACAGATTTCGACATTATTTGAAGTTTTTTTTTCTAGATTCCAACGATGAAGCGTTTTTTACAATCTTTTCTCGATGACAGTAGAAAATATTAATCGATCAGTGCTGAATCTTAATGATTGTAAATTAACCGAAATGACAATCTTTTGTTCGTGTCTGATTTAATGATCAATCAATGAATAAAAATTGAACAAAACTGGATACCATTTTCAAGGACTTGTTGCTTGTTTAGTTCTATTCGAAAAAAAAATTGACATACATTGATCCGATATTCATATGTTTGATATTTTGATAATTTGATAGCATTTTTGTAAGTAAATCTATTGTTGAACACATTTATTTCTACTTTTTTATTTGATTTTTATTCATATTTTTTTCCCTAATATCGGTTCACATTGCGGGAATTCGATATTCAATCTGGAAAAATCGGTCGACGAGAAAAAATACTCTACATTTTTAAATAATGCCCGAAATCTGATAGTGGAAATTATCCCTTTTTTCATTGACGTCATCGGAAATGTAAAATTTCTCTTCATGAAATCCGGTTTGAATTTACATTGAATTTTCATTGTTGAGAATTATTTTTTGAATTAAATTATCATCCGTTCATATAGAACGTATTGCAAAGAAAAAATGATGCCTGCATGCAGCAAAATTATTTGTTTCAGTAAACATTTAAATTCGTTCAAAATTTAGAATTCTTATCATTTAGAATTGATAAATTAACTTTTTACTGACCATCATGTATATACGAAACGCCAAGGTATTGTTTTGTTTGATTGAATGAGTTTAATTATTTAATAATATTTTCTTTAATAGCCTGATGATCTAATAAACATGCAACATTGTAATCTGCTTTGTTTGCCAGAAAATTATCAGATGAAATACTATTTTTATCATGGTCTTTCTTGGCCACAATTATCCTATGTTGCTGAAGATGATCAAGGTCGTATCGTTGGCTATGTTTTGGCAAAAATGGAAGAAGAATCCGATATTGCACATGGCCATATTACATCATTGGCTGTGAAACGAACAAATCGTCGTCTTGGTTTGGCACAAAAATTGATGGATCAAGCATCAAGAGCAATGGTTGAATGTTTCAATGCTCGTTATGTATCATTACATGTACGTAAAAGTAATCGTGCTGCGTTGCATTTGTATCAAAATACACTGAAATTTGAAATAAGTGAAGTGGAACCCAAATATTATGCCGATGGTGAAGATGCTTTTGCAATGAAACGTGACCTAGTCGAATTCGCACGTCAAAATGGTATCAAACCAAGTGATCCGACATTTTTCGATATCAAAAAATCTGATAAAAAAAGTAACAATAATCATCATAGCGAATGAATTTTTTGAAATTTTAAATATACAAAGATTTTGGTATCATTTTATTACTGAAATATCAATTGCTTATTACATAAGAATAATAAAAAATTCTTTTATCAATACTTGTGTGTGTTTTGTTTGATTATTGCAAAAAAAAAAATCAATTTTGCATTAATATTTTTGTTTTTTCTTAAGAAAATTGTATTTAAAATTTGATTTATAGAAAAAAAATTAGAATCCTAGAATTGTTTATTGGTTTTGTTTCGTTTGAGAAAATTTTCGATGTTCAGCCATTAATTCATTCGATTAAATCATTTTTCACATAGACAAAAACAGCTTATTGATTTACCAATTGGCAAGACCAGGTTTATTCAATGTCATAAAATAAATCTGACAAGAACCACCTTTTGATGATGAAAAGAAAACCTATGAAATCGAATTAAAAACAATGGTTAATGGTTAATTTAATGTGTTTATCAATTCCTTAAATCAAACATTTTACCTTATCATTACGTTCGCAAAGAAATTTCAATTTTTGAGCTTTTTTATGCATAAAAACACCATCCAAATGTCCAGTTTCAACACCACGAATTTCAATCGCTTTGTTACCCCAGCCCATTATCTGGCCAGTACCAATATAGGCAACCGATGTTGGCATCTCACCCCATTGCAAATAGATATTTTTGCTTACTTTACCTATTTGTAATAAATGTATGAATGATGAAATGAAATTTACAAAGATTAAAAATAACACTTACCAAATGTATTTACATAGACACCTTCATCTATGATAATGAAATCAGGAAAAGAAAAGAAAAGAATTAAATGAAATATAACAAACATTAAAAAATGAAACATACTGTCATAACATAGCAACAATTGCATTCCTTTTGAATTTGGCAAAGTAATGATGGTGTGTGGAGTAATTGGTCCTTGGCTCTAAAATTAGATAAATCATCATCAACATTGAATGGTAATGATCAAAATGATCAAAATAAAAGACTTACATGATTTGGTATATAGATATCATAAACTGCTCCACTATCCAATTCGATTGCATGAAATCCTTCCAATGAACCATAAATGACTTTCAATCGAATACCTTCTTCGATAGTCATATCGACTAGTAATGGTTTATGGGCAAGATCCAGAAATGATTTGAATGACATAAATTTATGATAAGGTTTTGGTGCCCATGCATAGATTTCAATACTGTCTTTCAAGGCAATTACCAAAAATTTGATACGATCATATTTGACTATATTCACATTATTAATAGAATGAAAATATTTAAACAAAATAAATTAGTAAATAATTTTAAAAAATTAAAAAAAAAATCAAATGCAAAAAAACAAACAAAACAAAACTTGGGAGAACAAAACTATATAATCTGAAAACTCATCACAAAAAAAACAACTAGCTAGTTGGATAAACAAAGAAAAAAAATATCATCTTCAACATAATCTTCGGAATCAAATCCGGAACCAACCATTTCCACTCCAAATTCGAAAAGTATTCTCCCAATCTTTTGATACATGTTGTGGTATCTGCCAACCAACTAATTATCATCATCGAGTTAAACATTTTGAAAAAACAAACGAACAAATTGTTAGTTTAAATTTCAGCTAACGTAAAATGATAAATTGGAACAGAAAATGGAAATGTGCAACCACAACAACACAACAGTAAAATAAAAAACTATAGAAAATAACCGAAAACTATTGCAACTAAAAAATTGTTTCGAAATTTACCAATTTTAAAATGAACAGCACCATCCAATTCACCAACATTGATCCAGCCATTCTTTTTCTCGATCTGCTATTAATAAATAGGAAGAAATTAATTGTCAACAAATACAGGAAAAAAATGAAACAGACTAACCTGATCAGTACGAATAATTTTACTTTTAAGCCACGACAAATGATAGACACGAACACGAGATTTTTTACCCGAAATGGTAACCAAAATATTTTGACCTTCTAACACTTCCATCTGTTGAAATCGTCTCCTCGATATAAGATGATACACTTTGCCTTGACCACTACGATCTAATAACATTAGACCATTTTCTGTACCAATCAAAAGATTAACACCCCAAAGGGCAGCGCAAAGCACTTCGGAATTAAAACGTTTTTTATATTTTCTGATTTCCGGAGTATCCGGTTGTACTGATGGTGAAACATTGACGTTTACTTGTGATTCTCGACGAGGTGATGGACTAGATACAGGTTCAAGGACCATATTGTTATTATTGTTGTTGTTGTTTGTACCGGCACCAAAACCGAACGTTAAAAATGAACGTTGTTTTTGTTGCATCTGTTGTGATAAAACAGATTGGCGTTGTAAATGTGATAAATCACCTGATCGATTTGAATCATCCTGAGGTAATAGATCCGGTATGACACCACTTTGTCGTGAGCTTTGGTTTGAAGATGATGATTCATTGCGATTCTGAAATTGAAAATAATCATAATCAAAAATAAGATTTCAATTGATAACAAATCAAAAAAGCTGGTTAAAAAGCCGATTAAGACAGCAATTAATTAAGTACGATGATTAAAAGCAACAAATAAATGATTAAGATCTTTTTTTATGATGGGTAAGGTCTTAAAACTATTGCAAAGCATAACTGATAGCCATTATGCAACAAACAGACATCTTGAGAAACATTCATCAAACCTGTACTTTGGTCTTCGGTTTCAAATCAAAAAATTTGGAACCCAATTTGGTTTTCTGTTGTTGCTGTTGCTTTGGCTCATGTTCAATAGTTGGTTTCTGGTTTTGTATCGGGGTCGATAACTCAGATTTTAAGATTACACCGTTGCCATTCGATTGTTGCTTATGGTGATCCAGGTTACATTTATCATCACTATTCTCATTCTCATTCACATCAACCACATCTCGACTATTTAGTAACGGAATTTTTGTTGGTGGTATTTTTCTAATATCTACATCTAATCTTGAACTAATTCGTCGATCTTTGATCATTTCTTTACTACTATGATTACTTGACTCAACAACTGAAAATCGTTTTTTCGGATCATCAAGCAAACCATTAGATCGTATATTTTCTTTTGAAATTTCATTACTACTATTTCGGTTATTATCCTTAATATTATTACTATAATTATTTTCATAAGAATTCAAATTATCACTACTAACATTATTTTTAGGTGAATGTTGTTCAGTTGAATTAGTTTCAATACTAACATTATTCATCATTTGTTTCTAATCGGTAAAAAAGAAGGGGTTAAAAATGTCATAAAAAATTGTCAAGATCAAATGTCAATACTATGAATGAATAGAGATGAAGATTGCTTACCTTTCTTAATACAAGTGTTTGATCATTAGATGAACTATCATCATCTTCTTGGGAACTATTTTTTGGCAATGGAGGCAATGGTTTTGATGGTGGATAACAATCACCCGGTGGTGGTGGAGGCAACGGTCTGTTTGGTGGTTGACTTGATGGTTGAATATTGCGAAGATTACTTGGTTCCGGTCTATAATGGAAAAAAGTTGAAATTAAAAAACAAAAACAAAAAAAACCCGAAAACATACAAAGGACGCGGTGGATCGGACGCCAATAATGTTCCATCATTTCGACGAACCAAACCATTCGGACCAACATCATCCTCCTCGTCATCATCATCGTCGTCGTCATCATCATCATCCTCTTCATCCTCCGAACCTGAATTGACTATTATTGGACCTGAAGGTCGATTTGATGCGATCATTGGTTGCTTGAAATTTGATACAAAACCATTTTGTGGTGATCCGTTGCTATCTCTGCTAATCAATTTCTGTCCTTTTGGATGGCCATTATTATCATTACTATTGTTGACAGTTTTCTTGGCTTTTTGTCCATTTCTATTCACATTATTTCCAGAGTTTCCCATTTCGTTAAGTTGAGCAGCCAACACTTCAAGATCTTCTGGCTTTTGGAATTGAGCTTTGAAATAGCCAGAATTTCGGTTAGCTTGATTAGTAATGTGCGGATGTTGAGCATTTGATAGATTCGAAGATTGTAGCTGATGTTCAATATTTTTACCATTCACTTTTTTCTTATTATCATTTTCAACTGGTAATGGCGGCAAAGGCTTTGATGGAGGCATTTCAGGTGGCGGAACAGCTCGAGTAGGAGGTGCCGGTAAAGGTCGATTTGCCATATGTGATGAAATCGGTGGTGGGGGGTGATGAAATTTTTCGGGTGATTTATGAGAAGGTCCGGCTTGTTGTTGTTGAAGATGTGGAGGATGTCCATTTCGTCCCATATTTGGTGAGACAGGATTCTTTTCATTTTTTTTCAAGGTCGATTCTTGTTGATTTAAATGATCGCGCAAATCCATCATCATGGCAGGTGGTAGATTTGATTCTTCTTCGTCATCATCACTGGCTGCGTAACGGTCTTCGAAATCATTGCGTTTTAATTTCTTACATTTATCTATATGTTCTTTGATTTGATTTCGGACTTGCCGTTCGTTTGGTTGATCTCTAATAAATGAATTTTTTAGTAATTGGTCAGTAAATGGTCTTTTAGTGTAATCTTTGACCAAAACTGTTTCGATAAATTTTTGAAACTTTTGGGACCATTTTTTAGATTTCAATCGTGGCGGTGGATTTCTTGGTATCAAAAATAAAGCCCTCATTGGGTGTAAATCACAAAGTGCTAAAAATTGAAAAAAATCAATTAAATTTCAACAAACAATTTTTTCCCAGAATAAAACTTACGCGGAGTATTTTCAGCCATTTCGATGGCGGTAATACCGAGCGACCAAAGATCACTACGATTATCATAAGTAGCTTCGGGATTTTCATCACAAGCAATGACTTCAGGAGCCATCCAATATGGCGTACCGATGAATGTATTACGACGGCCAATTGTTCGATCCAATTGAGCACTGACACCAAAATCGACTAGTTTGACTTCAGCATCATCGGTAAGCAAAACATTCTGGCCTTTTATATCACGATGAATAATTTTGTTCTGATGTAAATGATTTAATCCTCTTAATATTTCACGACAAATATAGGAAATCCAATCCTCTTTTAATGAATGTCCTTTTGTTGATTTAACCAGATCGGTTACCGAACCTGCACCACAATATTCCATAACAAGCCATAATTTATCATCTTTAGCTTCAGGACTTTTATGAATAAAAGCTCCATAATAAGTGGCAATATTTCGATGATGAGAAAACTTTTTTTTATAAATTAAAATTTAGAAAAAAAAAATTCATTATAAAACGAATCATCATCATCATCAATCAAAAAATAATAAGCAAAAACAATGAACAAAAACAATGCTTTATTTTTAATAATCAAAATGACTTACCTTTTTCAAAACATTTATCTCCAATTTGATTTCATCCTCTTCATCTTCAGTTACATCCATAATTTTGATGGCAGCCAATTGGCCTGTTTTTGTATGACGACCCTAATCACAAAAACAAAAACAATAAATAATTTTTATTCAATAAAATAGAAACAAAAACAAAAACTTGACAACTTACTTTATAAACTTGGCCATATGTACCGTTACCGACAACTTCGATTAGATCAAAAATACCGGCAGGATCCTAATGATTGTAATAAAAACAGAAAACAAACAAACAAAAACAAGGTTATTAACATCAATAAATACGGAAGAGTTGATAAACAAACAAAAAAAAATCAATCAATCAAACAAATTGAATGAATGAAATGGCAAAAAAATTTTCCGAATACATACTTTTAAGCTATTAAGATCGATGTCATCAAGACTACAATTGATTGATTGTGCCATAATTGAAAAAGAAATTTAGTTTGAACGATTATCGTTTGTCTTTTTTTGTTTTGTTTTGTTTTTAAATCAAAAATTGAAAAAAAAATTATCCGATGATTAACATCCTATGTAAAGTATTTTCGTTTTGTTTTTTTTTCTATTTAAAAAAACGCTTGATTTTTTAGTTATCTTAAAAAAATATAAGGCCCAAATAGACAAATAAACACAGTGTGTATTGTTTTCAATCTCTCTCCCTATTTCTGATTATTGAATGGCTTGTTTTTCTGATGAAAATTTTTTGTTCCACCACTATTTAGTCATATGATTAAATAATCCATCCAGCCAAAAAAAAACAATCATATGAATATTATAGGATCAATCAATCAGTCAATTTTTTTTATATACGGATTATATATGGATTCTATTCATTTTTACATTTTTATTTGTTTTGGGCAATAATCGATGATAAAAAAAAAGAAAAACAATAAACAAATATTGATGTGATATGTTTATAATAATAATAATAATAACAAAATGATTTTATGGATTTGGATGGTGTTTTGATGTTTTTGTTTCGTTATAGTCAATGTTTTTCTTCTTTTTGATTAATTAAAGTTTGATGACAAAAAATTATTTATTTTGCATTTATTATAGAAAAACACTCACACAACACCAACCCACACCCACCAAACTGATGATAATAATGATAATGATAATGATGATGACGACGACAGAGAACCGACAACGACAAAAATAAAATTTAAAAAAAAACTAAAAATGAATGATTTTTGTTTTCACTATTATTATGGTAGAAATGGCCAATTATGGACTACAAAAAAAAAATGATGATGAAAAACGACAATAACAAATCATTTGTTGGTTGAATTTCAACAACAAACAAACAAAAAAATTGTTGATCATTTAATCAAATGAATATTTTTGGCTATATTTTCACATTTGTAATGCAAAAAGGAAATTGATTTATAATACGAAAAAAAAGAAATAAAAAAAATCGAATGCGTATACATCACACAAACACACAGTGCAAAAAAAAACCGAGGAAAGAGTCAATCTAATGATTGTAAATAATAATGATGATGATCTTCAATCGAAAATATCAAAAATCTCTAGTCAACAACAACAACACAAAACAAAACAAAACAAATCGATGATTTTGACTTGACTTGAAGAACCGGTCGATATAATAATCATCATCACTACTGGATATTATCTTGAGAAATTATTCACCGATACACACCACACATATTTGTTATTTAAAAAAACAGCTCAATGGAATTAGATAACGATGATGATGGTGGTGAAAAAAAACCGCCACTACAAACCGTTTTTATTTTTGAAATGATCATAAATTTTTTTTTTGGTGGATTTTTTTCTCGTTTGCTCAACACAGTTTTAACAACAAAAAAAATCCAATTTTCAATCAAGTTTATTTCTGTTTGATTTCATTCGATATTAAAAGGTAAATAAGGTATTTTGTTTGAATAGGAAATTCTCATTCATTTCATTTCATTTCATTCACAGGATAATCATGTATTGAAAAATATGTCAATATGTCTTTGATCACACACAAATCGATTATATTTGAGAAATTTTGCTTTTTTTTCGGAGAAAAATTTCAACAGATTTCTTTTGTCTGTTAAATTATTATTCGATGATTGTCACATTTTTTTTTTTGATTTCACCCATTTACAAGAACATTCAATGGAGAACCACAAAACACTTTTGAGACACACTTGTGAAGAAGCGAAAAACAATGGCAACAACAAAAAAAAACCCAAGAATCTAGAATTTCTAGATTCTTAGGAACATGGAAAAATTTTCATTCGAAAAAATTATTTCAAAAATTAAAAAATTCGAATGTAAATATGAAATCATCATCATCACACACGGACATAGGAGGAGTATGCGTTTTTTTTCCAATTTGGTCCGGGTATTGCTGCTGTTTTTTTTAATATTTCAAGAATTCGTTATTGTTTGATGAAAAAAATATACACAAAACTGAAAAAAACATCACACAAAGATAATGCAGGAAAACGACTCACACATTCTTATTACGACAACAACAACAACAAAATCATACAAATAGAAAGTGCATTTAACTTCATCATCAATCCGAAACGACATAAAAAGATTTCTTTCATTTTTTTTTCATTTCTGATTCTACATATATGACAGACGATGACAAAAAAAAAACAGTGTGTGTGTGTATGGGAGAAGCGGCAAACCCGATAAATAAAAAGTGGATAAATTTGCCAAAAGAAAAAACTGGCTGGATCTACCACCACCAATGAAAAAAAAACAGAAGAACAACGTAGCAAAAGAAGAGAAGAAAAAGCCAATGGATATTTATTGTTGTTGTTGAAACGATATTGTTTAATTGTAGTAGTCGATAGAAATGATATCGAACCTTATTTATGGAAGTAGTATCGTAATAATCGTGATAATATTTGATGGAACATTACATTTAACAGAAAAGATTCATTCGCATTGCAGTCAATTCATTCCAACAACAACAACAACAAAATGATAATGTTCCAAACATAACAACAACAAAAAAAACGGGCACCATTCACCAATGTTAAAAAGGAGTGGATCAAGCCAATGATAGTCAGTATAAAAAAAAGAGAGATACTGAAAAAAAAAGTTCAACAGCATATAAAACAAAAATTGTAAGGATCCATCATTTGAGAAATGGAGAGAGAAAAAAATATATAGGATTTAAATGACGATATTTTCGAAACACGCATGCGTTGTCGCACCCGAATTTTTAAAAATTTTTAATTTTTAACATTATCCAAAAACTTTATTAGGAGGTGAGGTTCCATAATAATAATCCATTCGGTTAGTTTAAATTGATTTTTTTGTTTTGTTGTTGAAAGAATCCAATCGATAAAAAAAACCTTGTTATCCAAACAATCCATCGATTGATTTTCATTGCTTTCATTTCAAGTTACATCCATCCATCCATCTTGTACACACTTGTTGATTTTGATGATTCACCGAAAAGAAAAATCATAATCATTATTCAAGAAAAAACTATACCTCCTACCTGTATAAAATTTCAAGGCAACAAAATAAAAAGAAACTGGATTTCATTTCAATCATCATCATTAAAAAAAATAGCCATAACCGAATATCGAATGAACTGAAAACAACTAGATTTTTGTTTGTTTGTTTGTTTGGGGATATGACGCCCGATCACAACTAACCAACCAACCAATCAACTGCAGTCAACCATCATGCAGAAAAACAAAAACAAAAAAAAAACTATTCGGCGCCATATGACCAAATGAAGTTCATCCAATTTAAACACACACATACACGCAAAAACACAAAAACCACATTTGAAAACTTGAAAAACAAATCTAACCAATGAAGATGATGGTGATGATGATGTAATGAGCTGAAAAATGAATGAATATACAAAAAAAAACCGACAAACTAACTATTCATGAACAAGTTCATTGATCTTCAAAGAAAAAAAAACAACATTTTCCGAAAGATTTTTTGAATTTATTCTTAATTCTGGATGAATGAAAAAAATGAAAATAATTATTCTTTTGAAAATCATCAACAAACACGCAAACATAAAATGATTAGTTTTTTTCTGACATTGAAAACACACAAAAACGTGTTTGAACACAAATGTAAAATATGTTGTTCACATTAAATAATAATTAAAACAATGAAATGGAATGTTTTCGTTTGCTATTCGGCAATGAATAAGACGTAATTTGTTTTTTTGCAATTCAACATTTTAAATCGTAATTTGTTTGTTTTTCATAAAATTTCATTGTTTCAAATTCTTTAAATTCATAATTTTCATTTGTTGATTTTGGAAGATTTGAATTTTTCAATTTTTGAAAATATTGAATTCATTTGATTTGTCATTATTGTTGATTTTTTTTTTGTTTGGGTAAAAACCGAAACATTTGTTTATTTTATCATTATTTTTTTCAAAATTATTTCATAATCATTTGCATTCAACCACAAATTCAAAAAAAAATCTAATAAACAAAGAAAAAGAGGGATTTTTTCGTTCCTTATTCAAGGATCGTATTTCATTCAATAGATATACTTTAACCAAGAATCACAGATCATCATTGCTTCTTATCACATACAAATGTAAATTTTATGAAGATTATTATTTTAAAAAAATAAAATATTTATTTTTACCATTTTGATTTCGGATTTTTTTGTTTTGTTTCTTTCACTCGAAGATAGACGAAATAAACAAAAAATTCAAAGAAGATACAAAATATATGGTGTGATGTTTGTTTATTTTTATTTTTGTTAAACAAAAATGGACATCAAAAACCAAATTGGAAAAATTTTGTTTTTCATTCGCTGAAAAAAAACATTCGAATTTGATTTGAAAAATTTTTTAACGATGAATGAAAAGAGAAAAACAGATTCTTTATTTTTGTCTTACCCTGGAAATAATAATGTTCGATAAGTGAATGTCCATTCAAAGTGGACGAACGGAAAGAAAAATCCAAAGTTTTTTTCGAAATTTTAATAGCTATTTTTTTCCAAAGAAATTCAAAAATTCATCAAAGTTATTATCCTTGAACAGTTTGAAATTTTATTTTCTTTCTTTCCAATTTTTTAAATAATAATCATTGGAAAAAAATTTGAGAAAGGAAAGGAAATGGTCACACATAAACGCACACACTGTTTATAAGATACGAACTAAATTTTATTTTTATGACTTGAAATAAATTTTTTTGTTTTCAATTTAAATAAGACACAACGAGTTGATGATGATGATGACGACCAGATGACAAATGTGAATGGTTGATTTTGAAAAAAGCCCATTTGAAAAAAAGGATTGGTATAATGATGATAGCCATTTTTGATGATGATGAATGAATGACAACTCCAAAAAAAACAAGTGTTTGAAGAGCTGAAATTTGTTTTCAATTAAGGTTTTTTTTCTTCGTTTGATTAAAAGTAAGCGATGATGTTTTTTTATTTACCGAATCGAATTGAATAGTAACACAAACAGATGCTTTCAATATCTCGGTTTTCAGTTTTTTTTTTAATTATAAACCTGAAAATTTTCTTATTGAGCTTATGGGATTGATTTAAATATAATTCATTAGGAATTGTAGCAAATGATTATTCAGGCAAGATCGACCGACATTTTTTTCAGATGTTCTTCTGGTAACATTGATGCAGATTCATTATCAAGAATCCAATATAGATCACCTTTTTTCGGTACAACCATACCAGCGGGAAGTAATTTACCATCAACAACAATATCCTAAATATTAATTCATTTTGAAAAAAAAGATAAACAGTGCATAAATAACGTTTGAATTTTTTTGTTTAAATAAATATTTTGTATATAAGAAAATCAAGTCCACCCAATTACCTTGACTATTTGAGCTTTAGCAGCTCCGGCAACAAAAAATACACAACATTTTGCATTGTTCAAAACGGGTAGTGTCATTGTAACACGATTTGGTGGAGGCTATTCTCATATGAATGAAATTTTTTTTTAAAAAAAAGGATTGCATTTGCATTATTATTGGTCGACGTTAGTCATTCAAATCTAAATAGATAGCTAACATAATGAATGTTTAATTTAGACCTACTTTTGGTGAATCGCCAACATATGCAATCCATCGTTTTGTTTCCTAAGAATTTTGTTTGAATTGAAAAATCAAATGAAATATCAAAAATAACAAACATGTCATACATCAATGTTTTTAACAAAGTGTGGATGCTAAACTTACTTTCAATAATGGATGATTAGGAAACAATGAACAAGTATGACCGTCTGGACCCATACCAAGAAGTAATAGATCAAAACGGGGAAAATCAATTTCTGATTTTCGTGAGAAAATTTGTTTCATTTTCGAAAGATAATCATTGGCTGCAGCCCATGAATCTAAACTTGGATCAATTGTGATGAATTGATTTAAACTAATTTCAGGTATTTTCGGTATAACAATTGAACGATAAGTACCAAATGTACTTTCGGGATCGTTAAACGAAACAAGACGTTCATCGCAGAAAAAGAAACGCCATTTTTTCCATTCAGTATCAATTAATGGAAAAACTTCGGCTAATATGGCCGGTAAACTACCACCGGAAAGACCAACAGTAAAATAATGTCCTTCATGTTCATCAAAAGCTTTTTGAATGATTTTACGAAATTCTTCTTTTGATTCTTGTAATGAATCACATTTTAAAACATTGATGATATTAGCCATTATGGATAGTAAAACGATGATAATGTTAATTTTTTTTTTGAGTAGAATTTGTTGTTCTGAACTTGAACAAAGTCCTTGAAAATAGTATGAAACGTATATCTTTAGAATAATTTCGGGTTATAATAAAACAACATTAATAAACAAAGACAGATCATTTTGACGACATACAAACGATCAATAAAAATATACGAAGACAACACACAAGTACATTATGCGCGTCTATTCTAACAAAACATTGATTTTACAGTAGCAATAGAATTTTCTTATTCAACACAAAATTCTGTATACCAAATAATAATAACAAAAAACATGAATATTCCTATCCATGTTGCTACAGAAACATACAATGATATTGAGGGAAATCTTAATATTTTTCTTGAAAAAAAATCATTATTTTCTTGTACAGATGGAAAAAATGAAAATAGTTTAATCGATTTATTGTTTTCTTGTCATTGTTAAAATCTTTATGATTTTTTTTTTGTTGATTGATTTTCTCCAGAACACCACGACAAAAACAGTGATGAAATGCGTAGTTTCAAAACACGAATTGTTACCGTATTATTCGTCTGTTCAATCATAACTGTTTCAATGTTATTCTATTTTATGCTCATTTTCGATGACAAAAAGGTATTTTATATCACTATTTTTAGCCATTTTCTTTTGAATTTTAAAATTTCATTTTATCCACACATGTCATTGTTATAAAGTTGGCAAACAATTTAATCAATACATCTCGATCTGTGATTGTTGTTGGATTTGCTGAACTTCGTAAAGAGAATCTAACATTATGTGAAACATATGAGAAAAAAGTTAAACTCAAATTGACGCAAATGTTTGATGAGGATTCTGCTGCTGCTGGGCATCATATTGATAATGATGATGATGATGATGAAAAAAGTGTAAATGAGAATTACCTTGGAAATTTTTTTGAATCGTTGAAATCAGATTTGCAGCCTAAACAAGAAGATTCAAGTAATAATTCAGCATTAAATTTTAAGAATAAAGAATTGAAAAAAATCTGGTCGATAGCCAAAAAATGGGTTCGTGCCCGGCAAATAATTCCGGAGAAAGCACCAGAATTGTCATTAGTAATTCAAGCATTACAACATTCCAAAATAATCAAAAGTGATGTCAGCCGAAAAGGTACTCAATTGAAGCTTTTATTAACGTTAGAAGGTGGCCAACAAGCATTGTTTAAACCTCGACGTTATCCACTTGATTACATCCCTGACGATATTTATGCTGGAGCAGATCGTCATAATGGAGAAATTGTTGCATTTCATTTGTCAAGAATTTTGAATCAGAGATATGCACCGATTGTTGCATCACGAATAATTAACGTAGCGAATGAAATCAAACCTGTCGCATCTCCATCATTATTGGCTACATTCGTGCCACAAACAACAAAATCAAATAAAACTCTTGAATGTTTTTACGGAGAATGTTATTATTGTAATGAATATGAACTTTTATGTCCAGATGAATCAACAGGAACACTTGAAGGTGCCATCATTCTAATGTTACCTAACCAATATCAATTACAAAAATTACGACATCCATGGCAACGAACCTATAAAAAAAATCTTAAAGCTCAATGGGAAATGGATTCACATTACTGTTTATCCGTGCTGAAATCAAATTCATTACGACCACGTGTGTTAGATTTTGTTGACACTGCCATTTTTGATTATCTAATCGGTAATGCTGATCGTCATCATTATGAAGTGTTTAAAGATGTTTCGAATAGTGCCCTTTTATTAATTGGTAAGTTATTGATTTGTCCTTTGATTGAATAATTCTAATTTTTAGTTAATAGATAATGGAAAAAGTTTTGGCGATCCAGCACATGATGAAACGACTATCATTTTTCCATTACTACAATGTTGTGTGATTCGTAATCAAACTTATCAACATTTACGTCGATTTGCATTCTCAACCGATTCTAGTCGATTTAATTTATCTTCCATCATTCGACAATTACTTTCGAATGATCAATTATGGCCATTGCTCACCGAACGCCATCTACAGGCTTTGGATCGAAGATTAAGAATGATTATAGCCACAATTGAATTATGTTTCGATACATATCAACGAAATTATGTTCTCAAAAATTAATTAATTTATATATACTTTAATGGGCACTGTGTAACAATCATCGATCATCATCATAATTTATCTCAAGTTATTATAAAAAATAAGGACATTTACGATTTGGAACTTTACGTTTTGAATCCGGTACAGCATTGAATATTTTCGGTTCTTTTTGGTTCGATTGTTTGAATTCCAAAATTGCTGCCACATTAGCACAACGATAACAATAATTTGGTGCTGACCAAACTGTAATCAATTTGTTATCGAAATGAAATTTAAAACCTTCCTGAACCAGTTGATGAGCTCGACAAATTAGATTTAAGTTATTAATATGCATGAACTAATGGATATTTAACATGGATATTTAAAAAATAAAATAGATTTTTTGAACATTTTTTCCTTTTATCATTTTACCTCATGCGTAACTTTTGGGCCAAATAACCAACCTGCACCTCTTGGACTGATAGCAAATGTATCAACTTCTTCTGGATCAGACCAGACTAGATCACAGAATGGACCAGTACAGGGAATCTCCTGATTACGATCAATAGTTCGAATTTGGTCAATCATATTGATATCAGGTGATAGGCCACCATGGACACATAATACTTCATTATCAATTATCTAAGATGAGTGAATCAAATGAAAAATGAAACCAAACTTTTGTGAAAATAAACTTACCGCAGCAATATTCAGCAAATCAAATACATTGCAACAATATTTCCATGCATTTGAATTACCGTATTTGAGTAAACATTCATCATAGAATCCATAAATTTGTGTTATCTGTCGACTTTCATGATTACCACGAACTAATGTAATATGATCCGGATATTTGGCTTTCAATGTTAATAATCGAGTAAAAGTTTCGAGACTATAATGGCCACGATCAACAAAATCTCCCATGAAAATATAATTAGTTTCAGGAACATGACCACCAGTTTCAAATAATTTTTCCAGATCATAAAATTGTCCATGAATATCACCGCAAACAGTAACTGGACAGGAAACCGGCTGTACATTGGACTCTTCGATTAGGATATCAGAGACAATTTCACAAAGTTTCTATGATCGAATCAAAACAACAATCACGAATCAAATAAATGAGAAATGAAATGACAAAAAAAAACCTTTAGTTCATTTTCGGGCAAATATTTGCATTGTTTTGTAATCTCGATCCATTGATCCAAATCGGTTAATTGCATGGTGATAGGAGTGAACGATGATAGAATACAATGATATTAGAAAAAAAAAGATAATAAAAATAATAAAAACAAATTAAATCAAATTAAAAGAAAAAACGCAATTCTCATCGCATTTGATTCATCAATCTTTTTTTTTGTGAAAAAATCTCATCGATTTTAATGTTTCGTGTAAGTTGTTCATATACTACGGATTTTAAAAAAATCATGTGTGAGCAGTTCAGTCTTTGTTAAATTCAACTGATCAAATTAGAAAAATAATTTTTTTTTTTAATTTGACATAAAAAAATGGCATCATCTTCTAATATGAAACAATTAACATCATCTATACCAAAATATGGTGAACGAAAAAATTGGATACCTCGTTGTGATGCTGATTACGGTGGTGGTGGTGCATATCCCGAAATTCATGTTGCACAATATCCATTGGATATGGGCCGAAAACCGTCCAAAAAAAGTAATGCATTGCCTGTTCAATATGATGCCGAAGGAAATATTAAATATGATGCTATATTACGTCAATCATCTGATCGAAATAAAATAATTTACAGTAAATTACAAGATTTACTTCCAAGTGAAGTTTTGAATCCCGAAGAGCTAGCAAAACCAGATGAAGAAGAAGTGCATAAAACAACTGAAGCTACTAAAGCCGCATTAGAAAAATTAATTAATAGTAAAATATCAGCTGCATTACCGGTACGACATGCCGAAAAAACTGAAGAAGCTCAGTACATTCGTTATACTCCATCACAACCGGGCGAAGGTCATAATTCTGGAGCTGAACAACGAATCATTAGAATTGTCGATGTTCAACGTGATCCGCTCGAACCACCACGGTTCAAGATTAACAAAAAAATCCCTCAAGCTCCTCCATCACCGCCACCACCTGTTATGCACAGTCCAACAAGAAAATTGACTGTTAAAGAACAGCAAGAATGGCGTATTCCACCTTGTATATCAAATTGGAAAAATGCACGTGGTTATACAATACCATTGGATAAACGTTTAGCTGCTGATGGTCGTGGGCTTCAACAGGTTCATATTAATGAAAATTTCGCCAAACTTTCCGAAGCATTGTATATAGCTGATCGAACTGCTCGAGAAGCCGTTGAATCACGTTCACAAATGGAACGAAAAATGGCACAGAAAGAAAAAGAAAAGAAAGAAGAAAGTCTTAGACAATTGGCCCAAAAAGCTCGAGAGGAACGAGCCGGTATTCGATCAACAGCTCCTGGTGATAGTAGTGATGACGATGATGAAGTGAAAGAAAGAAATCAAATTCGACAGGAACGACAAAAAGAACGACAACGAGAAAAGAATTTGATGCGTGCTGCACCAGAACGACGATCAAAATTAGAACGTCAACGTGAACGTGATATAAGTGAACAAGTCGCTTTAGGCATGGCTAATCCACGAATGAATGCTAACGAAGTTCAATTTGATCAACGATTATTTAATCAGGCCAAAGGTCTGGGCACTGGATTTGGTGATGATGAAGATTATAGTGTTTATGATAAACCATGGCGATCAGCACAAGCAATGTCACAGAATATTTATAGGCCAACAAAAAAGAATGATAATGAAGTATATGGTGATGAATTAGAACAATTATCAAAAAATCGATTTGTTCCTGATAAAGAATTTTCCGGTGCTGATCGTTCGACTAAACGTGATGGACCAATACAATTCGAGAAACAACCAGAAGATGATGATCCATTTGGTTTGGATAAATTTTTAACCGAAGTCAAAAAAGCAAGTAAACGACCTGAAGCATCATCGGCTACATATGAAAATAGAAGTTCTTATAAAAAACGAAAAGATTAAATGATCATCAACGAAAATTATCATTAATTATCATTTAATGCATGGTAAAAATATTCATTCATCCATAAGCAAAAATCATATTATGTACATGTATCGATTTCATTTTTTTGTTTATCTAATAATAATTTTTTACCATAATATAATAAATTATCTTTCCATTTTTGTTGTCGTGATTCTTTGGTTCCTTCCAGTAACTTTGGCGCAAGTAATAATCGAGCATTTTCATGCCATGAATTCATATCTTTCGGCAATGGTATATCTGCCAAATTTATGTTCACATTTGAATTACTTGATGATTGACCAGTTTTCTTGCCTGCCGATCGATTACTAATAAAATTTTTTGGTTTGAATGGATCATAATTGATTTCATCGATTTTATTCATCAGTTTTATTTGTTCTTCAACTGGTAAGAATAATTTACTAGATGTTGTTTCTGTTTTTGATTCACCAATTTGTTCCTTGATTGTTTTCTTTAGTTTTTCCGATGCATGTTTATTCGTATCGAATGATGATGTAAACGATCTATTTGAACTACTATGCAAAGATGATTTACCATGTGAAGATGATCGTTTTGAATCTGGCGATCTTGATCGTCGATGATGATGTGATGATGATGACGATGATGAGGAAAAATATCGTTTCGAAGATTTGCCCATTTTCATAATTAAGATTTCGAAGAAAACAAAAATGAATTTTTTTTCAGAATAAAAAAAAAATTCACAAATGAATGTGACTATAAAAACAGCATACACACATGCCGGTCACAATTGATATGGTGATTTGAGCAGCTGCCAAATAAAAACTGATTGTTCATCATTGCATCTAAATTTTGAAGTTGTTTTTTTTGTGTTTATTCATTTAATTACACCGCGAAAATTGGTTGACATCTAGAATACAAGAAAAAAATCAAGATAAGGATGGCATCACATGCGGTACTTAAAGAACAATTAATCGAAATGGGATTTGAAGAGAATCTTATGTAAGTTATTTTTTAATATTTTGAAAATTAAAATTTCATTCGATTAATTTTTGTAGAAATGGGGCTTTAAAATTATTAAAAGAAAATGCAACATTAGAATCTGTAATCGAATCTATTGATAATGGAACAGCTGAAGAAGCGGTAAAAACATTGACTGAAAATGATCAAAAATCTGAATCAAAAGATAAAGCAGATGAAGGGAAAACACCGGAAGAAATTGAAGCCAAAAAGAAAGCATATGCTGAAAAGATTAAACAGAGAAGAGCCGAAATGGATGAAAAAGAAAAAGAAGCTGAAAGATTAAAAGAGTTACAACGTCGTCGAGAGGGAAAAGATATGGGAAAAGTTCGTGATGAATTACAGCGTAAACAACAGGAAACTTATATAGAAAGTTTAAAACGTGAAAAAGATGAAGAAAAAGCAGCAAGAGATAAAATTCTTAAACAAATTGAGCTTGATAAAGCTGAACGTAGAGCCCGAGCACAAGGTATTCCGACGGGAGCGAATCCTTCAACGTCATCCGCAGTCATAACTCCTTCCAAACCGAGTCTTGTATCTACAGCTTCCAAAACAGGTAAAACTAAATTGGCAATTCGATTATTGGACGGTACTCAAGTGGTTGAAGAATTTGACGATAAAGAAGTACTTTCAGCCGTTCGGGCTTATATTGTAACTCAGAAGAATATCGATTTTAACATAACATTTACAATGCCTCTTCGACCACCATTCACTGAAGAAGATATGACCAAATCATTATTTGTACTTGGACTTTCTCCAAATGCTCGTTTACAAGTGGTCAAACGTACATCATAGAAGCTTTTTAATTGATATTTTTTAAAAAAATAAAGGTTTTCACCAATGCCCACATTTATTTTTAACGGTTGTTTCAATAAAATCTAAATGATTAGCATATAGTTTTGTTTCTCGATCTATGTCCATCCATCGAACATTTCTTGCATCATCACCGGCTTTCAATGATAATGAATTAAGCATGTCTCCTTGGTCATCATGGAAATTGACGGCAACTGTTTCGATCCATGCATTGTCCGTATTACGTGGATCATTGACATAACCTTTGAAAATTGTCTGTCCATGAGTGAAAAATTTTTTCAATCTATCATTCATTTTATCAAGTTCAGATGATGATAATTCCATAGAATTCAGACTTTCTTCGAAAAATTCTCTTTTCAACGTTTCAGGTACTGTTTCACCCGGATCAACCATTCCCTTTAAATATTCAACAAAATAAAACACGAATCAGATATCGATGCTATAGTGAAATTTATAAAATACCAACCCCTGGAATTGCCCATTCAAGAACATCTTTCCTTTGAATGGCAACAAATTGCATAATCGGTTTGCCACTTGACTTATGTTTGATAATTTTGTTGGAATCATCACGTTTCCATCTGTAAATTCATGTTAGACAATTTTATAATCAAACTATGACAACAAACCTGGTTACAATTGGATCGGCAGCATGATTTGGTCCCCATCGTCCAAGAAGACCTCGCATCATAACACCTGTTCTACCGGTAGGATTTAAAGGAAAGCCATCTTTATCGATAGAATATTTGCCGCAATGACTTCGACGATCAATGTTTGCATCTAATTCATTCCATTTTGGATGAAAATTTACATCTTTAATATCTGGATCGGCCCATGGTTTTTGACCAAAATCGATAATTACCGGCACAGGTTTATAATCTTTCCATTCGATATTCCAATCTTTTAGTTTTGCTGAAACGGGAAATCTTTCAATAACTGCTTTACCTGTACGATAAAATTTAAAATCTAATAGCAAAAATAGTAAAAATAATAAGTTTTTGTTTAAAATTTTGAACATCTTACTTGTCATTTTGGAAATTTACGTACTTTGTGAGTTTTTTTTTCGATTTCATCATCATGCAACTTTAATTGACGTCTGTTCAAATTGCATATATTTTTCATCACAATAAAACGATTGTGTTTATAATTAACTCTTTTTTTTGGCTCGGCAATCTTCAGTTACGCCAAACAAACGAATAATAATAATAAAAAAAAATATGAAGAAAAAGGTTAGTAAGATGTTCAATTTGAATCACTTAAGATTTCAATCAAAATTAATTATGAAAGGTTTTATTAATGGGTAAAAGTGGTTCGGGCAAAACCAGTATGCGATCGATAATATTTGCCAATTATATTGCCCGTGATACACGACGATTAGGTGCGACAAGTAAGTTTGTCCATCAGTTTTTTTTGTTGGAAAACAACTTATAATTTTTAAATCAATTTTAGTTGATGTCGAACATTCACATGTTCGATTTCTTGGCAATCTTGTTCTCAATATTTGGGATTGTGGTGGTCAGGAAGCATTCATGGAAAATTATTTTGCATCACAACGTGAGGTACATAACATTAGTAATAGAAAAAAATGATTAATCAAAATAAAATTTTTTCTTTTTTTTAATGATTATCATGAAAGAATATTTTCAAAAATGTTGAAGTTTTAATCTACTTATTTGATGTTGAATCAAGAGAAATCGAAAAAGATGTTCGATATTATCAAAATTGTTTGGAAGGAATAATGGAATATTCGAATAATACCAAAGTATTTTGTTTGATACATAAAATGGATCTTATTCCTGATGATCAACGTGATATTGTAATTAAATTTTGATAAGATTTATTTTTGAGAATGATCATTAATGAACCTTTTTTTTGTGAATAGATATTCAAAGATCGTGAAATATATCTGAAAAAAATGTCTCAACCACTTGAATGTATTTGTTTTCGTACTTCGATTTGGGATGAAACATTATATCAAGCTTGGTCGGCTATTGTTTATTCATTAGTACCAAATGTTGAAGATCTTAAAAATCAATTACGAATTTTTGCCGATATAATCGAAGCCGATGAAGTATTATTATTTGAAAGGGCTACATTTTTGGTCATTTGTTATTGTGAACGACGTCGACATGCTGATATTAATGTATGTTTGTTTATTGGATAAAATTCATTTGATTAATTTATGGCAATAATAATTTTTTTTTTAAATAGAGATTTGAAAAAGTTTCAAACATAATTAAACAATTTAAATTAAGCTGTAGCAAATCGACTGCACAATTTCAATCGATGGAGGTGAAAAATTCCAAATTTTCTGCATTCATCGATGAATTTACACCCAATACATATGTGATGGTTATTATATCGGATCCATCTATTCGTAAGTATCTTTAAGAATAAAATTATTTCATATTCTTAATCAATTCTAATTTATCAGCATCGGAAGCAACATTGACCAATATAAAAAATTCAAGAAAACATTTTGAAAAATTGGAAGGTGTTAAACATTTATCATCACAATCGACCAGTACTACTTATAGTAATCATTAAATTTTGATTATTGTATAATATTTATATGATGATTATAATATTTTTGTTTTTTTTTGTCAAAAATAAAAATTCCATAAATGGAATCATAAATGTAATTGAATAAAAAATATTAATTACTGAAAATGAATGAAAACAAAGATGAAACACAATATCAATGTTCCATAGGGGTTCTAAACAATAGAAACATTCATTTTTAGAAGAAAACAAAAAGAAATGAAAAATGACAATTAATTTCATTTCTTTTGTTTTATTCATTCTTAACGATGATTATAAAAAAAAATTTCGCTTTGTTGCACAATTTTTATCTTTGATTCTAGCCATCCAGAAAAAACAACAATGTCATCAACGGATGAAAATTACTAACCAAAAAACATTACATATGATGAATCGATGAACAATATATATTTGGCTAATTGCCTAAAACACTATAGTAGAGTAAATTAAGTCATTTTATTTGTAACAAATCATTATATGATTCTACTGGAAGTAAATAATCACAATAATAATCATAATAAATATTGTTTTCGTTTTTTGTTTGTTTGTTTTGTTTTGTTTATGAAATAAACAAAATATACAAGCGTAAATCATATTAATTTATTTATGTTTTTTCGCTTTAAAAAACTATTATCATCTTCATAATCATCATCATCAAGATGATCGTTATCATTAAATTTCATAAATAATTTTTTTTTTGATCAAACGCTTTAAATGTTCAAATTCAAACAGTGTAATGAAAATGATAAAAATCATCATTGTTAATCGATGCATGATAAGGGGAAAGGTATAGGGGAATGTATACGATCATCATCATTATGATCATTTTGCTATATATGTTATACTAGTCATAATAAAACACTTTAAGCTCGAATGAATCTGTTTGTATGAAACTTTTTAAACATTTAGAATCTCCAATTCCAAGAGAGATAGAGAGAGAGATAGAGAAATCGTTTAAAGGTTTTGGGTCTTTACCATCCCGTTAGATTTATTTATTTTTTTGTGTTCGTATTTCATATGAAACAATATATAACCGAGATGTTCACTTTATGTTTGACGCATCTATGATTTTTATTCGAATGTTGTGTGATCCATTATCCAACAATGAATAACACACACACACACAACAATATCCATTAGATGTATTTGAAGCTAATATTTTTGTGATTCATGATGACATCATTTCATCTATAGAAGATATGTTCCAAAAAAACAGCAACAACAACATATGAATAATGAAATTTATGAGGTGTGTATACATGGTTGACATGTTTTTTTTCTGGTGAAAGGCAATGAAAAATTCAAACGAATCATTCTTATGAATTGTCATTTGAAACACTTCAAACATTAACTTTTGTTTGTTTTTTATTTATTTGTTTGTTTGTTTGTTGATGATATATGTAGTTGCATAACGGCGATGATGATGGTGATGATAATATGATCATCATTGTATCAACAACATTATCCAACGGCTAATGTTGATGCAATGATGTTGTTGTCATCAGGCAATCCTTTTTTCCTGTGTAAAAGAAACGAAAGTGGCAACTTCTTTTTCCATATAGTGTAAATGGTTGTTGTATGTCCATTCGGAAAATTTTTGTCTTCTTTTACCATGATCTTTGTTTTTTAGCTAATTTTTTCATCAAATTCATTCAATGGACATTTACAGATATTCTATTACGATGACAATTTACGCTCAAGTGGTTTCGGTTAATTTTTTTTTGGCGCCTTTCAGTTGTTGTTGGCTTTTAAGTGGCCTAGTTGACAAAATGAAAAAAACAAAGACCATTTCTTATTGAAATGATGATGATGATCACTTTTTCGAAGTAAGAGCAGGAGAGGAAAAAGTTTTCATAATGGACGAATTGAAAAAATTTTCAAAAAAAAATTTAAAAATTTAAAATCTTTTACAAGATCATTGTGTAAATGTCATTTCGAATGTGCTCTATTTACTTTATATAAAAATAATCATATCATACCCATTTCGGGAAAAATATCTTTCCAACATCATCATCATCAGTAGCACATTGATGATGTTAAATTTTGATTGATAACTTCAGCTCGAATAAACTTGGAACAACAACAACAACAACATTATCGTTGAATAACATTGCGCTTTTTTCATCGAAAAAAAAAACATTTATCGACAAATTCGGAAAATTGAATTGAATTCATCCGATTCGAAAATCAAACACAAATTCAATTCGATCGTCACAAGCATTTTTTTTTGCCGAAAAAATTCAATTTGAACGATTTAAATGTCAAATGTTTTTTGGGGGATAAAGAGACAGAGAGAAAACGAAAACAAAATCAAATTAAATTCATAAAGCTCCTATGACCTTGTCACCATACATTTTCAACCAATGAATTATGGTCTTAATTTAATTTAATTTAAACAAGAATAAAAAAATGAAAATAAAACATTTGTATTGGGCAAAATTTTCTGTTTTTTTTTCTTCTTCATTGATTAACCTCATCATCAGTTAAAATAATTACCTTTTTTGAATAAAATACCTCGAAGGGTGAAAAAAGTAAATAGAATTAATAATAATTTGAGGCAAAGAAAAAAAAATAACATGTTTCAGTGGGGTTATTCAAACATTATTATTATTTTCTTTTTCATTTCGGTTTGTTGTTGATTATTATTATGGATAAAATTGACAATCCAATTAATATTGATAGAGAGAGGGAAAAGAGAAATGAATCAAACTTGTTTCAACCAAGTTTTTTTTCGTATATTCTGTATATTCTGTATAGAGTGGTATTTACTTAAACAATTTTATTCATTACGAAAATTTCTAAGATGATTATGATCATCATGCAAAACAAAAAATAATGAATTCAAAACATGAATTGATTGAATTGTTATATCATTATTTACACAATTCATAATTGACCAAAAATAATAAATATTTGAAAAGAGTCTATTCTGAAACTCCTTTTTACACACACATAAGTTATTATGTAACCAAACAATATTTCATTGTATGTTTGTTTTTTTTCGATGAGAAAAAACCAATTCTTTCTTTTTTTATTCATTTGAAAAATGAATAAAAATGTTTTTTGTTGTTGTTTGCTTGCTTGCTGGCTAGCCTAGAATCGTATACATGATCCATATTAAACTCAATTGTGTACGTGTTTTTTGTATTAATATCGAAAAAAAATGAAAATTGTTGTTATCCAAATGATTATCATAGATTGTTGTTGTTTGAATTCTATCATGCGAATTTTTTCTTGGTTCATCAATAAATTGTTTACATACTTGTTTATTACAATATATATTCTATACTTTTATTATTTACGGGTAACAAACAAACAAACTAACCAAAAAAAAAACCGAAAATTGTTTATTTGGTTAATAGAATTTCATTTTTTTGTTTGTTGTTTCAGGAATAATCTTAATTGAATGATATCGATGGGTAATAATTTATTATCGATGGTTTATTTTTTTTCCCCCGCTAATATATTCTCGATTCTTAAATTCTTCTATGATTATCTCATATGATGATGGAGTTGGTTTTCAGATCCGGAATATTGAAGGTTGAATTAATCTTTCGCTTTTCCTGGTTGTGTTTGTATAAAGAGAAATAAGGAATTTACAGTATACACGAAAATTGCCGATGGCCATTTTAATTTGGTTTGTTTTCTCTCTTTCTCTTTTTCAATACAATGGATTGGATGCTTCCGCTGTTCAACATCAAATTCATTAAATTGTTTACCAAATAAATTTCAATTTTCGAATTGAATTGTTGTTGGTTTTTTTCCATGTTCAATACGTTTTGTAAAAAAAAACATTCAATTCAATTCATTACAAGAACAGAAAAAAAAATCAAACAAAGAATTTTCTTTTTCGATTCAGGAAAAAAATGATAAAATTAAATTCCATCATTTTTTTGGAAAATGAATGGAAAGAATAAAACTTGAAATTTTTGAGTGAAAAAAAAAATTTTTGACTAATCAACTCAACCAACATTTTTGGCATGTACTGACTGACTGAATACAGTGTATCAAGCATAAATGTTTGTTTTTTTGTTTTGGTTCGTTTAAGTAAAATGTTATAATTGATTATATTTTACGTTGCTTATTATCATCATCATTGATCAACACATTAACGGGTTATAATATTTTCTCTCTGTGTTCAGCAATAGCAGGAAAACAAAACGAAAAAATGTGATTCATAAATCTAGATGTGAATGTTGCAGAATAGAATCATTTATTAGATTCAACACTTTTTTGTTCTTTTCTTTACTTTTATTTTTGTGAGAATAGATGATTATCATCATCAGGCAGGCATTCTCTCCCCTATCCTATTTTTCACTAATGTTTGTAAATGTGAATTAATTAAATCATCATCAACATCATCATGAATGATGATATCCAACACACTTGATGCAAATTAAAAGATGCTTTTAGCTAGATTACAATTACAATGCAATAAATTTATGTTGTAAAAAGATTGTTTCTTTTTCAAATTTGGCAACTGCAAAATGAGAACAAAATTGAAATTTAAACAAAAAACCAAAATGAATGAATGAATGAATGAATAAAGATTTGATTTGATTCGTTTCACAATTTATATTTGATATTTGTGTTAAATCAATGATAATGATCCATAACAAATATCGATATTTTTTTCATAATCATAATCATCATTGTCGATAATGTAATTTTTATCATCATTATTCATTGCTACATTCGAATAGCACATTCATAAATATCATGGATCATTTCTTCAAATGAAATCAGAAAATGTATTTCAACAACAACAAAAAAAAACATTAAAAGAAAAAATATTATTAACAAGAACACTTTAAGAACATTTTAGATAAAAGTAACGATTGTTCGAAGATATTTGATTGAATTCAATCATCGACCGAAAAAAAAGGAGACAGAAAAAGAACACATTTAGTCTAAGTGATCCATGATGATGATGATTATGATGTATGGATCGATATTGATTTAACTTTACTTTTTTTCGTTTTCGAAAATTACAAATTTCATTGGAAATTTTACAGTTCTTGCTTGTTTGTTGGAATTGTCATTAAATTTTTTATGGTTACTTTTAGCCAACAAGAACAACAAAAAAAATGTCGAAAATGACTTGAACCATTTTGTCTTTCAGGATTTTTTTTTACTTTGCATCATCATCATCCATAATGAATTACGAATTAATGTTAAGTCTCTCAAATTTTTTTTTTCATTCCGAACCAGAAACAAAAACTTTAGTCTAATTAGGTGCGTATATTTTTCTTTGAATTCAAACAAAAAACGAAATGAAATGAATTAGGCTGATATCATATTGTGATTAAATGAGCCATTTAATTCTATTCGAGCGAAATAAAAAGAGATGATGATGAAAGTCAAGCAAAAAACAAAACAAAAAAAGATGCGTAATCATAGTGATGGATAATGAATCTTTTTTTTGCGTATTCCTGAATCAAGAATATTTGTCTGGTATCTGTCTGTATAGTAATGTCATACTAAGTATTTACAGATTCTTGGATTCTTCATTTGAATGGTGATGATGATCATGATCATCATTATATAGTTGAATGAATGAATCTAAAACAAATATGTTAATTTAACATTAATTTGTTTTTTATTAATTTAATAATAATTTTTTGTATTTTGGTTGGAAAATTCTTCGAGATAAGTGCATGTGTGTGTGTATAACCGACCGACCGAACGAATGACTGACTTACTGACTGACAGATTGGATTTCATTTTTGTTTGTGTTCCAAAAAAAAACTGTAAAACAGTAAACATTGAATGCGCTGATGAATTACGTTTGAACGTAAATTTGAAAAACATTTTCTTTCTTTTCTAGCCAATCAGAATAACGAATGGGTGGGACTAAAACAACAAATGAACTGAAGTAAAAATGATGTTAAACATTTTTACGATATGATGATGATGATGATGACTATATACACACACATTGTGTGTATTCTATACGATATGCCTTTTTATTTCGTATTAATTTGGCGGGCGGGTAAAAGTATATCATTATATAGCGAATAGTGTGATAAATTCATTTCGATTGTTTTTGTTTTGGTTGATTATCACAGAATTTGGTTTTAGAAATAAAAAATAGATCCTAATAGAATTTCTTATAGCCAATATTTTTTTTTTACTAGCTACTTATTGTATTCTTTGTATTATTTTACAGTGAATAATGGACAGAAAATTATCAGATAAAATACTTGAATCATTTCAATTTCTGATCATTCACATGCACACACACATACATCGTTTATGATTTATTTTGTTTGATTTTAAAATGATTGTACGAAAAAAATTCATCTAAGTCTATTAATGATAATTGATTTGAACAAAAATTTTCAAAAACAAGATAATATTATTCATTGAATCATTTTGGAAGCCTTTATCATCATCAAAATGTCTTCACCATTATCATCAGAATCAACACCATGGTCATCCATTTATTCATTACCATTATTTTCTGCAGCCGCAGCTGCTACTGCTGCTACACACAATCATTATCCTCATCATAATCATAATACTAATCATCCAAATCATGATCATCATACAAATATTAATCCTTTGAATTTATATACAAAATTTAATTTTGATTCAATGGTTGAAAGATTTCATGAACTTCAACAACAATTAATTAATCATCATAGACCACCACCACCACCACCACCATCAGCAACAACAACAGAATTACCATTTCCTCGTTTTATTGATTCTGAAGTGTTAACAACAAGAAATACAATGGATAAACTATGCACTCCAATAATTCCAAGTAATTCTTCAGTTTTTGTTATTAAAAATGGTAAAGAAATTATTGATGATGATCATCAATTTGGTAAGCATCATTTTTTGTTTTGTTTTGTTGTGAACAACTCATTTCAATGAAGAAAAAAAATGTTACAATTAATTAATCAATGAATGAAGAGAGAAAGTTTTTTTTTCGTGAATGAATTCTCTATTTCCGGATAAAAACAATGAACAAACAAACAAACCAAATCAAATAACAATATGAAAAACATCAACAATGTAAAACATTTGAAGAAAAAAGTTTAGTCCACTGAATACACTAAATACAATGTAAACATTTGTGGTGGTAAATTCTCTTGTGAAATCTATTCATTTCATACACAAAACACACACACACGATTCAAGAAACATGACAACAATATTGAATTATAGTCGATTACAAATAAAACTTTTGTTTTGCCGAAAATAACAAAGAGCTGTACATGTCAATTAATTAGATTAAAAATTCGAAACTGACATCATTTTTATAATTAAAAATATTGATTATTGAATTTTATAATGAAAATATAATTTTGATTTGTTTTTGTTTTAATTTAGTTAAAAATGAATCCTCTGATCATAAACAACAACAATCAGATGAAGATGATTTGAATAATTTGCAACAAATAAAATGTGAATCACCATTAATTAATGAAATTGATGTCGATTCGGATCAAATAGATTTGAAAAATTCAAATTCACAATCAATTCATTCACATAATACATTAGATTTAATTGGTAATCATCAACATAATCATCGTGTACAATCACCAGCATCATTATCATTACGTTTAGCAGCGGCTGCAGCAGCTGCTGCTGCTGCATCGGCACATCATCATCACCATTCACAGCATCATCAACATCATCATTCATTGATAAATGGAACAGCAACAACGTCAACGACGGCGACAACAACTACTGGAACATTGGTCAATCATCAACACAGTGGTACTAATGGTAATAATAAAATTAAACAACGAAGATCGCGTACGAATTTTACATTAGAACAATTAAATGAATTGGAACGATTATTTGATGAAACACATTATCCGGATGCATTTATGCGCGAAGAATTATCGCAACGATTAGGTCTTTCGGAAGCACGTGTTCAGGTATGTTATTTTTTAAAATATTTATTTTTTTTGAAACAAAATCCGATTCAAATTAACCATTAGGATTGAAATTAAATATGACAATGATTTGTTTCAAACCATTTTCAATAATCTTGATTTTTGATTTAAAAATGATACTAACCACTATTTCAATTACGATAAACGAACAACCAGAAACAATAGCTTGTTCAACAATAACAAAAAATGTCCCCAAAGAAAACATTATCACTAATATCAGTTGACAATCTGATCTATAATTTAATAAAATAATTTAGAAGATTGACCAATACTTTTTAATCGTAGAAATGAATATGTCAAACATCAACAACAATAACAACAAAAAAAAATCTAAGAGAAGAAAAACAATCTCGACGTTTTGTAGAAAAACCATTTAGGTTTTTTTTAGGAAAAAAAGAATTATTGCTATCAATTTTGATTATTGCAGAAAGCCACATTTACTTTTATTGGTCATTTTACAATTCAATTTCAATTATATAATTGTTGACAAAATGTGTTGACAATCTTTTTTTTTGTTTCAATTTCTTTGCATTGAAAATAAATTGAAACAAATCACTTTGGATGTGTAATCCAAATTGTCAAATTGAATTAGGATATTTTATCTGAAAACTGTATTGTCATTGATGATCATGATCATCATCATAATGAATATTAATCTATTTCATTTTTTTCTCTGACCATTGTTACAACAAAACAAAAAAAAATTCATTTTTTATTCTTCATTTAAATCGATTCATTAATCATTGGATTTTTGTTTTCCTCGAAGTTAAAATTTCAATTATAAAGTCAAGAAAATTAAAATTTAAAACTTTTTCAACAACAAAATTTCAACTAAATCACAATATCAAGATAATTAATTTAATTAGGATAGAAATTTATTGAACCAAAATCTTTCAATGCTGATGATATTTGAATAGAGTCTATTGTTTTATGATTCTCTTCATTTTTTGTTGTTGTTGTTGGTTGGTTGTTGCCATATTAATTAAAATGGATGATGATTGTTGTTCCGTCAAAACAAAACAAAACAAACAAACATCTATTAATCTTTTTGGGCAACAAAAAAAAAATATTCATTGGTCGATCAGATTTTGTTCATAATGTTTTATGGAAAGAATGAATGAATGAAAAAAATTATTTATATCAGTTTGTATTGTGTGTTAATGAATTAATTCAATGATGATAATGATAATCAAATTGATGAACCCCAAACATTTAAAATGAAAATGAAAATGAACGGTCGGATCTAATGATATGATGCAAACAAAACAACCCCAAATGACACACAGTGAGAGAGAATGGGAGAAATCAACCACTTAAGAGGATTGCTTTCTAATGACTTGTTTTCTGTTTCTGTTATTGTTGTTATTTGGTGTGTAAATTACATTTAGATTCATAGATCTATCGTATCTGATGTTCAATGTATTTCCATTCATTTTCATTTTACATCCCATCTATATTCATTGACGTAAATGATATAATCCATCTTTTTGTTGTTGTTGTTGTTGTCATTCAGTCTCACTTGCTTTTTTGGATGTCAATAAATAAAATTTATAATTTTTTTTTTATCCCTGACTTTTTCAATGATTTTTTGCTCTGATAATAACGGGAAGAAAAAAAATCGACCACATTATCATCATTCATTCATTGTTGTCATTGTCATGATGATATGTTTTAATTTAATTATTTTAATCCAAAAAATAAAAACCGATCGATTTGATTTGGCAAATCGATTTGAACGCACTTTTTCAGATTCTTTTTTTTCCCTTCTCTTTTCACAATTCATTTTATTCATTGGTTCGGACAGCAACAACACCGAATTCGTTCCATATTGTAACAATTTTGCTCAATTTTTTATTCTATTCAATGATAGAATTATGTTTCCTTCTGTCACAATCTAATTATATTCGATGAATTTTTTGTTTTGTTTTGTTTGTTTGTTTGTCTCTCGTTGATAAAATCCATTGAGATTTTTCGTATGATAATAATAATAATAATGATTATTATTATTATCAATCAAGATCATCATTGATCAACAACAATGATCCTTGGGGATCGATTCTATTTTATCATTTTTTTGTTTTGTTTTTGTTTTTGCATCAATTTCGGAAAATACTCTCTTGAATGATAATTTCTTTTTTCTCACACTGTATATATCACAAAAAAATGCACTTATCATTATGATCAACAACAACAAAAAAAAAGATTGTTATGATATAATGGTTTGTTTGTTTTGTCATTTTGTCAGGTTTGGTTCCAGAATCGTCGTGCTAAATGCCGTAAACATGAAAGTCAAATACAGAAAAGTAAGTAGTGTATCTCTATTATGATGATAATGCATTAAATTTAATGATAATCATCATATTACAATCATTCGATCAATCATTCAATTAATTCAATTCAGATATTTAATTCAATCATTGATGTTTATTTTTATTTTTGGTGGGGTTTATTCATTTCAGATACCATAATGATGAGTCCACATAGTATTACTGGTGGTGGTTCAATTTCGGAACAATCACGTGCAACTATCAATAACTACCTCATGAATAATAATAATAATTCAATTGCTGCAGCTAATACTACTACCGGTTTAAATATTCATTATGGACTATCAAAATCACATACATCGCAATCACAATCATTATCATTATCACCATCTATTATTAATCCATCAAATACAGCTGCAATGATTGAATTTGATAGAAATTATCGATCAAATCATAACCATCATCCTCATCATCATCATCAACAGCTAGGATTATTAACATCGACACCATCATCGATATTACAATCACATCCAAGTGCAATACAAACTTCAACAATAACGCCTATTTCCACGACCGTAGCATCGATTGGCAATAATGTTCATATTGGTGGCCAACCATCATTATCAACATCATTCAATATGGCACATTATATGCCTTATCTAAGTCATCCAATTAATCTTTTACAACATTATGCAGCATTAGCAGCTGTAGCATCATCATCATCATCATCAACATCATCATTACCATTTACTTGTAATTCATTGTTTAATAATGGCAATTCTTCTTCATCCGTATCATCATCATCACCTAGCGTACATTTATTTGGATCATCACCATCATCATCATCTTCATCAGGATTTGGTCTTTCATTTAGAGTGCCTATGACAACAATTGCAACATCTTCACCAACAACAACGACAACGACAGCAACGATAAAAACGAACGTTGAAGAACAAACAGAATCAGAAATATTTACCCGAAAAAGTCATACTGAAAAAGAATCATTTAGTCCCATTGAAAAAGATCGGTTGAAAATCGATAATGAAGATTCAAAAGCTTGATTTATTATTAATTTCTCATTATTTGATCTCAATTTTATTTCAGAAAAAAATGTACACACTATACGATTAAAATTTGTAATAGACAATCAGAAAATTTTTCAATCAATGGAATTTTTTTTTTTGTTTGTTTTAAATTTATAAATCAACAGTAAACGTCTAATATGTTATTATGAATACAAAATTGAAATAAAAGATACATTCATTCTTTTATTTTTTTTTTGAATATCTTGGATAAATATAATTTTATGGAAATAAAGAAAAAAAATATAAGTTACAACAATGTTCATTCTGCTTGTTTTGTGTGTCTGCACAAGACTAGATTATTATGGAAATTGATGGAAAAAAAACAACCACTCAATGAAATAAAGCATTGATAAATAATTGATTGATTTTTATTGATCTTTTTTGATTTTTTGGGCCGTTAATCGATAGATGATTGAATCACGACCTGGGTCGATATTCCACATTGAAACGGATATGATGAATACAGCCAATATGAATAATATTGATGCAGCAGCGATTGTAATGAATGTTGTATGAAAATTACGATCATATTCATGTGCTAAATTCACTTTACGAGTAGCCTTTTCACCATTCTTACCCTGGCGAATGTAAAAAAAGAAAAAAGGGAAAAATATTAAAATGACATCATTTATGCATTTAGATATGATCATTGTTAAATCATGATGGATGGTTAAAATTGTTTTCATTGTGTTTTTGATCGAATGGATATTTTCCCAATGGAGCAATTCGTCATTGTTGACGAATGAGAATATGAATTTGACATATGAATTCAAAACGATGAAAAAAACTTTTATCAACTTACCGCTTGACGAATAGACCGTTCTAAAATTGATTGATTTTCATCATAAATTGATAACATCAATGTATTGCTTCCGAACAAATCTTTTAGATGATTAATAATCTAAAAGGATGTGATTGAGTAAATTATAAAATTTGAAAATGCAATTATAAATCACCTTTGAAATCCTGTCTACAACATTAGCATCGTTTTTGTTGGAAAACATCTCATACCATAGAAAAACTGGTCGATCTTCGCTTTTCATCTTTTGATTAAAAATCAGAATTTTGTATAATTAGTTACATGAACATATTAAAATTTTATAATTGTTACCTTGCTCAAATGTTTTTCCAATGAATCCAATTGCGATATGAGATCAGTTTTTTCGTTCTGATTAGACAACCGAATGAAATCTGTTTGCATATTATTTGTAGTTTTTGAAATCATTTCTTTGGTCATATGGTATTGCTCGCTCAAATCGGAATCCTGCTCAAAAATATACTCAAATGAGAACCTAAAATCATTCCATCAATTAATAATGGCTTACAATATTTATTGGAAATGTATGAACAGCAATTGATTGAACTGAAACAGGCATATGGAATACAACGATATTTTTCGGAATATTTTTGGCAATGTTTTTATACCCATAAAATCCGTTCCAATTTGGTTTCTAAATAAAGAAAATTTTAATTTTCAATATAAATAATAGTAATTAAAATTACTTTGGTCGTATAGCCAAGACATTGACTTAATAATGATGAAAATTCTGTGCTTGATAACGAATCAGTTGTATTACGAAATATTAATGAATCGGGTAAATTCAGAATTTCAACATTCGATGATGATGAAATTGTTATAAATGAGAATATCACTGTTGAAAAAAAAACAATTGTTAAAATCTTAGATTCTTATATTGGAAAAAAATTACCTAATAAGATGTATCGATACATGGTTAGTGTTTTTTTTACATAAATAAAATCGAACAATCTAATTAAGAAAAACTCATTGATGCCGAAAAAAAAAGAATCCAAAAATTGTCAATAAAGCTGGGCGTTTGGAAAAAACCTGTACTCCTTGTGACTGTTCATAAATGGCGTGTCAATTGGAGAAAATTTCACGGGAAAAATCTGGAAATTTTATTCGAATCAAATTCGAATCATTCAGGAAATTCGAACGTTAAAATTATCATTTTTTTTATTTAAGTGCACATAAATAAACAAAAAAAAACAGTACAATATCTATGTTAAGTATATCAAGAATCATTACAAAATATATTATTTTAGCAACATGATTATCATGATCAAATGACAGTTTAATGGTTATTATCAATCACTAATATTATTGAAGGCCGTAGAAAAAAATGTAAAATTTCCTGTTTTTTTTCAGTTTCATTGTGATGAAACAAATTTAAAAGATTTCCAATAGTTAAATATCATTGATTTTATAAAGATTCTGAGCAAATCAGATCTAAAAACAAAGGCATTTAAAACAAAGTGTGTAAATAATCAATGGTTTCTTTCCTTTTTTTTTGGTCATTTTTTATGATTTTAATCGAATATTAATGAATTAAGCTGGAATTGTTGATACAGCACCATATGCATCACCCGATGATTGTACTGTTCCAGCTCGCTCGCTATTATCTGATTCTTGTGTTTCCATTGTTGGTGGTGGTTCCGAACGTGTACGAACATACATAACCGATGCAACAATGAATACGATAAATGAAGCCAAAAAAAATAGACAACCACCGATCAATAATATAACGCCAAGTATTTGTGCAAATGATACTCTTTCATGATCATATTTATCTTGATTCTTTTTCTGTTCAACATATGTCATCAACATAACACCCGATAACAATACAATCATGCCCAAAAATAATGTAGCAAGAAAATAATTACATAACGTTACAATATAACGGTATCTTGGATCTTGTGTAAGTAATTGTTGACGAAATAACGGCATTTTCGATCGATTCTTCGTTTTTCTTAATCTTTCTAAAATTTTCAAATAAAATTGAATTATTTCATTTTCTTTGTAGAAAAAAAAACAATTGAATTACATACCTGGATCGTTGGATGCGTTGTATTAAATAACCATAACAACAACAACAGCAACAAAAACAATGATCAAAAACATGCGAATGTTAGCAGCATGTTTATGGACAATAATGATGTTTGATGGCTAAATATATATCCGAGAAAATGAAAGATGAGGCAGAGGTTCAAACTTATGTGCGTGTATCATTTATTAGTTTATGAAATGATGATTCTTCTAATGCTTACAAGTTGTTACGAAATAATCGACTGGAACAACATATACTAAATCTGTTAGTTTTTTTCTGGATAAATTGATGTAGCCTAAAAATGTTTCATACGTTTTTTTCGATGAGATACACACCCTGTATAAAATCAAAGCAATCTACCTGTGCTATATGTTTGGCAAATTTTATTCATAACGCCTGTTAATAATTGATCAAATTAAACAGGAAAAAAATTTGAAATAAGAGCGCCTAAATGGTGAATTCTGCATTGAAAAGAAACAAAATCTTTGGAATTTTTTTTCTATTCATTCGAAATTCCGTATGAACAGACAGTTTAAAACATAAAATATTCAACAAAAAAAACAAGGATTAAATTTAGGCAACATGAAAAAAAACTATGATAGTGGTTGATAATTTATATAATTAGAACATATGAATCGGTTTTTTGTTGCCATTGAAAATGTATGAAAAAAAAATAAGAAAGGAATTCAATGTCGATGTCATTGCCAACAATGTTTTGTGCATTTTTTCTCTGTATATCTGTTATGGTTGGTGGTTAAGTGTAACAGAATGATGATAAATAAAACTAAACATCATTGTCCGGATCTGACAAATTAATATCATCATGAAAATTTTATTATTAGTTTGTTTTTACATTTCAATCATTCGACCAAAATTTTAATAAAGAAAAACATTGATTTTCGAATTAAAATGGTCAAAACATTGATCGTTGATACGACAGCTGCACATTTGAAAAAAAGTAAACGAAGACAACGACAAAATTTTTTCTATAAAATTTCATGTAATAATTTCTTTTAAAATGGATTAATTTGAAAAAAATTTATTGATTTTGGTTACTTTTTTTTTGTTACATAGGTCTAATCTACATAATAATTGTCATCATATTAATGATGTTTCTTATTACACGTGCATTTAAATATAAATTTGATGAAAAATATTCAAAATGTCATCAATCCTATTGGATCGATACAGTCATATCAATTTTAACAATGATTATTATTGTTATTGCATCCGGTATTATAATGGCATCATCGAATTTTGTGTTTGCAAAACCACCACCACCAATCGAACGATTACAATCGGTAAATCCAACCGAAGATTTTATTCGTCGTAATAGTTCAGTTGATCCTAATCGTATAAATTCGGAAGTAAAAATCACTAAAAATCCATCAGTTGGTTCAGATTGTTGGCTAACAGCCGTTCGTAATGAAGCATATGAAAATCAACGTCGAAAATCATCATCATCATATAATCCAAATCTTTTGCATGTTTAATCAATTTTTTTAAATAGTTATTTTTAATCATATATTTAACGTTACAAAGTTTTTTTTTGTTGATAATAAACAAAAATTTCGAAACAAAATAATGATAACAAAATTGATTGATATTATTCTTATTTTTTTTACATTAACAATTCAACAACGATAATAGCGACATTCAAATCACCCCAAAAAATTTAAGTTGGCAATATGACAGCAATTACATTGAACATATACATTGCTTGAAGATTGGCTTGCATGTTGTTGATAATTATAATTTAGATGTGGGTTGATCAAGAAAGCGGAAAAAATAGGAAAAAGAAAATAAAAACTCAATTCGCACGCAAATACAATGAGTTAATAATCAAGTTGACAACATAAGGATGGATGCTATAACGACCAATAATAATGTTGATGACGATCAACAATCAAAATTTAATTATCATCATCGAAGTATTTCCATTGTTTTCATCGTATTTGGTATGATTTTTTATTATTTGATTCTTTTTTGGATTTTTATAGATTAACTGAATCATCATCTTTTTTTTCATATCGATAGTGATAATATTTTTCTTATTGATCATAATATTGATCATTTCATATGCATTATTATTCCATACAATTGCAAAAGATTCTGATCAACTAGATGATTATATTCGTCATTATCTACGAAATTGGCCAAGTATAATTATACAAATATTAACGTTTATGGCATTATCATCTGCTTGTTTATTGGCTACATTTGCTGTTTATCTATTACGTGATCAATATAAATGTCGATCGCTATTGAATTGTAACAATTGTTATGAAGAACAAACAACGACCACAATAATAAATGTTGATAAAAATTGTGATGATACAATCACAAGAAGTTCTATTAAACCGATTGATGAAAGGGGTACGATTGCCGTTAGCATTGATAAACAAATAACTATACATTGAATACATTTCATTTCTATACTTTTCCATTCTTATAGTTTTTTTTAGTGTAAAATTTTTTATCAATAATAATAATATTTTTTAAAATAATAATAAAAAAAGACTAATAAAAAAAATTATCAAAAGGTCAATACTTTGATCAATGATGATGGTCCATTATGATTCGATTGTTGTTGTTTTGGTTGATATCGATAATTTAATGATAATGGATTTATTATTCTTTGTGATCGATAATGATTTTGTCGTCGACGACGTTTTTGTTTACTGTAACCATGAATTAAACAGATTAATACGGCCAATATCATTATCACACCACATGTAATGATCAACATTCGTATGAATGAAATTGATGATAATCTTATCGGACTATATGATGATGATGATGATGATGACCATGAAAAAGATTTATTAGCTGTCTTTGTTGTATTCATCATTACGATTATAATCATTAACAATAAATATAATAATAATGAACTGATTGATATGGCCAAAAAAATTATGAATATCAATAAGGCTATTTATAGATTGAATGTCGATAAAAATGACAAACAAAATTTGAAATGAATGGATTCATTAATCATTTTTGATTTGATTAGATTAGACTTACGTTCTAGGCAGTTTCGTAGTTTAAGAATAAACATGATCATTACTGATCAAATGGATTGGAATTTTTGTTTTTTATCAATTTTGTAAATTTTGATTAAAATTTGAAAAAACATTTGGCCAATTTTAATTATTGGCTCACAAATAAACAAACAAACACATCATACAGAAAAAAAACAATAACAAAATATTCCGTACAATAACCTCGATTCGAGCATGACCATTATTATTATTATCCGTGTAAATGAATTATTCTGATGTTTCGATTATATAGAAATAGACCGAATAGTAGAGATGAATAATATCCATGGATAGAATGGATGCCATCGAACGTTAACCGAAATGAAGGCCAAATGGGAAAACATTTTTTTTTTGTTTATCCATTTCCGTTGTTGTTGTGTTACTGTCATTGTGTTTTATGAATTTATCTTCGAAAATTTGCTTGAACGAGATAAAAATTTATAGTCCATGTGAAATGACACCAAAAAATAAAAATAAAAATAAAATTACAGCAATGTTTACTGTATTCAATGATTCAAACATTAACCAACATTATCAAGATGTGGTTTGAATTGGCAATTATCAAATCACACTCATTCAAGATACCAGGAAAAAAAACAAAAACAAAGAATAGTGAAAAGGAGAGAGAGAGAAGTGAAAATGTCAAAAATACATTACTTATGACTAATTATTAGATTTGAATTTGTCGTATGGTTCATTCTCTATTTTTTTCGAATAATCTATGTCCATTGTAGTTGTTTTGTTGGGCGTTTTTTCGGTATCATGGTTACCTTAATGATATTCTATACTGAACACACATAGGTAAACATTTTTGTTGACCATCAAAAGAAAAAAAAATTCTTATATATAATATGTTACTATGTCTGATTGTCTTGTTCATTGATCATTAGAGCGTAATTTGAGCAGAATTCTGTATCCATAATGAATCTATTCATATCATTATTTTTGTTTTGTTTTGTAAAATTCCTGTGTTTAATTTGTATATGTAAAAAAACTGTGATAATAATATAATGGGTTGAAACTAGTTAGTTAGTTTCATGAACAGAATTTCATTGTTCAAGTTTTTTTTGTGGTTCACAGTTGTTTCACGAAGATCGATTCATTCATTACAATGTTTTCTATTCATGAATCAACACACAAGTCCAAAAGTTCAAAATTATTATGAATATTTTATCCATTTTTTCCACACACACAAAAATTCTTGAACAAGAAAAAATTAACATTTCTCAATAAATCTTTTTTCCATTAAAACAAAACAAATTGATACATTTTAATTGGAAAAATAATAATTTTTCCCCCATTTGATTCATGTGACATTTAAAATTCATTTGTTTTCTCTACAATTTTCATCAATTTATGATTTTTCTGTGTTTGTCTCTGTGTGAATCGATAATAATAAAAAAATCGATATTTGTTTTCTAACGGATCAATAAAATTTATTCGCCAATCAATGAATGGATTATAACAATTTTTTTTGAAAATTATTGGTTACAATCATCATCATCATCATCAAAAAAAAAATTCTTGTTTTTTCCTGACTCGATTATATTAATAACAGTTGTTTTTTTTTGTTGTTGAATAATGATTGACAATTAAAGGTAGTAATTTTGTTGTTGTTGTAAATATATAACATATGATCACTTCTCACGTTTTGGTCATTTGAATTATTTGGGTTATCATTATTACCCGTGTCTTTATGAGTCGTATGTTTGATGCTTTAAACCCAATAAATAGTTTTGGTTCTGAGCTATAATCTGATCACATTCAAATCACATTGATCATTATAATCATAAATATCATATTTGATTATTCAAATCGATCATATATTAATCGTATGATCATCAATCTTAAACGATAAATGTTTAAAATTCCAAAAATAATCATTACAAATGTGGATGAAGATCCATCAATCAAAAAAGAATTGAAAAGAAAAAAATTAGTGGAATTTTGTGGTAAGTTTTTTAATACTTTATTTCCGTAAATTGTTCTTCTTCAAAATTATCATTTTTATTCAAATTAATTTTGTTAATGTATTTTTGTCTCTGTCTCTTTTGCACATTCATATTTTTACATCAACTTTTTTTTCCGTTGTTGTCTCTTTTCTTTTTGAACCAAAATATATTCACTGATAACTTCTCCTGTTGTTGATGATGATTATGGTTGCCATTTGAATTAAAAAAAATTTTCGGGTCTGGTGTTAGTAATCATCTGTATTATAGGAATAAACTGGATTATGGTAATAAGTAAATCATGTTTCATATTTGGTGTGTTGTCCGGCATAATAACAACATTAATTACAATCATACAATATATATTGTTTATGAAAACACATTTTGCTGTACATTTTGGTGCCAAACGTTCAAATGACCAAACAATGATAGAACATGGTGGTTATCATCATTATGATAATCCATATACAATTCGGTGGATAATGGGTCGTATAGCTAAATGGCGGAATTTTTTCTATCAAATATATCAACGACGTCGATGGAAACAACAACATCAACACCAACACCAACACCATCAACAACAACAACAACAACATTAACATCAATGCCAGACAACAAATTCTTTCTTTCTATTTTTTCAGTTTATTCATTATCATTCATTTTTTGTATTTATAATTTTTGTTTTTGTTTTCCTTTTTGTAAATAAATCCAACAACAATCGATAATGAATAAAGAAATTGAATGAATTTTTTGTTTGTTTGTTTGAAATAAATAAATTGAATGAAATAACATTGTTTTTGTTTTGTCGAAAACCAACATCGATGGAATTGTAATGATGACAATAAATAAGTAAAATGATAATAATGATATGATGTTGGCAATGTTGATGATATAAATAAATAGTATATAAATAATATATCGATGAAAATGAAATAACATTACAGTCGATAATAATGATAATGATGACAATGATGATGATGATGATGATGTTTGAGAACATTTGTAAAATGGAAAATATTCGTTTTCGATAATTTGATAATCGATTAATATTATTAATAAAATTATCATCATCAATTTGATTAATATTTCTTTTTTTTGCCCTTTTTTTCGGCTTTCTTTTCTTTGTATTTTTTTTCGTCGTGTCCACCATATTTTTTGCCTTTTTTGTTCTTTTTGCCATATTTTCCACCTTTCTTTTTCATACCTTTTGAATCTTTTTTCTCTGTATATTTTTTGTGTGCACCTTTGCCATATTTCTTGTATTTTTTGCCTTTCTTTTTCTTTTCGAACCACTATTTGAAACAAAAAATTAAAAAATAGAATCGTTAAATTTATATTGGAATCTCATTGAAAAGACATACCTTTTTGTCGTTCTTCTTCTTGTATTTCTTGCCCTTTTTGTATTCGTGATGTTTCTTCCATTTTTTGAAATTCTTTTTCCATTTTTTGTCTCTGTATGGATTGAAAATGATTTTAAAATCTAATTCATCAACCAAACACCACAAACAAAAAAAACTTACCGCCAATTATCATGATATTTCTTCTTATTACCCCATTCTACTTTATGATAACTTTTTTTGAAACCTTTCTTTTTGGCACCTTTATCTTTATATTTTTTCATGCCTTTTTTACCACCAGATTTTCCTTTGCCACCTTTCTTTTTGTAACCATATTTTTTATTCTTCTTATAACCATCACCTTTTTTGCCTTTTTTCTCTTTGCCTGTTAAAAGATGAGTAAAATTATCATTTCAAAGAAAAAAAATAAACAATTTTCAAACTTACCATATTTTTTGAAATCATGTCCACCTTTTTTATATTTTTTCTTGCCACTTTTTTTCTTCTTTTTCTTAAATTCTTTTTTATGATAATGTTTACCTTTTTTCCATTTTTCTTTTTCATGTTTGCCTTTTTTCTTTTTCTTTTTCATACCTTCTTTTTTCTTATATTTTTCAGATTTTTTCTTTGATCCAGCAGCAACCAAATCATTATCACTATTGATGACAAATCGTTGTTGATCATCATTTAATGTTGAAATTGATGACGGTGCTGCAGAACCGGCTTGTACTACTGATTCTGGTTTTATTGATTGAACTACTTCTGTCGATGATAGTTTAGCTTCAATCGGTAACGATTCTGGTTGAACAGGAAGATTTGAATCAATCCTAAACGAATCCGTCAGAATTATTAGGCTTATCAAGCCTAATGTAAGAATCTGCAAATAAAATTTAATTCAATTGAATAATTAAAGTTTCCGAAAAATTGAATAACTTACATATAGTCTCATCGCAATCGATAATATTGTTTTTTGCTGGATATTGATGAATCTAATTGATTTTTATTGATCCAACAACATACTGAAAAACAATAGATGATACTTTTGTGGTTTGTTTCGTTATAAGATCACGAATATATAAAATCACATATGGACAACCAAAAAATTAGAAAAAAAATCACATAAATACACAATCTTCAAGTAGAAATCAATTTTTTGTTATCAATCTTAACTACACCAACAACAGATACAGATTCCAAATTTGTCATTTTTTCTGGAACATTTTTTTGCTTTATATACTAGCCTGAATCTATCGATCACAATCAATCGATGAATCGACTTGATGTAAAAGAAAGAGAAAGTGAATGAGAGTCATCGAAAATTGAAAAAAAAACGTTTTAGCATGATACGGAGTTGAACATTGAAAACAAAAGACAAACATTTTTTTTCAATGAATAAATGAAGGTAGGTTTTCAGATCAGATTATTGTCGACAATGATATTATACAAACGAATTGCTATGGTTGATCGGATATACAATATACAGATTGTGATTAATATATCACAACAACATATACATGATACAATGATGATTGAATTTGATTCGACCAAAAAGATACATTTCAATCATCATATACCTGGTGCAATAGAAATTGATTGAACAAAAGAAACTGGGAAAAAAAGGAAAAACATTCGATATTAAGTTAATATGAAAAGAAACAATTCACAAATCAACAAACACGCGTTGACATTCTTATTTTCTATCTAGTAAAATAATTAATCTTCGAATTCGATGACGCAAAAAAAGTGGTATTATTTTTTTCCATTGATTTTGTTGTCGTGAACTTTCGCCTTGTTTGTCTGGTTTCAAGATTTTCAATAATTTGAACAACAACAACAACAACAAAATTCAATTTTCCATCCAAAAGAAAAAGTACAAGTTCACGACGAACTTTGATTAAACAGAAATAAAAACCAAACCAAATTCAATTCTTTTTAGATAAAATAAAATGATTTTGATAACAATCGATATGAAATCTTATTTTTTTCCCTCTGATTCGATTATCTCAATCATCAATTAACCTGTACGCGGGTGTGTGTGTGTTTATGACGAAAACTACGTTCATTTCGCAATGTCAATCATTTTGGCATGGTACATCATTTGAAAATTGAATTTAAAAAAAAACTATTTCAACAATAATAATATGAGATAAAGTATAAAAAAATTTTAGAAAATTTTTAATGATTCCATTTCAATGATTTGATTTGATTTTTTTGTTTGATAAAATAAAACATTAATTGAATAAAGAATGTTTTGGAAATAAATTTGATTTTTGTTGTTGTTGATTGATTGATTGAGATATGCAATATTTTATGATAATGTTATGATGTTAATTAAAGAGATTTTCTTCTCTATTTAATTATTGGATGTTGATGATTTGATCTAATCATCAAGATCATCATCCTCATCATCTTCTTCTGATGATTCATCAATACCTTCCAAATTTTCCAAATCTTCACCTTCAACTTCGGCATCTTTATCAGTGCTAACACCCAATGCACGTAATGCAGCATATGCTTTAATATGAACAATGTTTTCATTGACATATTTGGAATAATTTTTAATAACCATTTCCAAAATGTTTTTAGCTTCTTCTTTTTGTCCTTCCAACATTCGAATCAAACCAATTTCCATATGAGCTTGCGGTACAATTGATCTATCCTTTTGGAATGTTTTTTCTCTGTTTAAACCCAAATGAATAATGAAAAGAATTAGTAAACAAAATAAAGAAAGATTATGAAAAACTTACTCAGTCATGATTGTGTTGAAACATTCACAAGCTTCATTGTATTTTTTCATATGTTTCAAAATGACACCTTTGTAGAACAAAACAGTCAAATATTTTTCACGATCACCCGAATCCTTAGCATAAACATTCAAATCATTTTGAACAATATCAAACCATTTTTGAGCAATAGCTTCATTACCATTGAGCAAATAGATGTAGTTTATATTGTATAATGCTTCCTATGAATTTTAATTATAAATTTTCATTTTTAAAAAACAAATCATTAATTTGGAATCAGAAAAATAATTTCATACCATTACAGGAGCGACCAACATTTTTCCATTCTTAAAGAATCGTTGTGATTGAACAATAACAGCCTTTTCCAATGTCATAGTTTTACCCAAATAACGTATACGCAATGTTGGTACAATTTCAAATAATTTTGCAGCCTCATCAAGCATTGTTTGATCATTGGTCATTTTACCTTTAGTGTAACGGAAAATTGCTTCCAAAAATGTTACAATGGCTGGTGAATGAAGTGTTTTTTCTCTTAACAATTTAGCATATTTAATTGATTCATCCCATTCACATAATACTGCATTAGTCCACATCAATTCCCAATGGCCAAATTTATGAAATAATTCAAATTCTTTATCAATAATTGATTTGTAACCATCAATAGATGTTTTGATATCGCCATTAGTTTGAATGAGTTTGTTTTTAGCCACTTTGTAGAGAACACTCTGTAAAAAGAAACAAAATAAATGATTTAATCAGAACATTAATTATTATAAATCTATTACGTTTGGATATTTCGATGTCTTTGCATCGATCAATTTTTGCATTGCAGCCACATTAGCTGGTCCAAGACAACCATGCATTTCAATATAAAGCCAGTAAAAGATAAGAACCAATTCACCAATCAAACTGTAAATGCCCGGCAATTCATATACGACAGCATTCAATTCAGTGAAGGCTACGTCACGAACACCTTTAAATCCTAAAAAGTTGACAATCTTAAGTAGTTTTGGTGGCAAAAAGCTAACAATCAAATTTCGTATGCCACGTTCCAAACGAATAGCTGCTTCAAAATTAGCTTTCGAAACTGGACTTTCCCAAGCGGTTCGTTTCTCAAAGATGTCACGACATTTTCTAATCAAAAATTATAAAACAAATTGATTTATTGAATTATGTTTTTATCATTGAAAAAATAACTTACGCCAAAATATTGACACAAATGCCAATATGATAGGCAATTTTAGCCAAACGTTTCATGTTGGTACATTTCAATAAAGCCAATACCGATTTACAACCGGTGACCATTGCATAGGTAAGTTCAGCATGCAATTCTAGATCCGAATAAAGATCTCCATAGTTTTTTTTGGTCAACATATTGGTAATTTTTTTAAACTTTTTTTTACGCAATTTATTACACAATTTTAGACATTTTCTTGTCGATTTTTTTGCAACAGCCATATCTTTTGGATCCAAAGTCAAGGCAGCTTTTAGCATACTCATTTTAGCACGCATACCACTATGATAAAGACTTTTTTCACTTTTTGCCTCGGCATTGGAAATCACTTTGTCAATATCGTTTGTATCAAAAATTGTAGCCAAATCATTGAATGATGCATTGATTGATTCTTCAATCGGAAGCATATCGCTATAAAAAATAATAACAAATCAAATATTAAGTCAATTGAATTAAAATGTAATAGAATTATGTAATAGAAAACAAGAACAACTAACGAAAAATTTTCATAATAATAAAATGTAAATTCAAAATAATATCTAGATTTCTATACAACATCATCAGAAATTTATGTCATAACTATATGGCAATGAATTTTATGTACAAGTTTGATGTTTTTCAAAATCAAGATTATGTGTGATACCTGTTCAAATCCACACCCTCTTACACTGACCACATACAGTTATCAATCCACACGAAACAAAAAAAATTTTTTTTGCATATGAATCGATCAACAATTTTTTTTAAATATTATTATGAATTAGGTCAATAAACCATAACCCGATAACCTATATCTATATTGGATAGTATGATTTTTTTTTGAATAAACAAACAATTTCTTACCCAAAAGTTTCTGAATCCATTATCATTAATTTAATGTAATGTTAATAGTGAAAAAAAAGATGATGATTATAATGAATAAATGAATGGATGAGTGAACAAAATTGAAAAATTGAAGATTGAATGTAGTTTGTTTTATTTTTTTGTTTGGTTGCCTGTATGGATCAGGAAAAAAGTGGATTTTTTTCAGAGAATCACCGACACAAAATACACACACACACAGATAAATTTTTTTATCTAATTTATTGATCTGATATTATCTTAGTTTGGAAAAAGGGTATATTTTTTCAGTCTTGAGGCAAAAAAAAAAACTTTGAAATGAAAGCAGTTCAATTATGAAGACTGGTTATTCGTTGACGTAAGTAAAATGATTGAATAAAAATTGACAAGTAACTACCATTGCTTTTATACTTATCTTGTCCGGTTGATCATCATCATCATCATCATCATCACAGACAATTCATGACTATCTTTACCTGTATTTTGTCTCTTTCTTTCTTTCTTTCTTTTCTAGTTGTTGTTTAGATACGGTCCGAAATAGAAAAGAAAAAATTTCATTTCTTTTTTTTCTCTTCTTTTGTCATCCCAAAACAAACGATCATCATCAATGATGATGGTAATAATAGAGACTTTTTCTTCTTCTTAACCTATGAAAATTTCATAATATTTCTTCTTCTTTTTTTTCATTAATCCATCAAATCAAATTGGCGAGAGAGAGAGAGAGAGAGAAATATTTTTGGAAAAATACAAACAAGACCATCCTACTAATGATGATGATCGGATTCCTCTGAAAAAAAATTTCGATTTATTATAATCATTATCATAATGGATCAAATGATTTTTCTTTCTCCTTTTTTTATCAAAGAAAGAAAAAAAAACAATATTAATTCTATCAAGTCAATGTTCGTTGTTCGTTGATGTTATAATTTGATTCCGATATCGATTATGCTATCAAATTATTATCATTCATCATTATGGAATTATATTTTTTTTTTGTTTGGTATTGTTTAGATCACCAAATATTTCTTTTTTCTCCTTCTTTTAGCCTTTCTTCGGGCTATCATCGTCAATAATAATCATCATTATTATCATCACTTATGGCAACTATTTTTGGATCTATCAATATTGTTTTGTGCTTAACTAAGGGGAAAAAAATGTTCAAATCCATCAAATTATTACTAGAAGTTCTGAACATTAACCCTTTTTTTGGTGATTATAATAATTGTATTTGAAACATAAAATTAAGGAGCTAGTGGAAAAACAAAAACAGAAACAAAAATAGTCAAATCATTTTGAATACACTATTATTTCCAAACTATTCAAAATACTTCGAAAAAGTTAATCCTATTTTGAATAAAATTGAACAAAACAAAACAAAATCATTATTCACTTATTTACCGAATCTCAATCACATCTCTAATATGACCAGACAAAAAATGGTGTCTGCAAATAATTATTGAAAAAAAATAATTGAAGAAAAAGATGATTATAAAATAATAATTTTCAATTTGACAATCTTTTTCAACAAAAAAAAAAAATTGTTGTTATTTTTATTGTCATCATCATCATCATTATTCCCCCTTTGAATCGAAAATAAATGACAGGTTCTTCTGACCTTAATCAGTTTTTGTTTTGTCAATGTTTATTTTTAGTATGAACGAATGTATGGCGCCCAAAAACGAAAACTATACTGAATTCATTTTTTTCAATCATTCATTCAATAAATTTAATTCGAATAAAACTAAAAATTATTCACAGTCCAACAATCTTTGTCGACCAATGACCATCATCATCATTCATTCCGTACGAATCAATGAACAATATGAACTATGATGATGAAGCCTATTTTGACTATATAGATTGTAATCGAAAACATATCGAATCTATGATTCAAAAAAAGACAATTTCCAAGATGATGATTATGATGATGATTTACCTCGTCGGTAAATAATAAAATTTTCAAATTTTCCGTTTCCAATCGTCAATTTGATTCGAAATAAAATGAAATAAAAATAAAATTCGTGTATATGATTTTAAAGGGTTAAAGAGAAAAAGAAAAAAAGGGGAATCATTGTCTTCGGTGTGTGTGTGGAATTCAAACAACAATTCAAATAAAATCGTAAATCATGACAACAAAAAATGAATTTTTTCTTCTCTGTCCTTGTTATGGATCGAGGTTAAAGATGACGATCCAACAACAACAACAAAACTGTTCATCAATGATCGATACATTGCACTCTTAGACAGACATTGATGATGATGATGATGATAATCATCGCAGACAATGTTCATCTTTATAAATCAGAAAAAGAAGAAGATGATAAAAACGAAAATCTATCAACCATTTTTGGATTTCAATTGTCCAACTTGTCGATATTATTTGTCCATTATAGATTTCATAAAAAGTTTTTTTCCTCCGCATATAATCGCCTAGATTTATCTCTTCTTTTTTTGTTCATTAAAATTGTCATCAACTGGTCAATTGTTTGTCCTTTTTTTTGATATCTGAGATGGATTTAAAATGATTATTCTCATCATCATCATCATCGTAATGATTGTTTGTAGATATTTTCATCATATATAAAATGGCTTAACATGAAAATGATGATGATTACATGACACAAAAACAAAAACATCGAAAACATCCATATGATCGAATGGGACATCAGTGAAAACATACGGAAAAAAATTAAAACCGTAAAGATGATGAATGCCGAATCGAATTTACGAATGACATGATTTCTCACATTTGTCGTCATAATTATAAGACTACTACTATGTCGTTTTTTTTTGTTATTCGTTTTTCATCACCATAGTTTTTCATTTACAAAATTTAAATTATAAGACAGCACGAAAAAAAACAGTACATTCGTTCAGGTACAATTGTTAAATTAGTTTTGATCCATTTTTAGAAACAAAACACAATCATCATCATTATCATCATTCGAGTTTGTGGTGAAAACAGTAAATGATTATTATTATGATGTTTTTTTTTGTCTTATTGCTTTGCTCTGCATTGAATATGAATGAAAAATGGAAAAGACAATAACCAAACATAAATTCAGCATTGTAAATGAAAAGAAAGAGAAGAAATGAAAATACCCGTTATAACCATGATGATCATTATGGATCTGGGATACACAAACAACAAAAAGTTAGGTTGAACATTTAAAATTAGAAAAAAATAACTTTTTTGTTTTACTTAGAAAAACAATCCAAAGGCAGAATTGATAATCAAAGGATACATATGAATTGTTTGTAAAAAAAAATTTGATTATATAATTCACGATGATTAACAGTCTATCATTTATTGTTTTAAGATTTTTTTTTTTGATCATACAAATATTGAAATGAGAATGATTGCTTTCAGCTACGCTATTCAAGTTATGGTCGATTAAATCATCTAGTCATCATCTTAATCGAGATTATCAATGATGATGATGTGTGTGTACAGGGATAATAATAAATGGAACTATCGTGTGACAAAAAAAAGAAATCATTTAAACAAAATTGATGTTTTTTTTTTCAGAAAAAAAAATCCTTTCATGTTAATCATCAATTGTTTCAGATTGAACTACGAAAAAAAATACAATTTTTTTTCTGTGCAACAATAGCCAATAATATTTTGTCTATGAGCCAACAGCAACACATTTTGATAATTATTTTAACATTGAAAAAAGATAACAGCAACAACAACAAAATTGAAAAAAATTCAAATCTTTATAAAGATTTCAATTTTCATTTTTCATTATGGATCGATTAGCCTTGGTCGTTCAATAGTGATTTATTTCGTCAATTGATGATTCATCATGATCATCATGATGATTATTATTTTGACAACATCAATTTCGCAAGCTAAATAGATCCATGGCCAGTTTACATCGTGAGCAATAAGTGAAAACAACAAATCAAAATTAAATTTTTTATTACAGTAGTTGATGATCAAAATCTTGATTGTTTATTAATTAACAACTTACAAAAAAAACATAATAAAATAAAATAAAATAATATTTAAGTTAAAGCATGATGAACAACATAATAATCATGATAACATGCAAGTATACATAATGGTTGACCAATTATCAATGAAAACCATACAAACATATTGGCATAATGTCCTTGAAAAAATCCAGGATGTATTACAAATACGAATGGTATTTGCATTGCCATACCGGTAAATGCCCAAAAACGAAACATACGTAATGGTACCGATACAAGATATTCATGAAATACGGCCGACATAAGAAAAACAATTGTCGTTACAGTGATTTTAGAATATCCACGTTTCAATAATGGAACATATACATGTCGTAGACACCAATGATGTACAGGTATATTCCAATTTTTCCAAAAATATTGTAATGATTCAGCATTCCACCAATCTTTATAGAATTGACGATCACCAAAACAAAGTATTTCACCAATTAGATTCAGGAATGAATGAAAATATGTATAAAACCAAATTAACCAGATAACATGATTCGGTATCTTTGATAAATTAAATGTCAGTTTATTTTTGTTAAATCAAACCCGAATTTCGATTTCATACCGATAATTTTAATAGCCGTTCAAGCATACGAAAATAATCCATTTCTTGTAATGGTCTTAATGAATTATGAATGGTAGGAACCATCCATTGTTGTATTAAGGCCAATATTAGCTGAGTTAAAAATATCTAAATCATCATTATCAATTTTTGATGAATCAAAAAGAAATAGAAACGAATGAATTTCATAAAATTGTCAAAATAACTTTTTTCTAATCTTCTTCAATTACTTACCACTTCGAATAAACGTTTGAATAGAAATCGTTTACGAATTCGTTCGGTACGAGGAAAGTTAAGTTCATAACAAAGCGTTGGCACAAAAATGAAATAATAAATATCCGATATGTTTAGATTGTACGGATATTGAACCAATTGTTTATTAATTACATCGGTATGATGTTCATTTTGACCACTATGTTGATGATTATTCCATTGTCTTGAATCACCACTATTATGACGTTTATGTGTTTTTTTCTGATGTAATCGACACCAATAATTAACACTATGATATGAATATAATTTTAACCAAACAGCCAAATACATGAATGAAAATGCTGATGCAGCAACAACATGTGTTGGTATTATGAATACGGCTACAATTGGCCATAAAAGAACTGATGTTAGATTTATCCATATTATATATGTTGCTTTGTTTGGATTGATTTGATTCTATAGATATTTTTTTTAATGAAAGAATCGATAAACAATTAAGAAAAATAGATCATTCTTTGATAAGCAAAACAAATGATTATTGTTGACAATAAAAGTCAATATTAGTCATGGCAAATATTGAAGAAGAAAATAATAATAATCTTATGATGACCTTTGATTGACCTTTCAACTTTCAATAAATCACTCAAACTCAAACAAGTTTCTTTTTTTGAAAGCAATATTAGAAAATTCACCATCAACAATATAGAATGATATTATTGTTTGGATCATTAACTAGAAGAAGAAAAACTTTTCATTTTCTTTTCTTCGATTTGAATCATCATCGATAAATGATTTTTCATTGATCATCATCATCATTATTATCGATTTGTATTATCCAATGGGCGTCTAGCATTCAATATCATTCACAATAACTATGAACAAACAAAAAAAATGGTGTTTAATAATGATGAATTTCACCATATTGATCTTTTCAAGTTGAAATTCTATTGATTGATCGAGGTGATTGCTATTCGCGATTCATTCATATTCAATCCATTACAGGAAAGATCTTTAAATTATTCAAATCAAAAAATTCTTATTTGCCATTTATTGTACAATAATCACATCAAAATATCATTAAATATACTCACTTTACTAAGACGTTTTTCAATCCAATAAGAACAATAAATAAATAAATTCAAAAGACTTGATGAAATTATTGTCGGCCAAATAGATGTATGACCAAAAAATAGCCAAAATATTTGTGAATAATTGATGAGTATACCATATTTGATCACATTTTCTAAGGCAACACGTAACGTGGCTAATACCTTGATTTGAATTTTTTTTTTAAAAAAAAGTTTAATCGATAAAAGAAAGAAATATCGAATAATGCTTACTAGCAATATTAATGCCAATGTAAAAAATCCACGAAAATTGTTAAAACCACTTGATGAACTGAATAGTGAATCTCGATATTGATGTATCCTATATATAATTATAGAAATAGATAAATACAACAACAACAACAAAAAAGATGAAATTTTTTTCAAATCATTATTTCATCAATCAAAGAATTTCGATCGATGAATAAAATAAGAATTATCGTTTTAATGATAAAACGATTAAATAGTAACAATGATTATGACAATGAAAAATAAAAAAAGACAACAATAACAACAATTAAACCAAACACATTCAGACGAACATTTCAAATCGATTAGTCTGTATGATGATAATTTTTTTTTGTTGTTGTTACCCTACAAATTCACATTCACATTTTTTTTTATTTGTTATATTGATGATCAATCAATAAAATTTCTTAATCATCATTGAATTATTCACAAAAATGATTTTTTTTCTTACGGTTTATCCGGTTGATTCATTCGTATTATTTCATAAAGATGATTTTCATTTGTTAAACTTTGTGAACGTTTACGTTCACGTCTTCGTATTGTTGTATTCATTGATGATGAATTTGTATTATTATTATCGCCACTATTGACGTCCATTATTTGTTTGTTTATCCAATGCTTTATTTAATCTTTTAAAAAGAATAAACTACGATAATAATGATGATGATGATCTTTATGGATTTTCAACTCAAAAAAATAAAATGATGAATTTCAATTGTCCGAAATTGTAGACGAAGAAAAAAAAATCTTTAAGAATCAAATTCTATTCATTAATCAAGTTCATTGATCTTCATTTATAGATGATTATATTAATCAAATGTGAAAGAATTTGATGAAAATAAACATACACAAAAACAGGAACAAGAAATGGATTTATTTTATTTCATTTTTTTCAACAAAAAAATATTCGTTCAATAAGTACCCACTGAATAAAAAAGAAAAAACTAAAACATTTTTTCCCATAACAACTTTATTTTAATTGTTGATCAATCGACAAATCGATAGAAATCAGGACCCGAAAAATTTTTTCTGTTTCTGCTTTCAACTAAACCAGAAAAAACAACAACAAACACTTTTCATCTTATCCGAATCATAAATTGATTTGTGTTTGTGTGATTATATTGTGCATCAATATTTTTTCTATCACAAAACATACGCATGATGTCTGTATTTTTTTCTTTCTTTCTTTTAATCTACCAAAAAATCCATATTATTCATTGATATTGATTGATTGAATTGTGATTGACCAGGAAAAAAACATAAACACATATTGATTATCATTGCCAATTTATGATAAAATGAAAAGGAAAAACAAAACAAAACAAAACAAAAAAGAAGGAAATTTTCTTATCAGAACTGTTAAATACCCAAAAAAAAAGAAAAATTATTTGATAATGATGATTGGCAATGGTTGACATTATTTTTTTCTGTATAGCATCATCATTATGATCAACAACAACAAAGGAAGATGAATGTCAAATTCGATCAAAACATTGATTAATCAGTCGGTTTTTCTTTTTTTTTAATCTCATTTTGATAGCCTTGTATTTTACTGTAGTTTGGTTCGATCCTGATGAAGGATATGTGTTTTTTTTCTTTATCAAATTTTCCGATGACAAAAGATGATATTTTTTTCTACTAGGTTTTTAGTAAATTATGTCCCAAACAAACAAACAAAAATTAAATGTACTTCAAAATGATGAACAAGAACATTTTCTTTGTAGCAATGTTTTTGGATCTTACTTCATCTTATCATACATGAATGTCACTAGTATAATTATGATTATTACAATCAAAATTAATCAAATTGAAAAAAATCGATTGATTAAATCCTCATTAAATCTTGCCAACAACCAGAAAAAAGAGAGAGATAAAATTAGAAATTTTTAATGACAATTTAATTTCAACAATTACTGGAAATATTGATATAATCTAATCATTGATTGAAAAGGTTAAAATTATTCAATTTAAATTCGAATAATATGTGGACACGATATGATGATGATTCGATGAACTGATGCCTGGACAACCAATCAATCAGTTAACTGTAATTGAATTTCAATCAATTATGATTGTATTCAATGGTAATTTACACTGGTAAATGAAAATCATCAAATCCTTGACAATGATTACAACCTGAACACACACACACGTTTAGATTAACGTTTGAATCTAATTTTTTCTACCCATATAATAGATATCCATAAATATGATCAACTAATATAAACACCCGCACATACAAATACATTTCTTTATATAAATATAATAAAGTTGCATCCCTGGCAACACTATTTTCTTTTTCATGTCGTTGCGAATCAATGATAACGGATGACGATAAATTAAACAAATTCCAATAATAATATCAATGTGTTGTGTGTAATATTTTTTTTTTCTCAATCATTATCATCCAGATACCAACACACCCAATCAGAGAAAAAAAATGTACGCAAATTTCGATATTTTTTTCAGTGAAACTCATAAACAACAACAACAACCAAAATATTGATGGAAAATTAAATCGAAAAAAATAATAATAATCTCCATTATCAAATTGTTTATCCATTTTATTGATTTGATAAAAAAAAAATTTTCAACACGTACATACATCATGTCTTCACAGCATCTAACCAAATGGCAACGTTTTAAAATATGGACAACAAAATATTTTGGGTATTTTTTTTTTGTTTTGTTTTTGAAATAAAATTTTTTAACTATATGGATAATTTAATTACAGATGTAAATCATCATCAACATATGTATTCAATAATAATGAACAAAATGATAATTCTGAACGGCCATCAAAACAAAGTGGACAACGTATACAACCATCCAAATCGATAAATGGTCAACAAAAACATTCGAATCACGATCAGCTACAGGGAAAAAATATATCGAAGAAAAAACATCATCAACAGAAACAACAGCAAAAACAGAAACAAAAACAAAATGTTATCAATAAAAAGACAAATGTTGATAATAAAAAAATGAAAAATGTTAATGTAACAAAATCAGTAACGATAATGAATGAAAATGGCACGAATAAAACGGTCGATAATAAAAGTAAGTTCTTGTTTTTTTGTTTGATATTCAATAACAATAATGATCATTTTCTTTTCTTTTTTATATTAACTTATTTTATTTCAATTCAATGCCAACAACAACAATAATAAAATGAATATAGAAACGAAAAGTTTAGGAGTAATGGATCTACATGATGATAATGGTCAAGATATACCTTTTATCGATGCTTCATTGATCAATTTGGATCGTATCGTAAAATGATTATCATTAATTTTTTTTTGTTGAAAATTTTCCCCGTATCATCATCATCATTTTAACCATAAATAAAGGAAATGGAACAGATTTCATTTCAAAAAAATGTCGCCAATTATGTCAGTATTATATGTTTGGCACATACAAGTAATTTTTTTTAGTGCATCTTATATTTGAATAACTGTAAAAAACCATGAATTTAGTTGCAGATGTATGATTACAAACTTTTTTTGTTGTTGTCGTTGTTGTTAAATTTCTTTAATTACTATATTTCAAAGAATAAACAAATTCTATTCGTATTTACAAAAGAAAATTACGGCACTGTAACGTAAATGAGAAGATTTAAATGTAGAGAAAGAATTGAGGAAAAAATACATTCATTCATTCAGTTATTCTGAATGGAATTAAACCAAAAAAAATATTAACGAAATTTTCTAAATTTAGATTCTCATGATCATAACTTGGCATCCATATTATATACAGAGAATATTTTCAAATGTTCATAACATCTGTTTTTATTTATAAAATAAAGAATAAATGTTCACTATTAGTGATGGATCTTTCGTTTTTTTTTCTCTCAGTTTCTTTTTTGTCCAACAAACGAATCAATGTAGATGAATCAATATACGTTTTTTTTGTGTTTTCAAAGACAGTGACAAGAAAATTATTTTCCAGAAAAATAAATTCAATCAAAATTTATTATTCATTGAGAATAAACAAAAAATAAATTGATTAAAAAACAAAAATGATTCAACAACATTTTATTCGATCACCTTCATTACGTGAAAAATTAAATGATCGTTTTGCCGGTTTAGAACTAATTTCCGGTATTTGATCAAATATTTATGATTGATTATTTGTCATCAGTATAACTTTTTTTTTCTCATTTAATAGGTATGATTATTGCTATTGTCATTATATTGGCAATATTTTTCATATCAACAATTGGTGGTCAAATTTTATTCTTTTTATTATTATTATTATTTGTCATTATAACAATGTGTATTGCATTAATATGTTGGATTGATTATCGTAAACGTGAATTGAAAAAATGTGAATTATCCTCATCATCATCATCATATAAATCGAATGATAATTGTCATTTATATGGTATACGATTTATTTCATTATCTGATCAGGTATAAAATCAATCAATCATAAATGTTTGATTATTCAACGTTCGAAATAACATATGTACGTACAATGGGTATTTTTTTTTTGTCACTCCATCCTGTTGGAATGATTTATGATTTTCAATCATATCATAATATCATCATTCATTCATATTCATATTCATTAATTTTGATCGACAACATTTTAATAATCAAAAAAACAAAAAATTTCTTCTTTTGTTTTGTTTTTGTTTTTGTTAGTTTATTTGTTGACATTTTTTTTTTGTATATTTCAAACAAGATCATCAGATTTTATTTTGATTGTTGCTTAAATTGATTTTTATTTTAAAATAATAAAAAACGATTCCGATTGCACACAAACTCAAGGTTATTTTGTTTATTGTTTTGTTTTGTTTATTTGTTTTTTTGTCATAATGAGGTTAATAAAACATGAATTTTATGTCATGATAGATTGTTGTTGTTGTTGTGTGAATGATTCTTTTTTATAACGAGAATAGTTTATTCACTTAAGTGCAGAAAGATATGTTTGTCGTATTGATGGTGAATATTCATTTAGATTGAAATTCGTAATAAATGGTGTCAAATCTTGACAATTAATAAATTGTAATGTCAAGATACGATGATAATCGATTAATGATTGTGAATTACGTGTTAAAAGCCAATCTGTGGTAACATTTTCCAACAAAAGTGTTGCAATAAATAGATTGGATAGCGAAAATGCAAAATCTCGTCCACCTAATTCCAATGTAGTTGGTTGTGATTCAATCAATTGAATTAACTGTTCTGTTGAATGCCAAATTTTTTGTGCTGATTGTTTTAATTGTTCATCGTTTACATTACAGATAGGTTCCAATCTATGTTGAATATTTCTCACCAAAGCTTTTAAACATTCGCCTTTGGTTTTGATAATTGCACGTAAAACATCATTTGATAGTACCGAAGTTGTACCTTCCCATATGGCAAATATTTGAACATCTCGATACAAATAAGGAATACCAGTACCTTCGATGATTCCTTGGCCACCAATACATTCGATTGCTTCAGATATAGTTGGAATGGCCATTTTTGCATTATATAATTTTACTAATGGATTCAATATACGAAACATAAGAATCTCGTCATCGGTTGCCGAACCATATTCAATTGAATCAAGAATTCGGACACATTCGAATGCAAAAATAGTCATAGCCTTACAAATCATATCAATACGACTAAGTGATTGGATGTGGAGAGGTAATTCGATAATCTTCTTACCAAAAGCTTCTCGTCGATGAGAATAATCTCGAGCAAAACTGAAAGCTCGTTGTGTATATGATGCACAAGAGATAGCATTATGAAGTCTTGTTATTTGTAACATCTGTGAAATCGATGGTATTCCTCGACCTTCTTCAGAAATTTTTCGTGCTGAAAGTCCATCCAAAAAAAGTTCGGCCGTAGGCAATTGACAGGTCCCCATTTTGTCTTTTAATTTTATAATGTTGATTGTTTCATCGATTGGGCCATCATTCTCTTTTACTTTGACAAAGAATAATGTTAAACCTTTGTTTCCTTGAATAACATTTCCTTCATCATCTGAAATTCGAGCTAAAGTCAAAGCTATATTTGCATCCGTTGCCGAAGAGAACCATTTATAACCATAAAGTTTATAATTTCTACCGTGAGGAAGTGCTACTGTTTCTGTACCGCTTGCTATTGCACACAATTACTTAATCAAACCAGATAATCAAACAATTTTATCACATCTTACCAACGTCTGATCCTCCTCCTTTCTCTGTCATCCATTGTCCGGATGTCCAAAAAGTTTTTTGATCATTCGATGTTAGATGATCAAAAACTGTGCGATAATACGGATCTTGTAGGAGGTTGAGAGATGATAATACTTTGGCTGCACCATCTGTCATAGCCAAAGGACATCCAAAAACTCCGGAAGATGAAGAATATAGATAAAGCTTAGTGAATTGATAAAGTCTTGACCATCGGTCGTATTTTTTTCGATCATATCCAATAGAAATAAGACCTTCTTCAGCCGATATATCTTTCTGTTTTTTCCATGCATCACAAACAATTAATTCGTTTCGATCATTATCAACCCATGCGTTACTAGAACGAATATATGGTCTATTGAATTCACATTCCAATCCAAGTTGATAAATATCAGTAGCAACACGATGACCGAATCTCATAAGATCTGGTTCTAGCTCTGAATAAAGCTAATCATTTTGAAATGAATTTTTCCAACAACAATTCTGATCATCAAGAACAATACCTCTTTTGTAAAATGCTGACATAAATAATTGCGTAAGAATAGGTTCTCTTTAAATTGATTGGGCAATATTGGTGCCTCTTGTTTAAAATTTCCATATTTTGCACCATAAAATGGCAACCAATTCGGTCTGGTGTTGATGGAATTTCGAACGCTGTCAATATAGAACCATCGAACTGTTGGATTTGCTGCACTAATCGTTATTCGTTTAAAAATCATATTGAACCTATCATTGAAAATTAATAATAATTTTACTCAAGTTCTATATATCGTCAACAAGTGGGTACAACGAAATTGTGTCAACATAAATTATCATTTTCGTGCCGCAGTGCTATCAATGAAAAAAAGCTTAATCAAATCAAATTTCCACCACAAAAACGTACTTTCTGAACAGTTGACATACGAAAGAACTAACGTGTTCACGTGTGTGTGTTTTGTTTTGGATTGTTGATTGTGCAATTAAAATTTTAAATAATGTCAAATGTAATTGAATCTCATTCATCCGGGAATACGGTATTACCCGGTGATAATGTTTCCGAAATTCTCGAAGCTTATCGAGATGATGAAAAGAAGCCTGTAATTGTTGGGCCGGGCCTTAAACGTTTGAATAAACAAGTGATTACTTCGTATAAAGCTGGTCAATTATTACATCGGCCAGTGAATTTATTTTGGATTAATTCTCATCAACGATATTATATTCCATGCGAACGTGATACTGTTGTCGGTGTGGTTATCTCAAAGACTTCTACATTTTGTCGTGTTGATATTGGTGCATCTGAACCGGCCACATTATCTTTGATGGCTTTTCCGAATGCCACAAAACGGAATAAAGCAATTGTTGAGGTATAAATATTATTGTGAAATAATATTATGAATTTTAATATTTATGAATATTGTTGATGATTATCTAGATTGGTGATGTATTATTCGCTTGTGTGTTATCTGCCTCCAAAGATGTCGAAACCGAATTAGTATGTATGGATAAAGATGGCAAAAAAGATGGTTACGGTGTTTTACCACGTGGTGGTTATATGATCAAAGTTCCTCTTAACATTTGCCGTCGATTATTGGCACCTGATTCTAAAATTAGTCGAAATTTAGGACGTAAATATCGTTTTGAAAAAACCGTTGGCCTAAACGGTCGTATTTGGATTCGTTCGAAATCCATACAGACAACAATTTTAATCAGTAATTTTATTAAACAACTCGAATACGTTTCCTTTGATCAACAAGATCAGGCATTAAATTTATTGCAACAGAAAATGGATAATAATAATAAAAGATATTAAAAAAAACAATAACATTCTATAAAAGTATTGTCAATCAATTAATCATCAATATGTTGTAAAATTTCCTTAATTCGATCTATACATTTATAGCTTGCTTTACGTGCTTTATAATCAAAATCAACAAAATTCAAAAATCCATGCGGAAGATCATCAAGTATTTCCACTTTGACCTTATCTTTTTGCCATCGTTTAGCCATTTCAATACTGTCATCTAAAAATGCATCAAATGTCAATGGATATAAATATAATGGTATGTGATTGAAATCTTCCACACTTTCAGCCAATAATGGTGAAATAAAAGGATTCTGCACGAATGCATTCATTCTAGCTAAACATTTCTTTAGATTACCAGTTCGTCGATACCACGGTTTAATTCGATAAACCACTGTGAATGTAAAGCAAAAGTTAACGATAATATAAATTTATGTGAAAAACATACCTTTTAATTGAAGCAAGTAGCTGAGTGCATCTTTTAATTTATGCACAAAATATCCACCAACTTGATATGCAACAGTTTCTTTGCCTTGAACATCATCAGTATTTTCGTCTTCAGGCAGATTATCCTCGAATATTTCGTTAGGTAAATATGCACCAAGGCAATTGAGCAATGTTCCAAGTGGAATCAAACCATCGATTGAAGTAAGAATTCGTGATGGACTCACCATTGTAGCAACTACCAATCTGTAAATGTGTTAAGATTTTTAAAAAATGGATCTAATATAGACATTTCAATTTTCAAACTTACGGGGCATAAAAAAGAAAAAGTCCGTTTGGATAGCGGAATGTTTGTTTATCTTCATCAGATTCGGCCATTTTCTTCTGTATCTGATTCAATATTAGCATCATAGCCATTGAAAAATTTCCACCGGCACTATCGCCACAGAAGACAATTTTTTCGGGTAAAAATCCAAGAGCTTTTTCAACTTCAGGATCTTTACTTATAAGCCATAGATACACGTCAAGGATTTCTTGTAATGCTTCGGGAAAAATTACCTGTGGACTAAGTGTATAATCTATACTCAAAATTGGTATATCTGAAAAAAATCAATTATCCAATCAATAATTTTTTCGATAGAATCAAAAACAAAACAAACCATCTAATTTTCGAACCCATTTAACCAGATAACATGCATGTGATTCCGGTGATTGACTTATGAATCCACCTCCATGTAAATGAAACATTAATGATTTATTTTTTGGATTATGACGATAACGGAACAAAAGTCCACGTACGGATGATTTCGACTTCATCACTGGATATGGAATGTTAGGATCAGCTTGACGATCATGTACGATCGGTTTAGTTGCATCGATAATCCACCGTTGTTGACGTGGTGAATAAATGTTAATAGTTTCGATAAGAAAACGATTCCAAAAACTTGGAGTAAATACTCGTACCAATGGAAAATCCGTTATATTCCACATGCTTTGCAGGCACTGAAAAATTTGTGAAAAAAATAATAATTTTTTTGTTGTAAAACTAATCTTAACTCACATCAACATTAACGTTCAAAACCATATTGGTGAACATCTGAGCTCGTGCTTTGGTACTAAACCAATTGTAAATTTTAAATGATTTCCATTGAGTTGAATAAATGGCCATAAAATTCGTAAACAGTTGCATTACTTTGGACATTGTGCCAAGCTATGAAACAAAAATAAAATAATCGTAACAATTCAAAACAAAATGTACGAACCCAGCAAAAATTGAAATGTTCATAAAAAGAAGTCATTGGAACTTTTAACGATTGTATCAGATCTAAAATACCTTCAAAATCCATTTCATCTGTGAATAAACTAAGATTAATTTTTTCATTTGAATCGTTTGATTTTAATGATTCCAATTTGGGTGTATGTAATTGAAGACCAACTTTTAATCCTTCAGTCATGATTTGCATTAAATGTAATAATGGTAATCGTCCAATTTTCTTTTTCAAATCCGGATCCGATAATATTCGACCAAATTTAATCATTATGATCAATAGTGTCCAATAACCATTTCCTTGAGTTTGTTCATCAAAATCGAATAATACCGCCTGTATATAAATGAGTTCGGAATCTTCTTTGATTCTATCAATATAAGCAATAAGTTCTTCATCATCGGCATATGTCTCTTTCATTGAATGAAAAACTTCATGTAATTGTTCTTCTATTGGACGATCTTTGTCGATACAAGCTTTTTCAATATCGAATGAATAACCAACGGGTGATTGTATAAAATTCCATAAATATGAATTTAGAGCCATATTATTGAAAAATAATTTTTGTTTATGAAAAAATAATTCGAATGTTAAAGTTGTTGTCGCTTTGAGTATTCAAATGAATCTATGATTAGGTAATTAAATTTAACCAAAACAAAAAAAATCCAAAATCAATATGATTGTATAATTTTTTTTCTGGTTAGTTAAATATAGTATTAGTCATCATTATAATCATTATGTTGTTTTGTAAAAAAAAAGAAGATACGTCAAACGAATGATTAGGAAAAAAAATGAATGGGAAAAACAATGGAAAAAACATTGATTGAAACGAACAAATTTGTAATGTTGATTAAACAAGATGAGAAATCAATCAGTCCTTCAATGAGGAATAATCAAGGAAACAACAACAGGCTTCTTTTTATTACGCTTTATCTCAATCAACAAACAAGAATGATTATTATTGTACTGAATTGAATTTATCAACAACAAAAATCTTTTTTTTTTATTCACATGATATTTTTTTTTGTTCAATCATCAAATTCTGATTGATTAATCATTATAAACATACAATTTTTATTTGATTTTTAGGAAAAAAAACTTTATTAAATTTTACTATGATTTTTTCATTTAAATCATTGATGGCTTCGAAAAAAACAAATAATGAAATGAAGATATTTATTCAATTTATTTGTTTATTTATTTAGTATATTATCTGATACTCATGACTCAATGTGTGTTTTTACAATACAATCAAAAGATAATTATTATTAACAAAATTGAAACGATAAAAAATAACAATCTAAAAATACATTGATTGATTCACTATGATGATAATTTGATCATCGAACCTATTTTTTTGTTTCAAATGAATGAATATCGATGAAAAAAAATAATCAATCGTTTGTTGGTTCATTCTTTTTTTTCCATTTTGTTCGATGATCGCAAATATGATCAAGACGAAATGACGATAATGAAAATTCTATTTAATCTAATCAATCAAAATATACACACTGTAAATATAATAACAAACAACAACAAATATCACAAAAACATACACACATAATACACTACATACATAAATAATGTTTTTGTTGTTGTTTGATTATTTTGATGAGTCGAAAGGTTTCATCTATTAAATGATCATGATAATAAAGGATATCCGATAAAATTGTCGGTACAATCAATAATAATCATTAATTTTTTTACGTCTTTTGATTTCCAAGTTTTTTCATACGAAAGGATCAGGTTTTTTTTCATAGAAACAAAAATTTCGATTTCATTCAATATTTGTAACAATGTTTAAATCAGGACAACCCCGTTTTGTTTAAACGTTTAAATTACTGTTTCTTTCATTACGATAACTCGAACATTTGAGTTCAAAGTTGATTTGACCGTTGCTGAATAATCTTTTCGTTGTTGTTTTTTAGCATCAACAACATAGTGGTAATAGAAAAATTTTTTGATCGTTGTCGTTGTTGTTGTTGTGGATGTTGTTTTTCTTGTTGCATCTGTTGCAGATACCGATCTCTTCGCAATCAAACTTGAATTACAAGTTGTTTTATACATCATTTTAGATGAATCATCATCATTATTATTGATATCAAGATTGATTGCTTTAGGCACCAAATAGGAAGTGTTAGTTTCTCTTTTCTCTCTATTACGATGAATATGATCATCATAAACGGAACAGATTGTTGAATTTTTATCTGTTTTAAATATAATTAAATTTATCGATTTATTCGAAAAATCAATTTATTCAACGAACCAAAAATTAAAATAATTTTGTTGAAATAATAGAAAATTAAAATTAAATAAATTTTTTTAAAATAAAAATTACAGAAAATTAAATCTTCAAACGAAATCAACATAAAAATGAAACAAATAGCTGCAGCTAAATTAAATTTGCTACAAAAATGAAATCATAAAACCAAAAAAATCTGAAATGAAAATTCAACAACATTTACCTGTTGTCGGTTTCGTACAACATTCAAAATACAGATAGATTGGCTGTTTGAAAAAAAAAGAAAAATTCAATTAAATTACAGTTTTTTCAAGTTTTAATTTTAAAAATTACCTTATGATCACCCATAGGCGAATTTTTACCCATCATATCATATTGAATTTTTGTTCGTTGATTTTCATTTTTGGTCAATAATTGTTTGGCAGTATTGTTCATGATTACCCTATCACACCATGCAGGACAACGTGTTTTCATATAACTATTGGCTAACATTGTTGATGAGGATGATGCTATCTTATCGATATCTTCTTCGAATGGATAGCTGGGTAAAAAATGTCGATCAAATTCCCATAGTTTTTCTTGAAAATGATTCAATTCTTTATCCTGTTTCATAAGCTTAAATAATGAATGAATTTCTTTTAGTTTAATACACAATCAAATAATCAAAATGATAATATTACCCAATCAAGATTATTTGGATCGGTGAAAAAATTCTGATCCGAATAGATGAATTGTTTCTTTTCAATCGATAACAGACGATCATCATTAACATCATTACGATACAGAAGACGTGATAAATCACCATTTTTTGTTTTCTTTTGTGATAATCGTGAATTGATTGTCAAACGCTGTAATAAATAAAGAATGATAAACAGACAAATCGATAATGTATTATTTATAAGAGGAATTCATTGAAAAAAATATAAATCTTTTCTCAACTTAGCAAATGAAAAAAAATGTTAACCATAAAATAAACATACCTGTACAACGGCCTTCGTATCTAATCGAAAATTAAAATCACCAAATATAAAAATGGGTAGATCGTTGAAATCTTTTGGCCCGATCGAATCCAATAAATATTCAAATGCTTTACGTCGATTTTTGGCATATATCGATGGGAACTGTGTTTATAATAACGAAAATTTTAAACAAAATAAATTATTTATTTATCGACTTACGTCTGAGATCGAAACAAAATTGGATTCATCATGAAATCTATTTTCGTGCCAAAAAACTCACTCAGATTAAATTGAAAAAAAAACAGTTTATTTAAAATACAAAATACATACAAATGAACATTAATCGTATCAAAGATGAATTCATTGATCATCCAACGAGTTTTCATAAAACCTTTTCGAGACCATTTACACTATAGAATCGATTATTATTCAAAAAAATTTTTTGCCTTTTAAATACCTCAGGAAATTTTCTTTTAAATTTTACAGGCACATTTTCGATACAACCAGAATGTATTTCTCGTCCCGTTGCCGAAACAAATTCATTAACTATATAGCCAAAATAAAAAACGAAAGAATTTTTTTAAAAAAATTCAACCAAAAAAACAAACAAAAATAATGTTTGTTGCACGATCGATTAGAAAAAAAAAGAAATTTACCATCAAAATTCCAGATGAATGCATGTTGTGTTTTATGTATAAAATAAAAACTACCTAATGCAGTGTATTTATCATCAAATGAATAATTTTCATCAAGAAATATTCGAATTATTTCGAAATCAATCATTTCATTGCTAGATATTAATGTTCGCACAAAATCATCAACATTTGTAGATGTTTTTCGAAAATCTTTTCCACCAAATTCCTATAAGGAAATTAATTTATGATGATGAGATTATTATTCTTGAGAAATAAAAAAACATCCGAAAAATTCATTTTACCTGACAATGTAATGCAATAAATTTAGGTTTTAATCTATCCACAGTCTTTGGAATGTTGATGATGAAATGGGAACAAAAACAAATAAATTATGATGATTAAAAAAAATGCAAACAAATAGTGAAAAAAATATGATACCTTAACAAATTCGGCAATCCAAGATTCAAGTAAAAGTTTTGACTTTCGATAGAAAAAAAAGAGAGAAAAATATGAATAAAATTTGGAAAAAAACAAACAAACAAATAATTACATCTTGAAATATGGATCCAACATTTGCCGTTATGAATAGAAATTCAGTCATCATCAACCCGTGTGAATTGAATGGAAAAATTTTTGTCAATGTCGTTTTTTTTTGTTTTGCTTCACTTCAATGTTGCAAAATTCTTTTGAATTTAGATGAAATCGAACGAATCAACAACATTGGTTGCCAGCAATATTATGATTAATGTGAATCAAACAACTGGGTTTCATTTTTCATGTCCAAGTTTGTTTTGAAATGTCAAATGTTTATTTAGATGGAAATTCTTTTCACAATTTTTTTTTTGTTGATTATATTACATAGAATAGAAATTCGAACGTTGAATACAATTTTGGAAGAAAAAAAAATAGAAGCTTAATCGAACAAAATGAAAAAACATTCAATAATCAAAATGAATAGCAACACGATACATTCGAAGAAATTCTGAATGATAAACTAAAGAATAAACTTTGAATTCGAATGGCGAGTAATCTATATATCTTGTTTCGAACAGACAAAAGAAATGAAAAGAACAAGAAGAAGAAAAAAAATTAGAACAAGGATGTTGTTGACAGGCAATGATTTTTCCAAAGATTTTGATTCAATGATTAAGATTCTTTCTTTTAATTAGCCCAACAATAATAATAAAAGAAATAAAATCCACTTTTGAAAGGCAACTATATTATTTTTTTTAAAGTTCAATAAGTATATTAGTCACTATATTAAGATCTTAAATGGTTAACCGTAAAAAACACACACACAAAAAAAATCATAGTCACAAGCAAAAAACATCGACAGCCAAAAGATTTAATAAGGATACACCACTATAATAAATAGGATATGATCATAATTAGCATCAATTGTATTGCGTGAATATTAATTTAAAAAAAAAATGTCAATTAAAATGAATTAGTTTTTTTTTGTTTATGGTCTTTGTCGTCATCATCATCAGATTCTTTTTTTATATTAAAAAAAAATATATACAGCAGGATTTTTTTTCAAATCAAAAAAAAAACGAAAAACTTTATTTAGTGGTAATATAATATCGTTAAACACAAACGATTGGCGACTGTTTTTGTCATGTTGAGTTTTTGCAGGTTTTTTTTGTTTGTTTGTTGTTTTTGTATCACTGCTGCTGTTTGTGTTTTGATCAGAGAATATATATTGAGTTTTTGAGACAGCATACAGCTGGTCTGCAGCAATGTTGAATTTTTTTTTATTTCTTGCCGATTGAGTTTGCGAATAAATTTTTCTGTGTGGGCGTTTGTTGTTTTGGTTCAGGATATCATTCAAAAAAAAAATTTATTTATTGTATCAAATTTCATTTTGATCATAAAATTTTGTTTTTTGAGATAGGAAAAATAAATTTTTTTTGTCATAAATTTTAAGAAAAATTGCTTGCGATACGTCATTATCATGACTTTTTTGGCCGAATTAGAACAAGTATGAATTGTATTTTTTTTCTATACAAATATTTATGATTATTATATGATTGTAATAATTTTTTTTATGATTATCATTATTCAAGGATCCATTCGATGGTGAAGAATTTATCGAACGTTTAGCATGGCGTGCAACAAACGGTAAATTTGATGATGTGGATCTAATTAGTGAAGCATTCGAAAATGGTATTAAAGATTTGAAAGCAATTTATGATACAAATCAGAAAAAATGTGAACGTTTAGAGATGATTTGTCGTGAAGAAGAAAAAGGTCATTGGATTAAGGTGACCGAATTACAACAAAAATGTAAAGATTCATTAGCAACATTCGAAAAATTGGATAAAAGATTGGATATTGTGGCTGATAAAGTTGTCTATTTGGGTGAACAGCTTGAAGGTGTCAATACACCAAGAATGCGTGCTGTAGAAGCACAAAAATTGATGCAACATTTTGCCCGTTATCTTGAAACACCCAGTGAAACATTGAATTCATTTGAAGAACTTTACATTGAAAATATTAATCAATTATTCGAAGAAGCTGATATCATACAAAAATTATATCTTATATCACAGGAGCTACCAAACAATAGTAAATTTGATGAAGCAAAAGAATTTATATCCAAAAAATATAATTTAATTGAAAAAAGATTGATTGAAGAATTTTCACAAGCACAGAAAAATGATGATCGAAATAAGATGAAGAAAATTGCCTCAATATTATCACATTTCAAAGGCTATTCACAATGTATCGATGTTTTTATTGAACAAAGTCAAATGGGAATGTTTTTGGGTGAAAATATATTCAATGATATTGTACCACTTTGTGTGAAAAATCAGAAAACTATTAAAGAAGTATTTACTAATACCGAACAGGTAATGTCGAAATTTGTATTGAACATTTTTCATGGAAAAATACAGGAATATATTCAAGCTCGAATCAATGAAAATGATACCCGTGATTTTCTTACAGAATTATATACATTATTCCATAAAACAAACAAACTAATTGAACAGATTGCAAAGCTAAAATTTTCAGGTTGTGATTTTAATTTTTTAAATAAAATTACCCGTAATATATTCAATAATTATCTGGACATGTATATACAACGAGAAACTAATTATCTAAAAGATAAATGTGCCTATATATTACAAAGTTATTATGAATCGAAAAATCATCAAAAACGTCCAATTACTACCGGTGGATTTCAGGAATTGATACAATCAAAAATCGGAAGAGCCAATATTAATATTGGAAATTTAAATATTAATATATCGAATCCAGATTACACACAAGGTGAAACATTTCTTTCCGAAGAGATTGCTATTTCGATATTACAGGAAACAAAAATGTCATTACAAAGATGTCATCTATTGTCTAAACCACAAGATATTGCTCAAAATGCATTGGCCATTTATGAAATTGAATTACAAAGTTTATGTATTGAACATATTGATTATGCAATCGAATTAGGTCTACAGGTAATACCATCGGCTGAAACAAAATCACAACCGGACATACATTTTTTCGATATTATACGACAATCGAATGAAATTTGTCATCTAAATGAAAAACAATTTGTCAATTGGGTATTGCCATTAATATCTTCGACAACAAAATATTCCGAATGTATTAAACGAAAACGTGAAGTATATCAACAAATGGAAGCAAAATTAAATCAAGGTCTTGAGAAATCAATTGCATCGATAATTGGCTGGATCAAATACCTACTGCAAACCGAACAGAAAAAGACTGATTTCAAACCGGAACAAGGAAATGATGATATTATACCTACAAGTACAATAGCTTGTAATAAGGTTGTAAAATTCATTAATTTTTATCATAATCGAATAACAAAATGTTTGGATGGTAAAAATGTGGAAGATGTACTCACCGATTTGGGTGTCAAAATTCATCGTACCATTAATGAACATCTTCAACAATTTCAATTCAATTTTATGGGAGCAATGGTTGTTATTTGTGATGTAAAAGAATATCGTAATTGTATTGATAAATTCAAAATTCCATTGTTAAGCGATCTGTTCAATATTTTACATGCCCTCTGTAATTTATTGATTGTTGGACCGGAAAATCTTAAACAGGTTTCCAATGGAGATCAATTGGTAAGTGAATAAATTTTACACTGAAAAATTTCATCTTAATTGATTTTATTATTTTTTTTAACACAGGCTGGTCTTGAACGTTCAATAATTCTTAGTTTTATTCAATTACGTGCCGATTATAAATCTGCAAAACTACTGAACTATTTAAAATGATCTGATTTTTTTTGTAATTTTTAAAAATAAAATAAAATTGATAATTTTCACAGATTAATCGTTTTTGTATGAATTTTTTAAAATTAATTTGAGGAATAAGATTTAAATTTTTAACAGAAAACTTTTTCTAGATTTGTCGAAAAGTGTATTGCTGGAAATATTTCTCGGCTAACTTTTAACCAAATAAATTCGTTAATATGATGGATATCTCGAATTCAATCATCGAAAATTTACAACTAATCAACGAAAAGATTAAAAATGCTTACGATAGTGTTCCAAATAATCCAAATGTAATGATTTTTTTTGTGATAAAAAATTTCAATTTTCTGGATTTTTTTTCCTTAATTTTAAACAGAAATATCCAACATTATTGGCTGCAAGTAAAATCAAATCAAAAGAGCTAATCATTACTGCTTATCAACATGGCCAAAGACATTTCGGTGAAAATTATGTATGTTTGAAAGTCAAGTTCTCCTTGAATTTTATTTTATCCATTTTCACTTCTCAAAAAGGTTCAAGAATTATATGACAAAGCCAATGATCCTGAAGTGATCGCAAAATGTCCTGAAATAAAATGGCATATGATTGGTCATGTACAGACGAATAAAATCAACAAATTATTGGGCGTTCCGAATTTATTTTGCATTCAAACAATTGATTCGATTAAATTGGCCGAAAATCTGAACGCAGCCATTCATCGTCATGCGAATATGCCTGATAAAATACAGATTTTCGCTCAAATCAATACAAGTAACGAGGCACAAAAGTCTGGAATCGATGTTGCCGCTGCCAAAGAATTGATTACATTCATTTTGGATAAATGCAATCGTCTGGAACTTGTTGGTTTAATGACGATTGGAGCCTATGATTACGATGTTTCGTTGGGACCAAATCCAGATTTTTTGAAACTTATTCAAGTTCGTAAAGAAGTTTGTCATCTATTCGGTAAGCCGGAAAATGAAATCCAATTGAGTATGGGAATGACTTCGGATTTTGAACATGCTATCGCTTTGGGCAGTACAATGGTACGCGTTGGAACAGCCATTTTTGGTTTACGTGATAAAAATAAATGATTTTTTTTTGTAAGAAAAATTTTTATTTTTTTAAATAAATCAAGCAAAACAATAAACATTATAGAATCGGAATTAAAAATAAAACAATTTTTAAATAATAATATCTCATAATCCTTTGTTATAATATGCAATTTTACAAGGGTTATTGGTTTTGCGAACATATTCTTGAATATCCTCTTCTAATCGTTCGATTGGAACGGATTTTCTTTGTGGAAATAATGCGCAACACAATGGCGTAGCAAATGTCAAACTACAAATTGAATTTAAACATGAAAAATATAATAAGAATCATGACAGTATTTTGTAATACGAATTTTTACCTTAAACCACACATTAAAACTTGTGCAGGTGCCGAAATCCATGGAATTCGGCGAAGAATACCACGTTTTTCCAAACGATTCATGATAATCGGCGGAATAACTTTAAATCATTGAAACAAAAAATTTCATGATTTCAGAAAAGATTCATGAAAGATGAATATCAATGAAAAAACATACCCATTCCAGGTGCTGCCATCAATATTCGAGATAAAACCACTAGTGATATTCCCTCTTTGGCCATCTTTTTTGAATATCCAATTTTATTGCCATTCTCATCTTCAATTGCTATACCATTTGTTAGTTCACTAACAGATGGTTTTGAATTTGAACAATTTTTTTTGGTTGTTTGATATCCATTTTGATTATCGAATGATTTATTTATTCATACCTTGATCGCATCATTGGAATGTTAACACAATTAGCCGCAGCAACCGCAGCGAATGGAACAAAACGACCCAATAATGGTGGAAAACGTTTGGCAAGACTATTTAGCGATAAAGCTGTGACTAGTGCACCAGATGTGGCAAAACAATATGATTTTACCAATTGTCTATTTGTAATTTTCAATCAGATATTTTCTTGTGATTTAGATATGATATTATTATGAAACTTACGAAACAGGAATAGGACTATCACCACTTCGATTCGTATAGTTGACAACCGCATTGAACGATTGATTAAACCATTGCCAAAATATAGTCTGCGCTGGTGTTCTGATAGACGAATAAAAAAAGTTTTGATTAACTAAAGAATATTCTTTAATTTTTTTAAAAAAGGAAGCAAACTTGCTTGTAATAGGTCAGCATGCCTAGAATGTCATCGATCGTGAAAGCAATAAAGGCAAAAAAACATAACATTAGCAAATTATGAAGAATCGATTTGGATTTGGATAAAAATAAACCACAACAGATAGGATCGACTTACATCCAGTGATGGCCATGTTCATTGGAACCTGTGCAGACATTCTACCTATAAGGGTCATTTTTTCACCGGTATCCGGATGAAATGCAGAATCATAGATATGTTTATAATGCCATAGCTTTTCTTCTGTTAATCCATTAATAATTTCACCTTTACGATATTTATATATTATTTCTTTGGCCTCTTCTAATTCACGATTTGAACAAAGTACATTCAATGGATTTGTAACAACAAAAAAATGTTTTGCACGACCAAAATAAGTGCTTTGATCCCATCTTGGTTGGTCAATATTGATATCATTTCGAATTAATGCCATATTCGAACAGAGATGATCAAAAATAGAAATACTTGTAAACTTGATTTGATCCCACAGTTCAACAATTTGGTCTAATCAACATCAAAATGTGAATTATTTCGACTTAACTTTCAATAATTATGATGATGAAAATAATGAGATCATAAACCTTATCATGATGGCAATGATATTTAAGAAAAGGTGTCTATTTGATTTCCTTTTCTTTTGTTATTTATTCGCAAGTTGGAATGAATATGATTTGTTTCCTATAAAATTCAATAAAAAAAATTTTTTGTTAAAAAAAAAGTTAGAATGAAAGATAAGATAACCAATGAGAAATATGAAGGGAAATCCTTACGTTATATTATCATATAAAAATCTTTAATATTGATTGGAAATTATTGATTTGATTATTGAGAAGAAAAAATTTTCTTCATTATCCAAACCATTAAAAGGAGAGGGAAAAAAATCGAATGATTATCAAATAAAAAATTAGAGCCTATATTTATAAAATACACACAGATATAAATTGTCGAATAAAAAGAAGTTTAATCATCATCGGAAAGAAAAACATGCCAAATGTTTGTGTTTGCCATCCAATAAATTAATTCGTTGCTTCAATATTCAACAATAACAACAACAAAAAAAAAACAACTACATCCACAACAACAACAATCTCGTGGTACGATCTCAAGACACAGACACAAAATTTTGAGAGAGAAAGAGAAAAAGACTCACAAATTGAACCAGTTATATTATTCAGTTGCACCACGATCGCCTGATGAATGATGTTTGATCATCAGCAATCTTTAACCAAAAATCACAGCCATCATCATCTTCCAACAGAACATCATTTTTTTTCAAATGAAAAAATGATGTTCTTTTCTGTTTTTTTTACATCTACGATGGACGATTGACAATAAAATAATAAATAAATAACAACAGAAATTTTTTTTTTATTCACACCTAATTTACCTAACATATATAATCACATCTGAACAAACAAAAAAAAAAGTAGAACAATAAATTCGGTCAGGAGTCTCACAACCAAATTCTGTTTTCATCATAAGAAATATAAAAAAAAATCATAGTTGCATACAAACTCATATCATAATACGATATATACACGATGAATTGATGGGCCAAAGTTTCATTTTCATTCAATATTATTTTAATATCTATAGTTTTTGGAGCATGAGCATCATTGGTAAAAATTTTTTTCCCTGTAATGCCAATATCAATTGATGACACGATCAAAATTCAAATATATATGGTGGCCTGATCAGAACATCATTATCATTGATCATCAGAATTCAAACATTTGTCCAATATTGATGTTTATCGTTGATCGATGATATATCGATGTTTATCTTGCCACCATTGCAGTAATCACTTAAATAAATCGTTCAATGAATTGTCGAAATTTTTTTTCCTTTAAACACATACACAAAAAAATTGATTCATGTGATCATCATGTCATAGAATAATAAGATTTATGGATAAAAGTTTTTTTTCGTACATTCCATTAGTTTTGTCAATATTTTAGGCGCCACCAAAGAAATTTGAAAAAAAAACTTAAAATTCGAATTTTAAGTTTTTTTCCTTACACTTACACGTCGTCTATGAATATGATAAAATTTTAGCAAAAAAAACAAACATGCGGATTGTTTTTTTTCGATTCGAACCTTTGATTTTTGACAACTTTTTTTATCTGTCGAAAATTTTCTAATAAATCATGGCTCGAAATGCGGAAAAAGCGATGACAACTTTAGCACGATGGCGAGCATCACAACTTGAAGAACAAACTAATTCCAATCAGCCAAAACGTGAACGACGACCTTATTTTCCAGGTGATTGTAATGATCTGAATTCAGCACAACGATGGCGTTTGAATGTTGTACGTGTGATTAGCCGAAAAGTGGCACAAATTCAAAATGCAGGTCTTGGTGAACATCGTATTCGTGATCTAAATGACCAGATAAATAGATTACTAAGAGAAAAAAGAAACTGGGAACAACGAATCAAAGAACTTGGTGGTACTGATTTCAGGTAGGACATTGACAAACATTTTCTCCCAATTGTTGATTGTAAACTTTTTTTTTCGCTACAGATCTACCGAACGTTTTGATGCTAGTGCCCGTGAAATACCTGGCAATAAAGGTTACAAGTATTTTGGCGCTGCTAAAGATTTACCTGGTGTAAGAGAACTGTTGACTCAGGAAACAATCCAGATACCGAAAAAAACGAAAGCTGAATTGATGCGATCAATCGATGCTGATTATTATGGTTATCGTGATGAAGATGATGGTGTCATTTTGAAGGAAGAAGCCCGAGTACAACGTGAAGAACTTTTACGATTAGCAGATGAAGAACAAAATTCCAATGCAAAAACAATAAAAGAACGAATTGAATCAATTTGCAATCCTGATGATAAAGATGATAATAGGCCAAACATCGAAGAAGGAGTTGACTTTGCTGGACCAAAAAATTTTATATCTCACGTTCCATCCATACCAACACAACAGGAAATTCACGAAGAATTAGTTCGTAGGAAAAAACAAGAATTACTTGCAATGTATGTTTCGGAGGATATTCTTGAATCGGAAAAAGAAGCAAAAACAATGCTTGGTGTTGAATAGTATTTTAAAACTTTTATCTCATCTAAATTTTCACTCATAATCATTATTTAATTATTTTATTTCATTAATTAAAAGATGAAAATAAAACATTATTTACAAATTTTATTCTTTTTTTAATGTTGTTGTTGATGATGCGATGATAATTTACTGTCCATTGGATCATCTTGATTTGGTTCTATTTTTGCTGTTTTTGAACTTTGATATTTTTGCAGCTGTATTTGATGCTGTTTTTTTAGATGTTCCAATTCGTTTAAACCAGATCGAACATGTTCCAAACGTAGCATGGCCAATTGATTTATTTTCATAGTCGAATAAGTTGAGCCTTCATGTGGTTGCAATGTACTTACTTGCGATAGATATTGTAGCTGTTTGCTTACATTATTATCAACCATTTCAAGACATTTAACAAATTGGCTCACTTGACTTTCAACATTTTTGATACTAGGTTTATCTTTACTAAATTCATTTAATGAAGTCGTTCCAAATTGCATCATTTGGTAAATCTGATTTTCAATCTGATCCAAAACATGAAGCTTTTCCGATGAATTATGATCCATTTTTTAAATAAAAAATTGGAAATTTCAAACTTTAGCCAAAAAAATACTGACAGTTAATAGTGAGCAACTATTTTCACACAGAATGCATGAGCGAGCTGCAAAAGTTTTGAGTTGAGTAATAATAGCCATAATTGGATCCAAGAAATTTTATTCGGGATCAAACTTCACAACAATGAATGTTTCATCAAGACCTGTGTCTGAAATTATCAAAAGTTCGGACAATGATGAACCGAAAAAGCGTTCACGTGAAGATTGGAAAAAGGCTAAAGAGCTAGAAGAAGCTCGTAAGCTTGGCCAAGCTCCAGCCGAAGTTGATGAAGAGGGAAAGTAAGTCAATCATTTTTGCCTTAAAATCAAAATTTAACTCATATTTAATCTTTATAAAATTTCAGAGATATCAATCCTCATATACCACAGTATATTAGTACGACACCTTGGTATTATGGTGCAAGTGGCCCAACTTTAAAACATCAAAAAGTTTTAGACGATAGAAGCAAAGACAATACAACATTACGTGATAAATATGTACGTGGTTTGAAAGGTAGTACGGCAACCAAATTCCGTAAAGGAGCATGTGAAAATTGTGGAGCCATGACACATAAGAAAAAAGATTGTCTAGAACGGCCAAGAAAAATCGGTGCAAAATTCACTGGAGACGATATAGCCCCTGATGAAATATTATTGCCCTCGCTTAAACATGATTACGATGGTAAACGTGATCGTTGGAATGGTTATGATCCAGTCATGTATCGTTCGGTTATCGAAGAACATCGTAAAGTTGAAGAAGCCAAACAAATTTTAAAGGAAGAAAAACTTAAACAAGATTTGATCAATACGGAAGGAAATTCTGATGCATCGGATTCTGACGAAGATGAAAAATATGCCGATCACATTGATATGCCTGGAACTAAAGTAGATAGCAAGCAACGTATCACTGTTCGTAATCTTCGAATTCGTGAAGATACTGCAAAATATCTTCGAAATTTGGATATTGATTCAGCTTATTATGATCCAAAAACCCGATCTATGCGTGATAATCCATATAAACATACTGGAAAAACACACGAAGAACTGCAATATGCTGGCGATAATTTTATTCGATATATGGGTGAAACGCAAAAAGTTTCGCAAGCTCAATTGTTCGCATGGGAAATGTCAGAAAAAGGTGTGGATATTCATCTACAGGCAGAACCTACAAAAGCTGAAATTATTCATCGAGAATTGGATTTAAAAAAGAACGATTTGAAAGAAACAATCAAAGAAACTATTCTGGATAAATATGGAGGAAAAGAATATTTAGAAGCACCACCAAAAGAGCTAATTTTTGCTCAAACCGAAGATTATGTTGAATATTCTCGTAGTGGTCAGGTGATAAAAGGTCAAAATCGAGCACCAATACGATCGATATATAAAGAAGATGAATTTATTAATCGTCATACAACTGTATTCGGTTCATATTGGGAAAATGGAAAATGGGGCTATAAATGTTGTCATTCATTTATCAAAAATTCTTATTGTACTGGCACATTAAGTAAAAGAGATGATAATGGTTGAATTCAGATTAATCCATTTTAAATTATCAAGTTAATTGTAAAAAATTCCTTTTTTTTTATTTCCCATGATCGGTGTTCTAAAGCAAAAAACAAAAATATTTGAAAATGACAAATTAAATTTTTTTTTTTTTATCAAAAAAACATTCGAAATGCGCGTGCGTAGTTTCAAAATGTAATTTCAGCCAATCAGCAATTTTCATATTGACCGTTTGAAAATTTTTAGGGAGTACGTGTGTGTGTGTGTTCACACTTTGACATGGTGTGTTTTTACCAACCGTCACTCATCACCGTAAGCCAAAAGTTGTTGTTTTCTTGATGTTGAAAGATTGCGCTATTTTATTTTGTTTTCTTTATTCTATCCACCAATAATACTTTTTTTGAGAAAATAAAATAAGATAATTCTTGTTTTGAATTTTTAAATTTAAATTAATCGTCATTTTTTTGATTTGATTGTGTTTTCGTATGACAAAATGACCAATGTTGATTGGATTGAGTTTGAACAGGATGATGCATCCATGAATCTTTCGTTTCCATCAGCGTAAGTTTATTGCTTTTCTATTTACGAATTTATAGCATTTTATATAAAATTTTTGTTTTGTCACAGTTTTGCTGATTATCTCACCGAAGAATTGGTACAAAATTTGAAAAATAAATTTAATGAAATCGGTGAAATATGGCGTTTTGTCGGCTTTCCAGATTCATATCGTGAACAACAAACCGAAGAAATTCGTCGACAATTCATTGATTTAGCTGATAGATTACTTGCAACAAATAGTAAATTTCGTGATGACGGACTAAAATATCGTGAATATAAATTGAAAGAAGTGAATAAGATTCTCAGCGATCTATCATTACCATCATTTCAGCTATCTGAAGAATTCCAAACATTGATTATGCAGAATAAAATGTTGCAGAAAAAATTTAACGAATTGGTTGTGGTTAAAAATGAACGAATGTCTAAATTGGAGAGTTTGGAGAATAAATTACAAAAAGTAAACCAATTACTTGGCGAAATTTATCAACCAACCAAATTTGTTACAGATATACCGAGTGAAATGGAACTAAAAAGTTTAGCTTTAATATTACGTGACCGTGAAAAACTTCTTACTGATCGTAAAATGAAATTTGAATCATTGAAACCTGCATTAATGAAATTTACAAACGATCTTGAATATAAACCGGAAAATGATGATGAAAAAATGTTAATCGTATTAAACAGAGATATTATTTACTCACAATTCCACATTAACAAACTGATGTCATTTTTGAACAAATTATCCAGTTTACGTGAAACTGCTAAAACACAGATTGAAAAACAACTTGAAAAATTGCAACAACTTTATAATCGATTGGATATTGATCAAAAAGAACGCGATCTTTTCTTAATGGAATTGGTTGGTACATTACCAAGACAGCAGCAACTATTGGATGCTGAAATAGCTAAATATGAGATTATAAAAAAGAATAGTATCGAAAAAATAATCAAAAATGTTCGTATTGAACTTCAAGCACTTTTCGAAAAATGTCGAGTATCTCAATTCGATGGCTATCTAATGGATTCGAATGAATATACAGAAGAATTGCTAAACGAGCTAGAAGCTGAATTTAATGTTTTAAAAATTTTTCATGATAAATATCAAGAAGTTTTTGAAAAATTAATCGAATTTGAAGATTCTATGGAATGTCTGATAGAATTGGAAAGAAAATCAACTGATCCAAATCGTTTTAATAATCGCGGTGGTGCATTGTTACAAATGGAACGTGATCGTAAAATTTGTTTGAAAAAATTGCCCAAATTAGAAAAAGAAATTCGAACATTGATCACAATGATTGAAACCGAACATAATATACCATTAAATTCATATGGTTTGGATATTGATAAATATTTCGAAATGAATTGGGAACAGCTTAAAGATTGTAAAACAATACCAACTACATCAAAAAATTCAAAATCACAGAATACTACAGAAAGTGCGAAAAAGATTAATCAAAATGCCTTATCAAACAAAAAAGGTAATCGTATTCCCTTTTCACCACGATCAGTGAATCAACGAGTTAATAAACGTGAATTGGATGAACAGCCACGATCTGGAAAGATTGCCAAACGAAATATCTATGATGATATCGTCAAAGTTGATGAGGGTGAAAAACAATTTCAGGTAAGCATAATGGTTGTAAACATTGAACCTTATAATGTAAATTGAATAATCAATTGCAGATGGGCATTCAAATCAATTCGACAATGATCGATGCGGAAAATAATCTTCCACATATGAATCTTCATACACCATTATCCAAAGCAACAGTTACAACACGAATCCGTGAAAATCGACGTCGTTCTAAATCGGTAGATTTTGTTCGTAATCGACCAAGAAATCGTATACCAATCATAATGAATTCAAACAGTAGTAGCGGCTATTCATCATCATCGAATATAACCAATGTTAGAACAGTACAACGACCGACACCATTTTTACCATAAAATTCAATTTTTTTTCATTTGATTTTGATCAGTATTTTTACAATCATATTCTTACAAGACATTATTTCTAATTACATAACACTATCATTAATAAACATAATAATTGACCATAAATTCATCATTATCATAACCATTAAAAAAATGAAATTAAACATTTTTTTCTAATTCCATTATTCATATTAGCTATATTTCCGAAATTATTTTCATTTGTCAATAAAAATTTATTGTTTATCTTTACAAACATAGTACGTTCTGGTCAAAGAATTGATTATTACGTGACATGTGTTATATATAAAAAAAAAGATATTTATAATCATCATCATCAAATCATAAGATAATTAAATTGAGAAGAAAAAAAAATGTGATGTGATAAAAGTGCGCATTTAACAATCGAATGTTTTGTTATGTATTTTTATTGAACGCATGCGCTTTCCAAACATTTTTTTAATGTTTTTTGTTTTTGTTTTTGTTTTGATTTAATACGCGTTGAAGTAAAATGTTTTTGTTTTGCAGCTTTTCATTATCGATCAATCTTTGACAAAGCCAGTGTGGTGAGAAAACGCGCAAAAAAATCATTTCGTATTAATTATAAGGTGATAAAATTTCGATTCAAAATATTTTATTTGCGAATTTCAATGTTCAAAAAATAACTTCGTTGAAAAGCAAAACAACAAATGGCATCCACACCCAAAAGCGATGATGTCGTTTCTTTAAATGGTTCGATTTTAATTTTTTCGGTCCCATAATTTTTTATTATTTTTGTCGTATTATTTCAGATTCTTGGATCGATATCAATGAAAATACAACATATTCTCCCAGTGATACACCACTTCATATCCTCATGAAAAACAATGGACCAACCCTACAAAGTTTGGAGAAATTATTATTGGATGCACAAAAAGAAAGCCAAACAGGACATTCATCATTGAAAGGATCATTTTTGGGTTCATTACCCATCACGCCCGATGGTTTACAAACTCCTCCGAATAGCATCTATTTTAATAATAATGTAATAACAGATTGTGCAAACGAAATAATTTCTAAAAAAATTTTTTCTATATCAACTAAATAACCAAATAGGAGCATAATGATCGAAGTCATTTGAGTACAGATTGGATATGGGATTGGAGCAATCGTGATCCATTGTCTAAGTATGTGTTGTTGTTTTTTTCGAATTAAAATCGATTAATATTCATTCCTTCATCCGTTTAAAGAGAATGGAATAATCTACAACAAAATCGTAAAACTCGTCCAACATTTCGTCAATGGATAATACGACGTGGAATTTTATCGAAAGAAGTTCTTTCATTATTATTTTTGACCAATGTTCTTTCATTGATTTTGGGTGCTGGAATTGGCTATACAATTATTCTACGTCGAGCTTTCTGACAAATAACAAAATTACTGACGAACAAATGAATGGTGTGTGATGAATGGAAAATCATTAATATTTTGTTTCTTATCATCATCATATATAATTTATAATCACACATATAACTGTTTTTTTTTTCATTTTACATTCTTATTAACCTGATCATTTTGCCTTTGTTTGTACACTTGTGCTTGTGTGTCTAATTTGTGTTTGTTTATTTATCATTTCATACTTTGATCATTTTTATTTTTCCTTCATTCATTGATTTTGATATCCATTATATAATATTCGAATAATAAAAATGAATTACGATTGAATAATCGAAAATTTTTGTTTTATTTTCAAAAATTATTATTTTAATTTTTTTAAATTTAAAATGACTAGTTTATACACATCGATATTTTTCCAAAAAAAAAAAATGATTATAATTTTGACATGAAAATATAAATAAGATGAAAAAGAAATTGCCCATTATTTTAGATGAATATAATTTATAATGATTATGACCAGTACGTTCGTATAACATCGACAATTTTTGCACGACAAATAGGACAATGGCCAGATGTTTGCCATTGTTTTACAGAACATTTATAACACATACAAACATGACCACAAGTATAGAATACACTGTTGATTGGTTCTTCATAGCAAACAACACATTCATTACCGAATGTTGTCGCTGTTGTTGATGATGTTGATGATAATGATGTAGAATTTGTTAAATTATTTGAAATTTGATTATACAATTTACCATCAACATGATGATAATCATTATTATAATTATAATTATGTTCAAAGGCTTTTTTGTTTGCATTTGCTTTGTTTTGTCGTTGTATGGTTGGATATGCAACGTATGGCCAATTTGGTTGCTGTGTTGTCATTATGGTTGATTTCTTTTTCGGTTGATATGATTGATGTTGGTTATAATGATGATGATGATCAGGATTTAATGCTGGAGAATATTCCATTTGTGATGATTTATAAACATTGTGCATAGATATGGCATTAGTTAATGGTCGATTTGATTGTATGGAATGATGATGGTTGGCAAGATTCAAATGTGATTTATGATGATTCATTGTTTGTGAACCTAGTAATCGAACTTTAAGCGTACTTCCGTATAGATCGAAAAAGCCCCATAAATTTTGACTTATATCAACATGCATCAATGTGATTGAACGTTGACGATTTTTAGTCATTATAACTTCACCAGATTCTGTAATAGTGAATGCAATTTCATCACCAGCCATCGGTGAATTGGCTACATCTTTGATTACAGTCCAATATTCGGGACGATCTAATAGATGGTGTGAATCTTCGGGAAAATCGGCAACATTCAAAAAATTCGGATTACATGATGTAAGGCCGAATGTTAAACTTCCAGTAAACATTTCATCCGTACGCAGAATTTGCAATACAATTTTCTCACCAATTGCCAATGGTCGATTTGTGAATACATAGCCTTGTGAATAGTGATTACTATTACGTTCAGCTACACATTTATTACTTGAAAGTCGTACATTACAGCCACGAGTTCTATGGAATTGAATTGATTGTTCAAGAAATTTATTTGAATAAATTTGTGGTAATGGTTCATGTGACATTTCATTTGGTAGATCCATCATTGAAACGGATGTGTACAGACGTTCAGGTTCGATGTACATGTTTTTATTACGGCTATTATTTGGTTGATATCGTGGATCTAAATGACAAAGACAAGACAAGACAAGAATAATGAACAAGTGAGATGAAGAAATACAACAACAAGTAATAATAATAATAATAATATGACAAATGAATGCAAAGAAAATTGATATTTCCTGTTTGCATCAAATGTTTGAAATGGATGACAAGTTTGATATGTACATACCAATTAGTTCAATTTTCTGCGTATTACCATATAGATCGATGACGGCCCAAAATGGTCCACCATTAATTTTAACATTTTCAAGTATAATACCCTTGTCAACATTATTTATACTATAATGAATATTTCCGTTTGTTGATAGATAGAATGATAATATACAATTTTTATGTGAATATCTTTCGGGTAATGCTTTAGCAAATGTATGACCACAATTTGTTAGATTTGGACAAACATATTTAGGCAATGAATTTCTTAATGTTGTCGGATCTTTTGTTGTAAAACCGAATCGTAATACACCACTCCAAAAATCAGACATTTCAACAATACGTATACAGATACGTTCATTAAAACGTATTGGACGATTACTAAAACAAATACCACGACAATAGCTACCAATACGTTCAGCAATCATTCCATTTCCGTTGATACGAATATTTTCACCATGTACTGAATGAAATCCAATTGGTGATAGATTATTTGTTGCCAAATTTTGTCCATTTTGTCCAAATGAAAGATTTTTTTGTGAAGCTAAAATAAAATTTTCATTCATAAAAATAAAACAATAAAAACAATTGTTGATTATAATTAGTTATTTCAGTAAACAAGAAAAAAAAATCATAATTTTATGTAATTGTTTGTGTGTGTGTGTGTATTTTTATATCATTATCATCCTCATGATCATCATCATTGAAGCTCAACCATGAGAATTAGACTTTGCTCTTTCTCTCGGTTGATAATCACACACACACATACATTCTTATATCTCTGTATTCATTCGTGTCAGTCTCATCAATTGTACCACATAATGAACGAATTAAAAAATTTTGTCGGTCATCATCAAGAAAACAAAAAGAAAATGAACGAATGTCTTTCGTTGAACATTTTCATTCTTTCATTTCGAAACGGAAATGCCAAATTAATTTTTTTTTTACAATGACTGCTACTTATATTCTGTTATTAAAAGATGACAAAAAATTATTCTAATACGGAGATACGGCTCTATGACGAGATGATGATGATGATGATGATAGACATCATCATTATCATCGTATCTTATCGTGAGAGGATAGAAAATGGGAGACATGAATTTCTTTTTTTTTCTTTTTCTTAATTTAGTTTTTTAAGAAAAAAAATTCTCTCAATTAAAATGATGATAAGATTGGAATTTTATTTAAGGAAAAAATGTGTTGGAAATTTTTTTTTCTTTCTGTTTTGGATCAGAAACACTTACCTATACGACGAATTTTTTTCAAAAGTTTCATTTTTTTTCGATTAATTGATTTCAAATTAATTAATTGAAGATGGCTTTGATAATGTTAGTGTGTGTGAGTTTTTTTGCCGTTTGAATTTAATTCGGAAAATTTTTTTTTCAAAGTTTGATGGGAAAAAAAGTTCACAAAATATGAAAGTTGCAAACAATAAGAACAGTGGAACCGAACGAACCGTTCGTAATGATGAACAAAATTCAACTGATGATCAAAATGAACGAATACAATCTTCTTATTTCAAATTTTTTTTTTGCTTTCTACCACCGATCGACGATCATGGAAAGAAAACAGAAAAAAAAGGAACAGGGCCAGTCCTATTTGGCAGATTGTTTTTTTCTCTCTCTTTCTCTCACCACCAACATCAAAAGCATGATTCATTTATTCATTCATTCATTCAAAAAAATTTTACCCATAGTAAAAATACAGACAAATAAGATCTACTACACTAAACTCTACGGTCTAATGAACAAATGTTTGTCGTTCATCATCAACGACAACGACAATATCTTTAGCTTTGTATTTATTTATTATGGCTGTTATATGGTTGGACAATATAACCAAATAGATTGACAAAAAAGGAAATCTGGTTGTGATCACACACTAAACACAAACATAGCATATGACATTTAGACCTTTTAGATGTTTCGGTTTTTTTACAAAATCTATTTCCGAACGAACATAGCATCAGACAACAACCGAAACCAATACAGACGACGGTTGTATTTTTTGTTCTTCAGTCAAAGGACATAGGATATTGGAAAGAAAGAAAAAAAGGGAGTGTAAGTAAGCATCAACATTGAAACAAAAAACCGCTAGGACTTGATCATCATGATAATAATAACGATGATGATTATGATCAACAATGAACGGAAATAACAACACCCTTGTTGTATGTTTGTATAGTAAAAAAAAAAGAAAGAAACAAAAATTAGATCGAAAATCAACAACATCCATCCAGATAAATAAAAAAATTAATAATAATTCGGATAGATTAGATTATATGAGAATATATTTGAATTTTTCGTGTAGGGTATTATCATCAAATATTATCATATCGATATAGCTTTGTTGACTCATAATATCGATTGTATTATCACTATGGTAATATAATAATTTTTCCAACCGACATTATCAAACATGATGATATTATTATTCTTGTTTTGGTGATAAAATGATTAAAAACTTTGAATCTATCTACATAGGCCAGATGATTTTAATAATAATAATAATAATTTGAAAACGATAATCTGTAAATATGCACACGAACTTAGTATTTCTGAAGTATAATGAACCTTCTTTCTGATCAATGGATGTTATATTTAGCTAGTTAGTTTCAATAAACGAACAAAAAAAAAGTTCATCAAACCAAAAATTGAATGGATGGTTGGTTGAACTATGAAAAAATTTATTGTTTCAACAACATCAACTGACAACAAAAAAAAACGACGCGTGCCTTATTCCATTTTATTGGATCGATCCTGATAATATTATAATATTTGTCTGTTGACGAAATCCAAAATGTTTATAATGTGTATATAACGAATATTAGCATCTGTTGCTTTTATTCAGTAATAAAGGTCAAAAACTAAAGGAATAAATGAATGGAAAAAAAGGCCATGTGTTGATGATGATTGGCACATCTGCCATTTGGGTATCGTCATCTGGATACATTGGACATCGGTGTATACACAACATTGATGATTGTCTCTATTATTATTTCAAACTAAATAAGATTTAGTCGCGTGGCACAAGCTGCTGCTATTTACCAGTTTCAGAAACGAAAAAAAAAGTTCTTATAACCACCATACACATCTGTCTTTCATGGGACGCGTGGCACATGGTCCATAACATAACCTTTCGATTTGAATGTTGGAATAGGCAAGAAAAACAGAAGGTTTTTTTTCTGGAACAAAGTTGGCCACGCGTCAGACGGCAGGTCCGATAAGTTTAAAACCGAATATTGACCAACAAAAAAAAAAAGAGAAAAACAACCATGGTCAAAATTAAAATTCGATCATCTGTTGCATGTTGCTTTGGATTTGTTTTTTTTTCTTCTTTTACTTTACATATGAACATCTGTCTATCGTGAATATGAAAATATCGTTCAAAACATTATCATTGAAATCATTAGACATTTATGAAGATTGATAAATGAGCTATTTCTAGAATTTTTTTTTTTGAATTCTGTTTATAAAAATTCAAATTTATATCCGGATCAAATTTCCCGAAGCTTCCGAATTGATCATTTTGAATGATGATGATGACGAATTTATTCATTATCATCAAATGATTAAGCGAAAAAAAAACCAGAAGAACATGATAAACAAATGATAATCATTGCAAACAAGAAAAACTTGATGAGGGTGGTGATCATACACACACACATACACACATGTTGATGTGAAAATGATTGGACAAAAGAAAAGAAAATTGTCATTGTCCGGAAATAGTCCGTAAACATATATATAACGAGAATAACAAATATTAATAACAACAACGAAAATACACATCCCTTCTCATGGAATGAATCTTATTGCTTGTTGCTGCGTAACTATTTAAGAATATTTATATCATCATCATATGCTGACTATGTAGATGATGGTCGGTATTTCCAGATTTGTCATTGACGACATTTTTTTTTTTTTACTTTTTGGGCGAGTCATCGACATTTTCATTGTTATGATGATGATGATGATGATGATGATAACAAATGGCTACAAAAATATTCAATTTTTTTCAAGTGAAAGGAACAGCCCAACATATATAAGATGATAAAATGATAATTCAAAATGAAAGTTTTTTTTTCTCTATTTGCTTGATTTTCATCATTTGTATTCATTTCGTACATATTACTACAAAATAACAATTATAACGGAACGGAACTATCGATCGGATGGATGGTGATGGGCGAATCATTTTCTTTACATTTTGTTTAAATAGAAAAACGTTGGAAAGTTTGATCAACCCATATGTCGGATGACCTTCAATATTGATGATAATAATGATGGACACACACATCCTTCATCATTATAATGATGAGGATGTTAATCGACAATACAATACAATAACACCAAACCAAAAAAAACTGTAATAATAATAACAAGTGCTATTCGTGTGACAAAATTTAGTCCATTGTATTTAAGTTTTCCGGTTTTCTTTTTCTTTTCTTGTTATTATTATTATTATTATTGTCGAGCTACATCCGAATTTTGATTTATCAATTTCCGGCCCAATAATAGGACCGGGCCCTTTATTATTTAGTTTTTTTTCAAGAAAAAAAAATTTCACGTCTAAATCATTAAGTGTGTCACACATCCGTTTTTTTTTTGAAAAAAAAACGAGTGGAAAAAAATTAAACCATAGGGTCTATGTGTGATTATATTAGGTAAACACATGGAAGAAAATACAAGGGACCTTTTAACTTTAAATTTCAAACAAACTTTTACCCACGAGTAAAATAAAATTAGATAGGGAAAACGAAACAAAAAAGAGACTGCACCTATTTGCTGTTGGCCAAATAGACATTAGAACACGACACATGTTCAAATTTTCAACTTTTTTCCGTTTTCTTTCTTTCTTGGTCATGGTTACACAAACACAGTTTGAAAATCTGTTGATCAAATCGATACATATGATACGGTTTTTTTTAGCCAACTCCCAGGATGTGTTTCATATTTCATTGAGAAGATGGATAAGTGATCAATGATCAAATTTAAAAAAAAACTGTCGGTCGAATTTAATATTGAAACGGAAATCGATCGGTTTGTAAAGTGTGTGAAATAGATAGAAATAGTCTTTTTTCTTTTCCATCATAATCTGAATATTGAATTTTATTTTTGGGTTTTTTTTCTAACGGGACAATATTGTTGTGAATAATGAATGTGTGGGTGTGTAATCAATGTTTTTTTTCTGGTCGATAATAATTAATTGCATGTTTTTATGAATAAGTTTCCGGAATTTCGAGAATCTGTTATTTTTTAATTGTTTTGTTTTTTTTCTATGTGAAAATAAAGTAATAATGAAATCATAGGACAAGTTGTTTTTTTTCCAGTACGAAAACATTTTTGTTTTTGATTTTTTTTTCGTGATTGATTCAAAAATCTTCGACGACGATTTATGCGACGATAAATTCTTGTGAAGTGAAAAAGAAATATGATTCAAAATTTGTCGAATATAACATTGAGAATTGGGTTTACCCATGTAAGAAATTTTGATTATTTGAAAATTGAAAATTTATATGAATCAATAATGAAATTTTTATTTCAAAAAAAAAAGAATATTTTAGCATCGTTATTGAGCTATGATGATAGTATTGAAAATTATAAAGTGATTGATGGTGATGAAGCAAGAATGATGATAGAAATGAGTAAACATTTTAACTTTTCCATTCAATGGAAACATTCAAAACAATTTGGTATATTGACTGAAAATAATACATGGACTGGATTGTTTGGTATGTTTCAACAGAATGAAATCGATTTAGCTATTGGTGGTATATTGCAAACATATAATCGACAAATGATTGCTGATTTTTTATATCCACATTTTATTGATAAATCAACATTTGCTATTCAACCATCGAATACGATTGATTATAATTCAGATTATGTACGTTTCAACCTGTTGATCAGACCATTTACATTGGATGTTTGGTTAGCATTTTTATTCATATTAATTTTATTCGGATTTTTGAATTTTTTTCTCAAATTGATACCGAATACGAATAAAAAAATCAAACATAATATTATTTGGATAAATCTTTGTCTACTTACCGGACAACCATATACATTGATGAAATTCACACCGATTTCTGTTCGATTATCTGCAATAATATGGGCATTCGGAATAAAAATCCTATACAATTATTATCAAGGTTCACTTTGTTCAATTTTGACTATTCAAGATGATAATATAATCGATACAATCGATGAATTAGCAATGGCATCAAAAACCGGCTTGGTTTTACCAATGTTGGTTAGCCATTCAAGCAGTGCTTTAATCTTATCGGTCAGTAACCAACAATCTAATAAAATAATTTAGAGAAAAAAAAAATAAAAATAATTATATTATACTTAGGAATCGCAAATACAATCATATAAAACAATTTATAAAAATTCAATATCGATAGCAGATCGTTCAGACGGTTATGAATTGATGAATCACCAAAAACAGTTGCCAAAATCAAATAGAAAAATTTATGTTTTTATTGGACCTCGACAAAAACTGGAATTCTATCGTCTTTACTATGCTGATCAACCATTATTCATACCGCCAATATTGGATCAATCAATATTCAATATGGTCTTTTATTCCATACCAGTTCGTAAAGGATTTGATGTTTTTCATGAATTTTTCAATGAATAGTAAGTTTTTTAATCAGGTTTTTTTTAAAAAAAAATCCTTTTCTAATAGCCATTTCATAAAAGTATTTGTCGAATAAAACATAGCGGTATTCATGAACATTGGAAATTAATGGCCTTAATAAATGCCGTGATGAATGCTCGATCCAAATGGAATAACAATGATGATGATAATCTTGATCAACAATTCTCATTGAATCAACTAAACAGTATATTCTATTCATATTTAATTCTATTGATAATCGCTATCATTGCGTTCATGATCGAATTGATTAATCAATTTCTCTTATCAATCGAAACAAAATTCAATAATGATAAATAATGATAATTGAACATTGTACTACCCTCTAGCGGTAGAGAGTTGAATTTTGTTTTTCATTCAATTGTATATAGCGCCATACACATGCGGAATATGAATTCAAAAAAAAATCGTGCTCGAAAACACATCGCGATATATCGATGGTTTTCGTCTCTCATTTCTTCTTACAAACATTCATTGAATTATATTGCATACAGGTCATAACATTGATATTTTTTTTGAAAGAACATTCAATGCGAAAAGAAAAATTCTTGAAGAATATATTCATTTTTCATTTTTAACTATCAGGGAATTTCAAATATAAAAACCTAATTTATTCATCAACGATAATAATTATGAAATCATTGCGATCGATTGGTAATGTTTTGTTAAGAAATTACTTCGTTACACAACAAAAATCATTGCAAAAAGTTTGTATTTTATTATGTCTATTATGTCTTTATATGTTTTTCATATCGAATCTGATTAAATTAATCTTTCACTTTTTCTTTCATTTATCTTGTTGTTTATTTGTGTATGTTTTCTCTTTGTTTTTTATCAATTAAAATTATCAACATAAAGCATTCGCAAAATATTCGCACTATCTATCAAACAAGTCAACAATTTCGTGCACCACCTCCGCCATCATCTACTTCAGACAGTGTTGATGGTCAGAAAATTAAATGCACACTAATTCCCGGTGATGGTGTCGGACCTGAACTTGTGGCCTCAGTTAAAGAGGTATTTTCTGCAATGGGTGTCCCCATTGAATTCGAAGAACTTTTTTTCAGGTAATTTCAACTTGATTCTTTTTCCAAATATACTAATTACGTATTATTATAACCAGTGAGATTTATCCTTCAATGAGTGTTTCAGTCGAAACTGTAATTGAATCAATACAACGAAATGGAATCGCGTTGAAAGGAATCTTGTCGACACCCTTTAGTAGCTATGCCGGTGAATTACAAACGTTAAACATGAAATTACGTAAAGATCTGGATCTTTATGCTAATGTTGTTCATATAAAAAGTTTTCCCGGTATCAAAACAAAGCATCATGGTTTAGATTTCTTTGTTATCCGTGAACAGACCGAAGGCGAATATAGTGCACTCGAACATGAGAGCGTGCCCGGCGTAATCGAATGCATGAAAATAATAACCGAAGAAAAATCTCGACGTATTGCAAAATTTGCTTTCGATTATGCTACCAAACATGGACGAAAAAAAGTTACCTGTGTTCACAAGGCTAACATTATGAAACTCGGTGATGGCTTATTTTTAAAATGCTGTGAAGAAACTTCCAAACTTTATCCACAGATTGCATTCGATTCAATGATCATCGATAATACCTGTATGCAATTGGTATCACATCCGGACAAATTCGATGTTATGGTCATGCCGAATCTTTATGGTAATATTATCGATAATCTTGCTTCGGGTTTGGTTGGTGGTGCCGGTATTGTACCGGGTGCATCATATAGTACTGATTGTGTTATCTATGAACCCGGTGCTCGTCATACATTCGGTGAAGCTGTTGGTAAAAATATTGCCAATCCAACCGCCATGTTATTATGTTCAGTAAAATTATTAAGACATGTTCATCTTCATGAATATGCTGATCTTATTCAACGAGCCATTGCACGTGTTATCGAAACCGGTAAAGTAAAGACTAGAGATTTAGGAGGTTACGCATCGACTACCGATTATACAATGGCAATTATTGCTAATTTAGGCATACAATAATTAATTTAAATTTTAAAAAAGAAAAAACTAAAACAAAATTGTTATCTATAAATAATACCGAATTAAGAAATTTGTTTTGTGTGTAGCTTTAACAACAACCGAAAAAAATAATTAATCACAAAATCAAGATAAACAACAGTCAGAAAGAATCTTCGTTTTTTTTCCTAATTATTTGTTTCAATTTTTATTTTAATTTATGATTTTTTTTTCTTTTTTGATCGTCGAACATAAATTCATTAAGTGTTTTCACATACAGTATTTATAAAAACACATTAAACATTTGAAACACCGTTGTTGTTGTTAATGTTATTGATGAAAATGATGATTTTTGTTTCTGTTTGCTATATAAATTGAATTTAAATTTTGATTTGGATAATGATTCATTCATTATGATGTTGATTTTGATGTTTTTAAATTAATATTCTTACAAATCCATTCGATTCCATCCTATTCAATTGATAGATTTTTTAAACTTTGATTGCCTTAATCAAAAAAAAAACAACACTTACTTTAAGACCTTCACCAGATGTACCGGAACATGCTTGAATCTGCCATGGACGATCTCTAATGGCAATCAAATGTAATTCTTCAGCTAATTCACTAGCACTAACAGCATTGATCAAATCTTGTTTATTAGCGTATACCAGTAATGGTACGTTCATTAATTTTTCTTCATTCAATAATTCATTCAATTCGACCGATGTTTCAGCAAATCTTTTTTTATCCGCACTATCAATAACGTAAATCTATTTATCAAAAATATCCATAATGTTAATAATGAAAAATTTTATTCATTGATTTATCATACCAAAACATCGGTATTTTCAAAATAATTTCTCCAATATGGACGAATTTTACGTTGGCCACCAATATCCCATACATTTAATTTAAATCCCGGTGATTGTACACTTTTAATATTAAAACCCTGTGTTGGTGTTATATGAGTAACATCTTCTGAGGCCAATTTTTTCAATATGGTTGTTTTTCCAGCCTAATATTTTTGATTATCAATGATAAACCATGTCAAAAAAAAGGGAAAAAAAAAGACTTACATTATCCAAACCAAGTAATAGAATTCTTAATTCAGGATTCGATGTTGATTTGAATTTTTTCAGTAATGAAAGTAGACCCTTTTTCATTTATAAATTCAATGAACAAAAAAAAACAAACAATAAGATTTACAAAATTTCTTTATAATGATAATTACCATTATTTTAAATTTTTATTATTTGATCGGAATTTTTTTTGTTGTTGTTGTTGATGATGATTTTATTTTACGTGCCTTCACATTCATTTATCCGAATGAATAAATCGATCATTTCTATATGTTTCATCATCGTCATCATCATTGTCGTAGTTTGTTTGTTTGTTTGTTTGTTTGTTCCAAGATGAAAATCAAGAATAAATGTTGAATTCTTTGGTTGTCAACGGTAACCAAATACAAAATATAGTTCTGTGCTTGTGTGTGTGTGTATGTGCACCTGAAACATTTACTTTGAAAAACTTCATCAGATTTTTTTCCATTTTGATAATTCCAAACCCCAAAAAAAATGAACAGGTTAAGAAGAATTTTTAATCACAAAAATTCGTGGTTACCGAAATCGATTTTTATTTCTTTATCCCCATTTTCATCCCTCGTAAGTCTCTCTTAAATTCGCTTGATATTCCCACCAATTTTGGTTTTCAAAAAAAAATGAGGAAAATGATTACGACGACATCTCGTAACAAATTATTGACATTGTTGTTTTTAATGAAAAATATTTCGAATTACACATATGTGTTTTGATAAATTTTTGGAAAAATTTTGCCCAATCCAAAATTAAAAAAATGTCCAAATTAGAAAAGATTGTGATTCTTGGCTGTGGTTCATATAATCCGTTAACATATATGCATCTTAGAATGTTTGGTACGATTGAATTAATAAAAATCATAACGTTCATTTATTGAATGAATTCATTCTTTTTTCGAGCAGAAATTGCTAGAGATTTTCTAATCCAAAAAGGTAGTTATGAAGTTGTTGGTGGAATAATATCACCGGTTAATGATCGATATAAGACCAAAAAATATTTAGCACCGGCTAAACATCGTATCGAAATGATACGATTGGTATTGAAAAAAACATTATTCGGTCGACCTAATTGGATACGATTAGATGAATGGGAATCTCAACTAGATCATTGGTGTCGAACAATAGAAGTCATTCAATATCATCATAAAATATTGAATAGCAATAACAATGATAAAATACGATTAATGTTAATCTGTGGTTCTGATATGTTTGATTCGTTTAATGTACCAAATCTTTGGGATGATAATGATATTGAAACAATTATCAAAGATCATGGACTTTTAGTCATCTTTCGTAATACCTCTGATCCATGGAAAACATTACGTAATTCATCGAAATCACATTTATTACTCAAATATGAATCAAATATCCATATCATTGAACACGCACCGAATGCTGTCAGTTCAACTTATATCCGGTAAGATTTTTTTGACAAACATTAAAATTTGAATAAATTTCAATTGATTTTTTTCGATTTAATAGTGATGCAATTATCAAAAAGGAAAGTATTCGTTATCTAACTGATGATTCAATTATCGAATACATTGAACATCATAAACTTTACCGGTAATTCGCGAATACAAAAAAAAATCGAATTGAAAATTAAATTTCCAAAAACACACAAATCATCTATTTCCACACCTGTATGATGTTGAAACAGGCTTATTTGTTGTGATTTTTATCATCATCAATATCGAATGGTCATATTGAAACAAAAAATAATTTAATACTAAATTTTTTAATTAAAAAAGATGATTTTTTGTAAACTTTTTTGAATATTTTAAATTTAAAAAAAATCAATAAAATAAATTTTTCTAAAATGTGGTTTTTTCTATTGCTCACCTGGCTGGGCATCATTGTTTTACTCTTATTCTTTATTCTATCTTTGGGTATGTTTTTTTCAATATTTTTGTTATTGTTTGTTGAAAAAATTTGAAATTTCGTTTCAATAGCTACTGGACTATATTATCTAGCCGAATTGATTGAAGAATATACGACTGTTTCATGCAAAATTATACGGCAATTAAATTTGGTAAAAAAAATTATTCATTTATTCATTTAAATCATTTGTTTTTCTATTCTATAAAATTCAGTTCATAATTGCCATTTATGTTGGCCTGTTTCTGTTCGAAAATCTTCCCAATTATTTGATCATTTGTGGTCTTCTAAGTCATCTAAATAATATGATTATATTGAAAACGTTTCCATTTTTTCAGCTTTCATCACCTTCGTTTTTATTTTTCATTGGTAAACATATTATTCTAATGATAAATAAATTCCATTAATTTTATTCTTCTTTTACAAACAGCAATGTTTATCATCAATCATTATCTTGCATTTACCTATTTTGCTCAAGTCAATTTTTACTTTGTTCAAGTGTTGTCTTATTTTACCATTTGTCTTTGGATTATACCATTTGTAAGTGTTGCATTCATTGTAAATTTTATTTATAAAATTTGATTTTTAAAAAATTTCAGGCCTTTTTTGTTTCATTATCGGCGAATGATAATGTTTTACCCACATCGATTGAAAACAGAAATTCTGGTAACTTTTTTTTGATAATTTTTAATATTTTTTTTTATAAAACAATCTATTTTTATACACAGATGATCATGATTTAATATCACATTATTTTTCAAGAAAAGGAACACGACCAGGATTATTATCATTTTTCAACTATGCCAAAGAATCCATTCTACCACAACAGGTTAAAAAATCCTATTAGTCCCATCGAGATTTTCTTGAACGAATCGTTTCGGTGTTATCTTCATTAACGGCCACATATGTTGAAGCTGTTTTTGATTGTTGTCGTACCTGACGATTCCATTGATAAAAATAGAATATGCATAGTGAAAATGATATGACACCAATGCTCATCACATATTTATTCTTTGTTTTGTTGATTGATTTTGTTTTTTTTTTGTGTTTTTGTAAAAAAAATTTGTTTAAAATTAAACTTGAAAAACTCATCTCAAAATATTTACCGGTTTTACAAATAATTCGAAATTAGCGGCCCGGAAAAAAGCTGTCGAATCGGGACGAAATCGAGTATTAGTATTTGTTTTATTCGATTTTGAATCTGACATTATTCAATTTTTTGATTTCTGGCCCAAAAAATCAGAAATCGAACCTGATAAAAAAATTCCAAGAAAAAAAATAAAACCTAAAAAAAACAAACTTTCGTTGTACGAATCTAACACCAAAAAATCGAATATTTTTCTAATACAGTGATAATTCAATTATTCGAAAAGATCTGGATCACAGTTTATGACTAAAATATTAAGTCATTCGAAGTGTCACTGTAACATGCTCCTTCGAATAAAAAAAAAACCTGTTGCAAACCGAAAAAAAATGGTCGAAAAATACTAGCAATATATAAACTGGGCATGATTAGAAGTGGAATTATTTTTACTTTGGCCAACGAAAAAAAAAACTTTAAGACTTTGCTCATTTTGAAAAAAAAATACATACTGATATAACGCGAGGAGTGGGTGGACAACGACACACCAACAACACACCGTATATTCACAACACACTACATGCATGCATTCATTCATTTTAAGCACACACACAAAAAAAGATTGAACAATCATTCAACCGAATTTTTTGCTGTAAAATTTTTCCGGATCGTTTTGTTGTGTCTTTCTATAGCTCATTTGATGTGCATTATTATTCGTCGTGTATTCACATCATTTGGTTAGTGGTGGCGTGGCTGAAAAATTGCGCGGCGTTTTTTTCCCTCTTCTTCTTCATTCATTCTTGAAGCGGCAAATTTTACCGATTATTTTTTTTTGTTGATCGGGTTTCCACAAATCTTCCATATTTTCAACTTTGAACAGGAAATCGTTTTCCTGAAAAACTTCTTCATTTTTTTTGTTCGATAATACAAATTCTTTATTAATGTAAATAAGTGTGATTCTCATTCGAAAATATTTTATTTATCTTCAAACATTTGATTGATTATTGATTTATGGTGACCGTTGTTAGTGACATCAACAGTGTTATTTTCGCGCGATATTATCATCATCAACACACAAATAATTGTTGTGTGTGAGGAAAACTCTCTCACCATATTTTTCTGTGTATGTTCAATGTTTTTTTTTTTTTTTTTTTTTGATGACGATGATGAACTTCGATACACCAAATGTGAATTGAATAAGAGAGTATAGATCGCATACACACACAAATATATATCATCACCATTATTATGGCTGCCTCTCCACTGTTGTTTTTTATTTATTAAATCAAAATTGGCTTTTTTTGTTTGTTGATAATTGATATCAAAATCAAATGATTAACGTTATGTTTGATTAAATTCAGATAATCAGCATTTTTGTCATAATTCTTATTCTCTTTGATTCATGTTATCAAATATCAAAGAAAATTCTCTTTGTGTATGTGATTTAAATAACTTTGAATGATTCTATTTTTATTTTGAAAAAAAGTGTCCTTGTTTTATCCCATATCTTCGATTTTTTGTTTGTTCAATGATCATATTTATTTTTTAAAGATCTTACATAATGGAATCTAAAACAAATGATGAAGAACAATCAAAAACAACAATAATCATCAATAATGATTCGAATGCTGTTGAAGAACAATCATCAACAATAATTATGAAAATTAGTGAAGATCATGTTGATTCTACCATGAAAGATGATGATGATAATAATCAAGAATGTAAAGATGAAGATCGTAATAGTGATGATGCAACCGATGAAAATAAACAACAAAATGAAGAAATCGGTAAAGATGAACCAGAATCAAATAAAAACGATATTGAAGATGAAGAACAGAATATTGATGAAGAAATGGCCTCTGATGACGACGCAAATGATGATGATAATGAAGTAAAAACAAGAAGAAGTTCACGAGCTTCAACAACAACTAGCAATAATAATAAAGATAGTCTGGCTTCCACAATGAAACAAGAACTACCATCATCATCAACACCATCTGAAAAAAGAGGGAGAAAAAGAAAATCATTATCATCGACCGAATCACCTGCATCTAAATTGCCTAAATATGAATTCATTCCGATTAGTTTGGCAGCGCAAACCATCGTATTACCCGATGATCCTAAATATATTTTTGATCGTCAAAAATTGATCAATGTTCCACCCAAAGATGGATGTATATCTGTCGGTGATCTTATTTGGGCTAAAATGCAAGGTTATCCATGGTGGCCATGTATGGTTACTGTTGATCCATGTACTGGCAGTCATAACCGTGTTTCACGTTCGTATCTTTTTGTGACAAGTTAATTTGTTTACTAATGATTTGTTTTTCCTTTCATTAATAAATAGGTACAACATTCAAAACTGAATATCATGTTCAATATTTTGGACCGGATCCATCTCGTAGCTATGCTAGTGAAAGCAATATTATTCCATTCAAAGGATATCAAGAATTTCGCGATAAAATCGAAGAAGAATTAAAAGATTTAGATAAAAAGAAACGTGCAAAATCTGAACAAAAATATATTGTCCGTGCATCATTGCTCAAAAAATGGAATCAATCCATTTCGGAAGCAGAAGTAGCAATGGACTTAAATCGCCTGGATCGTCTTGAATTATTAAATTTTAATTATATCAGTCACTCAAACAATGCGCTATTAACAAATCGACAACAACAACAAAAAAGTCGAGTTATTACTGCAACACCAAAAAAAGTTTCTCAACAAAATTCGGGCAAACATTCGACGAAAAAAAACAATGAAGATGTCTATGCATTTGATGATGATGATGCATTTGGCGATAGTACATTGCCTACTGGATTTGTGTTCCGAAAACGTCTACCAAAAGGTGATTTTAATATTTACGTAAAACGTCATCTTGAAGAAGAAATTGAAAAGAATCCAGATCTTAGTAAATCAGAAGTGATTAAAAAACTTAAAGAAAAATGGTCTGGCTTAGATGAGGCTATTCGTTCGATTTATGTGGAACGAAAAGCTATCTATGAAGATGAATCAAATATGTTGGTTGCAAAACGTTCGAATTTCGATGATGATTATTATGATGATTCAGATTATGATTACAATGATAGTGGTTCTGATCGAAATGGATTTGGTTGTGATGATGATCAAAGTGGTGAACCATTTGATAATGATAAAAAATCGTCTACCACGACCAACATTAAAGTAAAATCTCGGCGAACAAAATCGCGTAAATCGGAAAAATTATTCGATAAAATAAAAAATCAAGACAGTTCGACAGATAACATAGATAATGAAGAAGAAATTGTCAATAGTGATGATAATAAAATGGACGATAACGATAAAAATTCAATTGTCGACAATATTGAAGAAGATGTAAAACCTCAACCGATCGAAACTGTGAAGAAAACTCCTGGTCGTAAACCACGCAGTTCTGTTAGCAACAATAAAAAACAATCTGATCTCAATGAAAGCAAACAAAATGATTCTGAACAAATAAAAGTGAAATCTTTATCCAAATCAAATGATGAAAATCCAGCCAGTTCAACGAAAAAGAAACGAAAGTCTTCCATACAGAATTCAGATACACCAAAATCTATTGCTTCTGAGAAAAAGAAATCTGTGGTTAGTTCATCAAAATTATCCGAATCGAATTCCTTGATAGAGAAAAGATTATGTTTTGAATTTGATCAGGTTGATGAAGATGATAGTACACAAAGCGATGCTAGCGAAAAACCGAAAAAGATTAAACCTGTAAGACCTTTTTGCCATCATTGTGGTGAAGAAGTGAAAAAAGATGATAAATTAGTTACATGCAAAGGTGAATGCGAACGAATGTATCATCTTAAATGTGACAAATATACACGAATGATTGCTCTTGATGATGGCGATTATATTTGTGATGAATGTCAAATTGGTAAATATTTCATATTTTCTTCATTAATATTTCGATGTTATACGATTATTATTTTCTATTGCTTAGGTAAATACAGATGTTTTGCTTGCAAAAATCCTGATGATTTGGATACGCAAAAATGTGAAGATAAACGTTGTAAAAAATATTATCATTTATCCTGTCTGGAACATTATTATCCGATTCGTGTGAATGAACAATCAAATACATTCATATGTCCATTGCACAGTTGTATAACATGTCATTTATTGACTATGGATGATGATGAATATCGTCAAAATAATCGAAAATTGATGAAATGTATTTTATGTCCGGTTGCATATCATGCTAATGAGATTTGTATCGGTGCTGGTACGATGCAATTGCCAGATGCTCATATAATTTGTCAAGATCATTATGAAGATTTTAATACGAATCGTAATAATCGTCATATTAATGTCAACTATTGTATGGCCTGTATAAAAGGTTTGGTCAATGTTTTTTTTGTCCATAGTTTTCTTCTATTTATACCTTTTAATTTAATTAAATAGTTGGCAATTTAATCTGTTGTGAACGATGTCCAGCAGCATTTCATGAAGAATGCCTTGAATATAAATTTGATCATGAAAAGAATTTCTATTGTCAAAATTGTTTAACTCATAAACATTTACATTATGGCGAAATTGTATGGGTCAAATTGGGTCAATATCGTTGGTGGCCGGGTCGAATTATCCATCCAAATCAACTACCTGATAATGTGTCAAACATAAAGCATAGTGATGGGGAATTTCCCGTTTATTTTTATGGTTCACATGATTATTATTGGGTTAACAAAGGCCGTACTTTTCTTTATATGGAAGGCGATAATAAACTTCTCACTTCGAATTCTGTCAGTAAAAATAGCAGTAAACTTATCAAGTCATTTAATATAGGTAAGATTAGTAACATGTTTTATAAAATATCAATGATGTTAATTGAAATTGTTTTGAAATAGCAATTAGAGAAGCTTCCGAAGAATTCGAAAAATGGAAAACAGATAAAGCGACTAAAAATCTTTCTCAGATAGCCAACAAACCTCCTCCATACCATCACATTTCGGTAATTGTTTTAGCCTAAAATTAATTACCTCTAATGTAATTCTAATCCGTTTTGAGCAGACAAATCGTTATGTATCAAAAAGTAACAATAATAATAATAATGAATCAAATTATCATGTTTGTGATTGTAAACCGGAAAATCCTTGTGGTGATAGTCACAATTGCTTAAATCGAATAAGCTTGATCGAATGTGATCCAAAAAAATGTCCGACTGGTGAAAAATGCCAAAATCAACGATTTCGTAAATTAGAATATGTAAAATGTCGACCATTTCGAACAGCAAATGCCGGATGGGGCCTTAAAACATTGGAAGATATTGAAAAGGATCGTTTTGTCATTGAATATTGTGGTGAAGTTATTGACGAAAAAGAATGTCGTCGACGTTTGGAAACAAAGACCAACAAAAATGTTTACTTCCTCACTTTGGACAGAGATAATATCATTGATGCCGGACCAAAAGGAAATCTGGCTCGTTTTATGAATCATTCATGTGATCCAAATTGTGTCACCCAAAAATGGATGGTTAATGGTGTCACTCGTTGTGGAATATTTGCACTCAAAGACATTCCTGCCGGTATGATTGACTTATTCACGATTATGAACAGATCTTGATTATTGTCTTTTTTTCTAGGAACTGAATTAACATTCAATTATAATCTCGATTGTTATGGGTACGAACAAATGGAATGTAAATGTGGTACAGAAAAATGTACTGGTTTTATTGGTGGAAGCCGTCCAAATGGAAACGGTTCTAACGGAAACAAAAATGGTAAACGAATGACCAATGGATCTTCATCATCTACGACAATAGTATCTAAATCAAAAAATGGTAATGGAGCCAAATCATCGAATGGTAATAACAATGGAAACAAGAGTAAGCAAGAAATAAATGAATCAAATGATCAAAATTCAAAAGCCGATAAAACTGGCAATGAACAAACATTAGAAATGGTGCATGAAAATGTTTGTTTTAAATGTGGCGAAAATGCCTCTTTGGATGATTCCAATTCGGTCATTCATTGTAATCACCGTGAATCAAATTGCACCAAAACTTATCATTTAAAATGTCTTAAAAAATCTGATAAATCTGATCTGATTGGCAATGCTGATGATAATGATACTGATATTGGTGTCGGTCTCGACCCGAATAGATGGATCTGTCCAAGGCACATCTGCATGAAAAGCCGACCACCAGATAATTGTTGTAATGAACCTGCTTTTCTATTCTGTTCGGTTTGTCCTAATTCACTTTGCAAACAGCATGCTTCCACTATGTCAGATGTAAGATTTTATTTCATTGATTTTTCTGTTTTTCATTTATTTTTTTCCCAAAAAAATTTCCGTTTATTTGAATGATTCCTTTCTGCACTAATTTCAATTTGTTTGGCAATTCACTATGTGGTTCTAATCTTGTTTTTTTTTATCTTCACAGAATCTTCAACTTCCTGATAATCAATTTCTTTGTGGTGATCATCGTATTAGTGATGTTGAAGGTGGCCTTATCGTTGAAAATGAACTCATTGATAACAATGAAGATGAAGTTGAAGAGTTGAATGGTGTTAGAGAATAATCATCACATCGACAATGTTGTTGACATAAAATTTTCATTCATTTCAATCTTTTTCGATTATCAAAAACATAAATTCAGATGAGAAAACGAGAAACGTTCAAGACTATTCAATCATTCAATATTTTGTAACATATTAAATTAGATAAATGTTCATCAAATCTATCTTTCCTTAAATATCTTTATTTACGATTAATGTTAACGGTACTTTTCTCTTTTGCCCACAAAAAAATGAATTTCGTTTAATTTTATTATCATTGTTTGACAAACACAAAGAAAAAAAATCTAAACTTTATTTGTCATCATTTCATATGGTTTCATCTTACATATTTTTCGCTTTTCTCTCCACATTCACACTCACATTAATTTAATAATAAGTGTGTTTATTATTTTGAAAAAAAAATTCATATCGTAAATTAATAATCAATATTTTTCATTAATATAATAAAAATTTTACGTTAAACACACTCATTTTAAAATCGTTTTTGACGATAATCAGAATTGAAATTATTCGCCACTCAATTGTTCATACAATTTTGGTACATAATCATCCCATTCAGCTTGATAAAAATTACCAGCAATTGGTTCGCCTAAATTGTATTTCTTGGCGAATTCACGAATTTTGAACTGTTTATTAAAAAGAATGTTAGATATTGATAAGAATAATCTTTTAGTTTGAGCTTACATTAGCACGTCCTTCGCCACTTCGATTTGTCAAACGTTTTTCATCGGGTGTAATTTTACCCGGTTGTTTGTAGATGACCAATACGTAGCGATGCAAACCAGTACCTTTTGGAGGGCCTGAACCAACGTATTCAGAAAGTGTTTCACCTTTTGCAATATCACTTCCAGGCACATTGACAACCAACCAATGATGCCATTCCCGGTATTTCGGTTGTTGACGGCTTGGAGCATCAGGATCCGTCATGCAAACAGTGTAAAGTGTATCGGACTCAGCTGGCCATTTAACTGAAATGGGCACATGTTGTACTTGAGTTGGTGTCAACTCATTTCCCAATTTCATCTCGACACCCGAGCTAAATTTAACCTAATGAATATAATTTGATTAAATTAAGATAAGTATAAGTATCCAAAAAACAAACCTCAGCTACATGCAATGGTACAGTGTCTATGACATCTTTAACAACTTGATGCTGTTCCATGGTTCGACGTAATGCAACTTCGCTTATATTTCGGAATTGTGTTTGAAGAGTATTACTAAAGAAATAATATAAACCAATTAGTGAACAATGTTTATAAGCGAGCACGTTAAAGAATCTATTAATATAGAAATGATTGAGTGTTTATGTGTATGCCCGCTAATTACCAATGACAACGTTAAAGTTATCAATTTATTTAAAAAAATTATCAGAAAATAACAAATAAACACTTTTTCTAACAGTATTTATAGAATGATGATGATGATAAGTTTTTGCAGCAACAGAAAAAACAATCGATTTTTTCTCGAATAATCTATCGATTCAATCGCTTTACTGAAATTGAAAATTTATTAAACTTTCTTTTTTTTTTACTTAATCTAAAATAAAAAGGATGAATTCTTTTTCATGTTTTACGAATAGATTCAAAAGAAATAGTTTCTTTAGACAATTATTGATTGTAAAATTTATAAAATTAAATAAAAAATATATAATATTTATACTTACTTGATAGCAAATGTTGAAGGAATAGTCTGGACCAAAATGGGACTAATTTTGGTAACACATGCAATGGTCGATGTCCGAATGACCCAAGGTAAAAAAGAACGAGCGGCAAGCATTTGTGATTTTTTATTGTTATTAGCAAAAGAAAAAAAATATTGATTAATCAATAACAACTGTGTTTGAGGGGGGAGCTACGACGTAAACGCGTTCGAAGAATTTTGGACGAGCAAATTTCAATGTGCCTTTTTATTAAATCAAATACGTAGACCATTCACAAAAGTAATGAAATGATGAAAACAAAATTAATCAACTGGTATTTTGTTGTTATTATTAAATCATTTAATTATTGAATCAAAAAGAAAATGATTATTGGATCATAATGATACGAAGAAAATTATATCTTCGATTTATTGGCATAATCGTTTGCGTAACTCTGTTATGGATATATGTACCATCTTATGTGTCATTAAATCATCAACAACATCGAAAACATTCGGAACAAAAATCAAATTCAAGTGTAGATGATTTATTTGATTTTAATCTTTTACGCGATGTAATCAAATCAAATGATGAGCAACATCTGGATGAACATAAATTTAATCCATTAACGGATGATAATTTAGTTATCATTGTTCAAGTTCATAAACGTTTAAAATATCTACAAAATTTAATTGATTCACTTTCAAAAGTGAAATTCATTGAAGAAACTTTGATCATATTTAGCCATGATTTAATGGATGAAGAGATAAATAATTCAATCAGGAGAATAGATTTTGCCAAAATCAAACAAATTTTTTTTCCATTTTCCACACAAATCTGGCATAATACATTTCCAGGTCAATCTTTCAATGACTGTCCTCGTGATATAGGAAAGAAAAAGTATGATTTCTTTTTTATTGATTGAACGAAATTATATTCCAAATATATTTTCTACATTAGAGCATTGGAAATTAATTGCGATAATGCCGATCAACCGGATAGTTATGGACATTATCGCGAATCAAATGTTACTCAGACTAAACATCATTGGTGGTGGAAATTATGGTATGTTATGGAACATTTACCACAAACAAAAAAACATCATGGAGATTTTCTATTCATCGAAGAAGACCATTATGTCAGTCCAGATTTAATTCATCGTTGGAAATTGATGAAATTATCACGAAAGTAAAATGGCAAAAATTTAATTAGTATTTGGTTTTTAATCTCATAGTATTTTGTTCATTTCGCTAGAGATCTAAAAGAATCCGATACAGTGGTTGATATTTTGACTATGGGCAATTATGAATTTAATGTACAAAAACCGATAAAGAATATACAAGCTGAAATGAAAAAATTGAATCTAACAAATTGGTTTTCAAGTAAACACAATATGGCATTCACCATTGATCGTGCACTTTGGTCTCGAATCAAATCATGTCAATTTGAGTTTTGTTCGTTTGATGATTACAATTGGGATTGGTCATTGCAGCATATAATCAATGTCTGTTTGAAACAGAAACTTCGTACTCTAGTCACTGTCGTTCCAAGGTATTTCAAGAGAATGATACTCAAATAAAATTATCTAATCGAGATTTTTATCATTGTTAAAAAAAAGAGTATTCCATGCGGGAACTTGTGGCGGCCTGCACCATAAAAAGAAACAATGTGATGAAAATTCAGAGGCAAATAAATTGAAGAAATTTTTTGAAAAAAATCATGAATATCAATTTATTGATGAAGTTCGAATTGAAAAACATACCAGTGGATATAAACGGATTATAAATAATGGCGGATGGAGTGATCGACGAGATCATCAATTATGTCAGCAATATCAGCTACCAGTTTTACAGATTTTTCATCGAAATCAATATTTCTATAAATTGTTGGAAAATAATTTGTACAAACTTGATAAAAAAAATGATAAACTCTCAAGTGATAAATGAACTGCGATCGGAAAATTGACAGAAAATTATTTCTCATCAGCGAGAAAGTTTCCATTAACCATGTGATCCTTGATATTTTTTTTAAATAATTTTTGTTAAATAATTAATTTTTTAAAATAAAATTATGACATTGTTGACTTATACCAATCGATTATTATTCTATATTCAATGTAGACAATCACGTCATTCTGTTGCTGAATTTCGTAAACGAAAAATATTACTAAATGAATATCGTATCGATAGAACATCGAATGAGAATGAAAATGTATATAAAAAACTTGAATCACCATTGAATGAATTGGTTCCTGTAACACCAAGAAAAACATCCATAACAATCGATGTACTTGATAAAGAAACCTATTCACAATTATCCGAATGGCGTCAACAGAATCTGGTTCGTCGTGCTCGACGAGTTTTACCGTTACCAATTTCGTTGACAACTGATGATAAACTTGGTTATAGATGGAAACAACAATATATAAAATCATTGAAAAAACGAAATATTTTAGCTTCAAGAAACCGTAATTCTCATGAATTAGTCCCGGATTTTGTTCGGTTGATGAACGATGCAAATGAAGAATTATTAAAAGAAAAATTTCCTGAAATTTATGAAAAATTCAAATCACTTTGTCAAACAAGTGAAGATAATTCTAAAGAACTAGTTAATGTCGATAAACCAGCATATTTTCCGTTTTCACAAACTTTGAAATCCAATGAATCGTTGGATTTGAATGAAAAGCCTCATTTGGAAGTGGGATTTAATGATGATGAATATGAGAATTTTCTCAAACATAATGAACTTTTACAATTTTTAGCTTCAAACATAAAATCCGGTCCATTTTCAGAGTATGAACCCGAAATTCGAAATTGGGCATCACAACTTTGGCTACGAAATTATGGAAATTCTGATCCATCAATAGCACCCAGTAAAGTTCCATGCAATGGATGTGGTGCCCATCTACATTGTACTTCACCGAATATTCCGGGCTTTATGCCAGCGCAAAAATTCACACTGTTCAATGAAAAAGAACTTGAATCTCAACGATGTCAACGTTGTGAATTTCTAACAAAATATAATGTTTCATTAAACGTGACCGTTTCTGATGAAGAATATCCCAATCTAATTGCCAAGATTAATTCAAATAAATCATTGGTTATCATTCTAGTCGATTTACTTGATTTTCCATGTAGTGTATGGCCTGGTATTGTTAATTTGATTGGTGAAAAACATTTAATTTATATTGTGGGTAATAAAGTCGATCTATTACCAAAAGATGATCGATTTTATTTGGAAAGAATTAAAAAATCATTGAAAGAATCACTGAAATCTACACACATTAATCGTGAAGCTAAAATTCGTGATGTTAGTCTAATAAGTGCTAAAAATGGTTTTGGTGTCGATAATCTTGTTACGAAATTATTACGAGATTTGAAATCTGGCCAAGATATTTATTTGATTGGCTGTACGAATGCCGGAAAATCAACATTATTCAATGTTTTAATGCAATCAGATTTATGTGCCTTAACTGATGATCAAGATTTAATGCAACGAGCAACAACATCGATATGGCCTGGTACAACACTTAATTTACTTAAATTTCCAATAAGAAAAATGAAAGGTTGGGAAATGCAAATGCGATTGAATCGGCTAAATATACTGGAGAAACAAGATATTGCTGAAAATATTCTAACAAAAAATCTACGTCGACAATCACAAATTCGTTATGCACATTTAGCCGAACGTATTAATACTGATATATCAACAACAACACCATTTTTAATGGAGAATAATCATCCTCTTATACGAACGGTTCGGAATCGAGGAAAAAGACCATTCGAATCAAAGAAAAATGATTTATCGAAATTGAATTATCTTAATGATACGCCTGGTGTTATTTATAAAGATCAGTTATTAAATCTTTTAACAACTGAAGAATTATTGCGAACTATACCACGCGAAGTGATTACACCGCGTACATATACATTACGACCTGGACAAACATTGTTTATCGGTGGTTTAGCTCGTATCGATTTAACAAATGCTCGCCAAAATGTTTGGCTAACCATATTTGCATCATCATATCTACCTATCAATATTGTTTATACTGAACAAGCAAAACATTTCTATGAAACACATATTGGTACAGAATTTTTAGCTGTACCATTAGGTGATTATGAAAGACTAAAATATTGGCCACGATTATCACCGAAAGAAATCGAATTAGAACTTTTGGGTTGGGAACAAAGTACAGCCGATATTGTATTATCATCAGCCGGTTGGATATCTATTACTGGTAATATCGATACCAAATGTATATTGAGAGCATTTACACCGGAAGGACGTGGTATTTACTTAAGACAACCACCGATATTACCATATGCAATACGATTAAGAGGTCGTCGAATTCCAGGAACTCCTTGTTTCGAGAATAAACTGTTTACGATCGATGATTTTCAAAATCATCGTTATTCAAATCAAAAATATGATAAAAATTTCGAAACGACATCGATATTCATCGAGAAAGATGAACAACGACCAGTTGGAAAACATCGTCGCCATGTCAATAGGACAATTATTGCTGATGAACGATTGAAAAATGCCCGCAAATTCGTTGACGAATGAATAATGCAGATTCTATTGATACTTATAAGTTTCATATTCTTAACGCTAGATGGCAAGTGTTGTAGCATATTTCATTCGAAATATTTAGGAAAGGAAGTGTTTGAATTTGGTTTTCAATTTTGTATGATGTTTTTTTTTGTTTTGTTTGTAAAAAGAATTTCAAATAAATAAAATGATAAAGAATCATCAATTTTTATAAAACAAAATAGTCTATTTAAGAAGAATATTATTATCGTAAGATTTTAAGTTTATGTAATCAATTTACCAGTATCAAATTTTGCACGTGTTAACATTCTCTTGCTTGACAATCATTCAGAGAATAAAGAAAAGAGTGGAAACAATCAATATTTTTATGCATTGCGAACAACAATCAGTAAATCATGAAAAAAAATGAAAAAAATAAACATTAACTGTATGCGACGAGGATGGGATTCGAACCCATGAGTACAGAGTACAATGGATAACCAGTATTTTTTTATCAATATTTATCATCATGAGAATATTCATAACGATTATTGATCATTGTTAATTCAGTACATAATTTGCCAAGTTTTTGGTTGGAAAATTAGCAGTCCATCGCCTTAACCACTCGGCCACCTCGTCAGTACTGTTGGGTAAAGGCTAAATACTTATTGAAAAATATATTGCATAACTGAAGGCCAGTTTTCAATTTAATTCTTTGTATATCGTTGAATGATCCAGGGCGACAAAGCAAACTATAGAAAAAAAATTCGGATTCAACTTTTTATATATATTAAAATAATGTAACAGCTGGTTTTCGTTTGAAATATCACAATCTTCGCCATCATCATATTGGATGCATGAAACAAATAAAACAAAAACGAACGAAAAAATGAAATCAAAATGAAATCAAAACTTGAAGTAAAAAGGAAAAAACAATATATAAGAATAACGTTAACACTATAACACATTCTGTTGGAAGAGAGAGAGAATAATGGTTTCTTGGCTTATACCCATCAAACAATGTGACTAAACATCGTTTTGACATGATGTCTTTTTAGTAATTTTTTCTTTTGACTTTTTTTTGTAGTTGTTGTTGTTTCACTTTGATTCTGACATTTATATTTAATTTCATAAAGCTTCAATGTTAAGTAAGTGTGTGTGTGTGTGTGATCATCATAGCAAATAATAAGTTTTATTTTTATTTTTTTCGTTGGATGTATATCAAGGAATCCAAAGCAAAAGAAAAAACTTTTCATTTCATCCAGAATATCAAAAAAAAAACTTTCATCACTATGATCATAATATGAGAAAAAGTTATACCAAAAAGAAATGATGAAAAAAAACAAATTAAACAGAAACAAAACGAAAAAATTGAGTAAAAGTTCCCTGATATGATGATGATCGTTGTTGTTGTTGTTGTCGTGGATCATGGATCCAACAAAAAAAACGTTCCAATGTTGATGTTATTTAATTAAAAAACAAAACAAAACGAAAAATCTTTCACTAAATACAAGTGATGTGTGTGTGTGTATTTGATTTTTTCATTTGAATTCTTGTTTGTTACCAAATATCAAACGATAATGTCCTTGATCAGTTTGGATTTTTGTTTTCTGTAAATTTTTATTTAATAAAACTGGTCAACCGAAATAACACTGGTTCTCTCATTCAATCAATTGTTATCTTTGTCGTATTAATAAGTCATTTTGTTCAAATTTTTTCAAAAAAAAAAATCAAATTCAAATAATGATTTGAAACAAAACTTTTCCTGTTTATTCAAAATTCAAAAATTCAAAAATTTTCAATAATAAAAAAAATGATATTTTTTTGGGAAAAAAAATTTGAAAAAAAATGAAATTTGTTGTGTAACAATAGATTGATTTTTGTCCACTGGAACCATACTTGTGACCATGACCACTTGTATATAGAGGAAATCTCTTCAATCATTATATGAAAAACACAATCAAGTGATCCAAACAACAACAACAACAGTTTTCTCCTAAACACTGTTATGTGTTTTTTGTTTGTATAAAACGACCACCTAAGGTAAATTTATTTGTTTATAAGTAACCTTGTCATTGACAATGATGCTTATTTGTTGTGGATTTTTGGACAATGTTGACATTGACTTTCAATTTTTTTTAAAAAAAACTTTTTGATTTGAAAAACAAAATCCAAACGTATTATTTAAATTTGATAATTTTCAAATCAAATTATCATGAATGAATGAATGAATGAATTGGATGACAATAACATTGGAAACAACAAAAATCTTGCCCATTCTGGCTTATTTTTTGTACAATGTTTTTCATTGTTGATGTTTTGTTACAGAAGATTTAAATAGAAAACGAAACTGCACGTGTAAACAGCTTCGGGCATTTTCTCATCACATTTATTTTAAACAATTTTTCTTTTTGTTGAAAATGTTTTTTCATTTCCGAATTCCGACATGTATTTTTGTATTTTGATATGTGTTTAGTTATGAAATCAATGGATAATGATTGTAATTAATCGAGTCAACAACAACAAAATCTATTGTTTCATCATATATTTGACATCATCATCTTTCAACCAGAAATCAAATTTGTTTATTTGATTTTTTTTTTTTTTTTGCATTTGTCAAACAAATTCATAAATATTGAGAGAAAAAAAACGGAAAAGAAAAGAATTGTTGAAGCAAGAAAAAAACTAAAATGAATAAAATAATTTCATCATTATCAGTGAATGGAAATAAGAAACAAAGATGATGTTTAAAGTAGAAACAAAAGAAATAAAGAATTTGTTTCAATTGTTAAGCATTATATTCTGTGTGTGTGTGTTTGTAACATTACAAACAAAACGAAAAAAAAATTAAAAAATTAAAACTTGTGAAATTAGCATATTGTTTCAACATAACAATAGTTTCGCTAAAATTACAATAACGATTGAGAAAAATACAAATATTAAAAAAAGAAAAGAAAAAGAATCTATGCAAGCATAATTAATTAATTTATAATAATAATGATAATTTAATGAATATATAATTATTTGATCATTACAAAAGGGGTAAAATTAATTCATCAAAAACATTGAATAATGGAAAAAAATAACGAAATAATTATTGATGTGAAAGAATGTTGTTGTTGTTCTATTGTCTTAGAATTTGTTTTTCTTTTTTTCGTTTTTGTTTCATCGAATGAATCAATAAATGAATGAATGAATGATGATATTGATAACAATCGATGCATTCAACCAAAAATCATGTTTTTTTGTTTGTTTGTTTGTTTTTGTTGATTTTGTTTGCCAATTTTTGAATAGAACAAGATGATAATCAAATTGATGCAGAAAAATTGTTGTTAATGATGATGAATTTCATGATTTGATTGACAATTATCATCGAAAATTCATCGAAATTTATTGGTAATATTTACATGACAATAACGACGACGATGATGATGATTATAATTTCAATTGAAAACTGATTTGTTTTCACTTTTTTTTTCAATCATGGATAAAGTTTTTCCTCTATTGAATAGAATGATAAATGATTGACGGTGATTTTGTTTTGTTTCGAGTTGGATTTTCACATTTGAAACGATCAAATCCAATTAGTTTAGCTAAGTGTTTATATATAAATGTATGTGTGCACTGTTTTTTCNAAAAAAAATTAAAAAAATTAAAATTAAAACTTGTGAAATTAGCATATTGTTTCAACATAACAATAGTTTCGCAAAAATTACAATAACGATTGAGAAAAAATACAAAAGAAAAAGAATCTATGCAAGCATAATTAATTAATTTATAATAATAATGATAATTTAATGAATATATAATTATTTGATCATTACAAAGGGGTAAAATTAATTCATCAAAAACATTGAATAATGAAAAAATAATTATTGATGTGAAAGAATGTTGTTGTTGTTCTCTATTGTCTTAGAATTTGTTTTTCTTTTTACGTTTTTGTTTCATCGAATGAATCAATAAATGAATGAATGAATGATGATGATATTCGATAACAATCGAAGCATTCAACCAAAAATCATGTTTTTTGTTTGTTTGTTTTTGTTGATTTTGTTTGCCAATTTTTGAATAGAACATGATGATAATCAAATTGATGTAGAAAAATTGTTGTTAATGATGATGAATTTCATGATTTGTTTGACAATTATCATCAAAATTCATTGAAATTTATTGGTAAAATTTACATGACAATAATGATAATTTCAATTGAAAACTGATTTGTTTTCACTTTTTCTTTTTTTTCAATCATGGATAAAGTTTTTCTCTATTGAATAAAATGATTGACTGTGATTTTGTTTTGTTTCGAGTTGGATTTTCACATTTGAAACGATCAAATCCAATTAGTTTAGCCTAAGTGTTTATATATAAATGAATGTGTGCGCTGTTTTCTTCTATTTGTTTGAATATATAAAAACTGTATGCTGATTATTCGCTTCGTTAATTCTATTCTATGGAAACGGATGTGATGGACACATTTTTTTTCCATAGACATACATACACCACCGGTCAAAACAAAGAATCATTGAATTTGTTTATATTTGAATGTACCGAAAACGAATCAGCAATGAATTTAAATGGAAAAATAGAAAATTTGGAAATATGAAAGAGTGAGGTGCAAGAGAGAGTGACAAACATTATTCTCTTGAATCATTCCATAGATTTTGAATGTAAATATTTGAAAAAATATCAATAGGTTTCGGATATATATATGATTGACACTAAATACTAATAGATATTATCAATTTATAGGTGATCAATATATCAATATTTGATTTTTTTTTCTGTCTCGTAAACATTCTTGACTCTATTCGTCGTCGCTGATATTTTATCCCAATGGATTTCTCAAAAAAAATTTTTCTTCTTCTTTTTACTAAATTTGATATAGTTTTTTGTTGTTGTCAAATAATGATCACCTTGTACGATAGATCAAATAATCATTTCATTATTTTTTTGAAAAAAAACTACAAAATTTTTGCACCTAAATATTAGCTTGTGCCGATCATATAGATCAATATAAAACGGAAACGAGAAAAAACCTATTGATAAATGGGAAAAT